CTCATTAATATTGAAAGTCAAGTAATTGTTGTCACACCATTTTTTGATTGATTGTATATCACTACCAATTTTTGTCTTAATTTTATCTTTTTTTTTATATACTCCAACTACCAGGAAGGCCTAAACACCCATTGGGTACCGTGGGGCTATAGGGGGATACAGGGGCAAGGGGGAACGCCACACGGACTCTGGTGAGGGAACACGTGTGCATGCAACATGCACACATTCTGGCTCCGCCTACGAGATCCGCCGGGTGGTACCTCCGCGTTCAGGAGACCGAAGAGTCTACTACTGCGGCCACTGCTGCTGCCTATCCTTGTCTTGCCAAAGCATTATGGTACCGTCAGCAAAAACTGTGAATTTACCATTTATGTTTAACTTCTCATTACTATACTCAGCACAAATTTTCAGTATGTAATTTGATAGGTGACACTATCATGGCACACCCAGCAAATAGCTTTAACAACAAAACTAAAGTTTGCAAAAACCTTGCAGGCATTCTAACTTTAAACAAATGAGAAAATTAAAACATTTTTAGGCCATAAGGATGTATAAAGCTAAGTGAGGGCCCTGACTACAAACAAGATCAGTGCTTGCAGCTGAAGGGGCCCCAGAGCGGGTGATTCATATTGTTTGATATTTGAGCATTTGTGGGTCATTATCAATGACCCATGAAGTAAACACAGAATAGTTGAGCTCCATCAATAATTATGTGAATGTCTATTAGACTGTTGGAAATTACATAAAATGTTTCTTGTTTTATTTTTACAACCTTGTTCATAATTATAGTACATCTCTTGTATTCAGAAAACAGCATAGCTCATTTTTATAAGAGGGGTGATAACTAATAAAGGATGGGTTTCCTCTAGAATGTAGAATCAATGAAGACAGTCTTGCTACCAAATAAGTTTGGCATCTAACAGATAGTATCTTAGTAGATATTGATTTTGGAAATCATGGAAAGGATATAAAAATATTTCTGAACAACGTAACATGTTATATGTTGATCACGAACTAAACTTATAAGAAAGTTTCAAAGTACAGTACTAACCTTGACAACTACTTTATACTACTACTAACAGCAGTAATAATGTTTATATATATATACAGGGTGACTTCGAAGTTGAGTCATTTATTTTAACAGTGAGTAGATCTGATCAAAAGAAATGTTTTTTTCCTTTACCATTTTTCTGGTAAAATTAAAGTAACAAAGTTATAGCCCTTTGGAAGTTTGAGTACCGCCCTGTCTCAATGTGCTCGTGTTTGGCGACAACGGATATAATCCGCCGTATCAGTTCATCGCATCGGAAACAAAAAAGCGAAAGAATTTGGAACGCTGTTTTTACATTGTTTCATTCATTTGTATACAGTCAGTATCAGTGAATAGTGATATCTGTTGCGTGGCTCAAACGAAATAAAAAATGGCACATGTTTATGCGGATCGGTTTCCCAATCGAGTGCAACCAACCCCTCATGCCTTTGTTAATGTAGTACAACGGGCTCGTGAATCAGGTGACTTAAGACCTCACAGGGGACCTCACGATCAAATACAGGTCCGCACTGAAATACTTGTCGGGAGGACACTTTATAAAACAAGGTAAAACTTTTTTTTTATTTTTTTTTTATTTTTACACACACATTTTGGTTTATCTTCCTTCTACAATCATTAGCTGAAAATTAATGACTCAACTTCAAAGTCACCCTGTATATGTTCAATGTCAATGACGTTTATTATTCAAGATATCACTTCATAAGTGTAACATACCTGGTAATATCGTAAATCTGGATACTTGATAATAACTCTTAAAATTAATACAGTCAGCTGATCTTGCAAAGCAAGACGCTGCTTATATGGAATGCCTGAAACAAGTTAGACTCAATCTAATGTTGATTATTCAAATACTGTATAACTCACCTGGCGGGAACCTTTTTAAGGACCTATTGACATCTAACACTACTTGCTGATATTCAGAATGACTAGAGAGTTCTTCTAAAGATGGAATTATTTCATCTTTGCTAGGATCTACACCCAGAAGCAAGGGCCAAACTTGACAACGCAAATCATCTATGGTTAATTAGAACAAACATGTGTACAGTAAATATACAAGTATTAAAGTAACTGTCTGTCATACTACTAAGCTTGTGATTACAATAACAAATGAAAATATATCTGACCTAGATATATTTTGCAATATTTTTTTATTAAAATAATTAAATAGAATTAACAATGATGTTATGATTTCTCACCAAATCTTTCAATTATGAAAAGGAAATTTGAGTTTCAAGTACTTGACTATTTTATGGCTATTTAAGTAATGAAAAAAAATACCTGCAACTAACCCATACCGACTAATAGCTAGATTTTGCCATGTTTGGAGTGTAATATTCTTATCACCTAACTTTTCTTCGATTAATGCTCTTTTCTCTGATTCTTCTTCGGTTTCACATGCTGTAAAGGAGCCACTTTACAGGTCTACTGTATGTTGAGTCAACATTGAATGGGTCAAATAAACAATGTTACCTTTATCAAATTTTAATTCTGATCGAGTATCTTCATTATCTTCATCATACTCAATGTTTAATTCATCTGACCTTCTTTCAGAGGAACAGTCATTATTCAAAACCAATGAATCTTCATCTAAACTACCAATGTCATCATCTTTATGCTCCATGATATATATTACTATAATAATTAATTAATTTATTATCATATCTTTTTTTTTATCTCCTAGTAGATTTTACTAAACAAGGAAAACAAAATGAGATAACCTCAAAATCCTCAAATCAAAAATGTCAAATTGGGGGGGGTAAATTTGACCCGCGTCAAAGGACGTTACAACGTTGGAAGCATGGTTCGTTACGCTCCCAGACGAGATGTCATATTTATGTTTGATGGCGAAAAACATTATTTCGTCGTTGCCGTGGAAAAAGCTCCTATGTGATAAATAGTAAAGTTTTCAGGAGATACGAAAAACATGTTCATGCTGAAAAGGTGTAGTAAAACAAGATGCATAGGACATAAGAATACTCTGTATTGAACATTTCATGCTTGTATTAATTGGGCAAGGAATATTAACAAAATTATAAAATAAAATTTTATTCTTAAATAAAACGTGTCCACATAGGAGCATTTACTATATTTAATAACGTCACATAGGAGATATTGCTTAATTATTAGACGTTACAATATAAATTAGCGATAAGGCACTACGAGTTGGAATTGCACTTTTTTACAGTGTTTTTGTCTTTTTTGAAGGTCAACTTGTCATAAAAATGATGATGCTCTTCTTCTATCACACCTTTTAGTTCTTGAAGGCATTTCCATTTCGTTTCAGCTATGGGAATTTCACAGGAATACAATGGAGGTGGTTTTTGAACATATCGTGTGAAAACTCGTTGGGGTAACTCTTCAAATTCCTCACTGTGCCGTATTTTGTAAAATATATCGCCAGTCGGGCGATATTCCAGTGCTCGGATGTCCACAACGTGTGGATCGCCCACTTTCTTCCCAGGTCGCAAAGATCGGAGATTTGTTGGCAATTTTTCGAAATTGAGAAAAAATTTGTAATCCAGTACGTTGATTTTATATGGTTGTTTGGGTCTAGCGCTTCTCATTTGAGCAATATAATCGCTAGGTGAATTTATTGGTGGGACGAAGTACTTCTCAAGCGAAGCGTGTACGCTGTCACACTCCATCATGGTGTGGCCCTTCTCTAAAAAGAGTTGTCTGATAAGAATTCCTGACTGCACTGCATAATCACGCAGAGCACTACCTAGAACCTTATTTCGATTTTGGTATGTGCAGCCATCAGATATTAACGTAACTGTTTGGTACTTGTGTTCACAAGATGACAGAAAATCTATCACACATGTGGCAAACTCGTTCGAGGATACTCCGCCATTTGACTCATGCCAGACATAAAGAGATACTTCTTTGTTATTTAGCACAAAAATGGTAAAATTGTGTAGTTGTAGCTTCTGTTTGTAATACATCCTAGAGGCATCAGTTTTAGGGCATAATAAAACACTTTGTAGATCCATAGTCAGGACGAGATGTGTGTCATTAGCCTCAGCCTTTGCTTTATTCTTTGCATCTCGAGCTTCGTTTTTCATAATGATATGCTTTTGATATTCATCGTAGGAAACCGATTTTACCTTGTACCCACAACATATGTCGCATTGGTCCTTACGAGGTGAATGTATCTTAATTTTTTCCTGCTTAAGGACATCTAAAAAGAATGTTCTTGAGGCTGCCTTTGTATCATTACTTTTGCACCAGTCTTCATATACACTATACATGTGTGACAGAGATCTAAATGTCGATTCTACGTAAGTACAACTGCTTGTACTTCGGCAATAATGGCTAGGAACCTTAGGGGCAGCGCTAACCATTTTAAAATATTGTTTTTCATTTCATTGTGAATTTTCTTCTTAACTCCTTCTGCTATTGTTCTCTTCTTCCGTTTCGGTATGTCGTCCCGTTCGGTTTCATTTTCTGCAAAAGTGTCGCTTCGTCTAACCCATCTCCTAAATGTATCTTCCCCTAGATCAAGTGTATTAATAAAGAAACGTCTGCAAACCCTTACTCTTTCTCCATTACATTTCGGCAAGAATATATCGTGTCCTTCTTTCTTTTTTGAGTTATTGTTTGCGTCTTTTCTCCTTCTTCTAACATCTCTGGTGCTAGTCAATCCTTTAACGAATGCTTTCTTTTCAGGCCAGCTACTAAAATTCCAAAATTTCTTGAAAATTCGTTGCCTATCGTTTTCAGATACCATGTTACAAAGAAAACTTCTTTCACTTTTCTTACCGCATAAAGTGTGACTACAACGCTCCTTTACTGATCTCGATGTCTTCATACAATTTTGTTTTATTTTACCATCATCGGATTTTTTGTAGCCAACATAAGATAACCCGGCAACTCTGCTTTTTTTGGCTTTAAGACGTTTCTTACTTATACGTGAAACTGAACTATCTGACCACGAACTTGAGCATGAACTATTACCTCCCTCTCCAAGGGTTCCCCCATTTTGTTCGATTGATGTGCGCACTTCATCCAAATCTCTTCCATCGTTTTGTGTTTTTACATCCGTAGTTTGATTTTGCACAGTATTCACCTCCATCACTGGATTCGCTGAAGTATGCTCTACGTTAGAATCTTCCACTTCCTCTTCTATTATAAATGCTTCATCAGTAGTCGAAATTGGTATAACAGTGCCATCAATATGACTGACAATGCACTCCTCCCATTCACTATCCATGCCTAAATCCTTTTGATCTGCTTCTCCGTAAACACAATGTGAGCTTTCGTTGCATACATTTTTATCATTTTCGATATTTTCCAGTGCCGCTTGAAGAATTCGCCTACTTCGACTCGACATTATGATTATCTACAAAAAAAAGCTCGGGATAGAATATGTTTACAGCAATGAACGCCTGAAAGTAAAAAACAGCTAATCAGATGTTGAACGTTAGGGTACGAACACAAAGAAAGCAGGTTTATCAGCGCCGACTCTCGACGTCGAAAACCGGCGCCTGTACGAGCACAAAGAAAACAACTAGCCGGGTGCGGACACAAAGAAAGCATGTTACCTGCTTACTTGTAGTCGACGCTTACAAACGCCAAGAATTAAGTACGCTTTTGAAATGTCCCGCACACAGATAAAACTTGTTGTAACACCCTGTTTATAGACCTTGATCCTTTTATGTTGTATAAAATACTACCAAATCTGCTAGTATGTCAATCATGGTTCATCAGTATAATAGATAAAATAGAACTTACCTCAGTTGAACGGTTTCGTTGTAACTAATAGCAGCAATAAGCTCAAAAAAGTAATTCCGTTTAAATGCTGAAGCACAGTACCTTTCGGATTCTAACCTCTAATGTGCACAAACTAGACACGTGGTGAATGGTCAAAATCACTTATGTGTTAGAGAGTCTAACACATAAGAGGTTTTACAACAACAGCTATAATAATAGAGGTGGAGAAGTCTTCTATGTGTCAGCACTGGATGCTTCTGTGTACATAAGAGATTTTGCACAAATGATTTTTTGTGATGTGTACATAGGAGATTTTATTTTTTCAGAATAACACAGGTTAAGCTAAAACAGCACATATAGGGTTTTGCCACATTACAGAGACATTCATTACTTTTACGTTGGTATCAAAATACCAATTTCGTAAAAATTACACATGAGAGGTTTTTCCACGGCAACGACGATTTACTTGTTTGCTGTGGTTGTGGTGAAGTAGTGGTATGTGGGAAGTATTTTGATTTGAATTTCTACCTATTCATAGTAATGTATGTTGCGTAACTAACTTTTAAGGATAATGAATCAAATTAGTATACATACAAAGCAAAAGCTGCCATAAAACTTTTTTCACATTGCTAATTTTTGTACGTTTCGCAGGTCAGTTATGGTTGGCCTAAGGATATGTATTTTAGTAAATTATAAATTATCAAGTGCTTACAGTTGTTTCATTATAATGTCCTGTTGCAATGCAAGACTATTTGAGAAATATATTGACTTCCATATCATAACTAACGAAAAAGATTAAATAAATGATAACTCTGAAAGTACTGTCACGATTTTTATGAAGTTTTGACCCTAGGTTACTATTATAAAAATGATGAAAAAGCTCTAGAAGTTTTTGAACATCGGTACCGTGGCGGTGGAACTATCGTCGAAAAACGAAAGCTTTTATTGCAGAGCATAATATCGCAATAAATGTGTCGGATCATCTTAGCGAACTCATAAAATCTATTTGCTTGTCTGGAATGGAGACTAGCCAGTAGGCTGAACTAATGTACGGCAATCATAAACAATGTATTAGGGAAAATAAATTTTGAAAATCTTATTACTAACTTAAATTTTCATGATTAGTTGACGAATCGACGGATTTGTCATCCGAAAAACATTTAGCACTTGTTTTCCGGTACATTAAAAATTTTAATAGATAGGATCATTTTCTCGGCCTTATTTTGGTTGAAAACGCTTTAGCCCAAAATTTATACAATGTCATTATAAGTTCTTTTTTTCGAAAATAAAATACCATACAAATAGGCGGATTTGCAGCAGATGGGGCAAATGCTATGAGGGAGCACATTATTCGCTTAAAACTGTTTTAATTAACGATATACTGGATTTATATGTCATGAAGTGTACATGCCAATCTTTAGCTCTTTGTGCCTCTCCTGCTTGCGAACAATTACCGGACGATGCAGAAAAGTTGGTAAGAAGCGAATAAAATTATAAGCATCGCAGTTTTAAAAGATTTTCGGAATTTCAAACATTTTTTAACATCAAACCCCACAAACTATTGCATTCATCACAGACGAGGTGGCTGTCACTGATTTCCGCTGTAAGTAGAATTATTGAGCAATATGATGCTCTAGAAGAGTTTAGAATTGAAGCATTCGATGAAGCTTCAGGAGCAGCGGAAATCCATGACATGCTGAATAATACATTAAATAAACTATATCTTCTTTTTTGCAATTTATATTACCGACTTTTACGGATATGAATTTGGAATTCCAGTCTGAAACCCCGATCAAGGTACATAACCTTTACCCCCGGATTAATGACGCCTGTAAAATTTTATTAAGCTGTTTCATAAAATCAGAATATTTAAGAAATACTCGTACAGATCTGTTAATGTTCATTATCGAAATCCAGAACATTTTCTTCCAATGGAAAAAATTTACTTGGGTCCAAAAGTATTGGAAGAAATGAATAATCCGTTTTTTTACCGAAAATATCAAACATAATTTCGAATTGAAATGTCTGGATTTTTATATTGAAGCAGTAAGTCAAATATGGAAGCGATTCCCCTTTAATTCCCGAGAAGTACAGATTCTCAAACTAATAACTTTTCTGCACCCATCAAATGTATCATCAACTGAAAGCATATAGGTCCTAGTTGGTTTCCAAATATAGTTAAAGACATTAACAATTTAGATAAAGAATCTAGGCAGTATCTGAATGTGATTTTTCGCTTGGTGAAATTCAATTCTGGAAAAGCATAGCAACATCAAAAAAGGGGATGATAGTCTCGCAGACCCAGAGCTTGCCAATTTTGTTCAAATTTTATTTATATTGCCACACAGTAGCGCAAGTGTGGAAAGATTATTTTTTTACATTAAGTTAAACAAAATCAAATTGCGTAATCGACTGGGTGCTACAAGAATAACAGCATTAATTAGTATTAATGCCGAAGATATAAGCTGCCTTAATTTTAATAGCATTCTTTTTAAATTTGTTTATTTTAATGTAGTTTTAAATAAGTTATATTTAATTTCGTTTTTATTGTTACGTTTTTAAGCTTTGAAATATAATTGGTGTTTTGTTACTTTTGTCTGATGGTTTTGTATTTGTGGCTTCTTTTAAGAGTCTGTTCAAATTTACTTTTTTGTTGTTTGTTTTAAGAGTGATCTAAGAGTCTTTTTACATAATAATATGTAGTCGAAAGAAATTCATTCTTTTTTAAATTCGTTTAGGTTAATGTAGTTTTAAGTAACTTATATTTAATTTCATGTTTATTGTTACGTTTTTAAGCTTTCAAATATATTTGGTGTTTTATTACTTTTGTCTTTTTATATTTATGATTTCTTTTAAGTGTCTGTTCCAATGTACGTATTTGTTGTTTGTTTTTAAAAGTAAAACCTTAAAAATTGAAAAACATTTTATTATTCACCTCTATACATAAAAAAATATATAAATAAGAAATCTAATGATTTTTGATTCAATCTAGTGATTTTTTAGCAAAATTTCTAGTGATTTTTATTTTTTGAACCTGGCAACATTGTCTGTGACCTTCAAACGTCAGTGGATATGTTTCGTTTTGTGCTTCTAGGAACAAACAACAAACCGAACAAATCAGTGTAAACGTTTTGTGGGAACAAGAGCATGTTAAAAAGTGGTTAAAATTGTGGCTTAAAAACTCAAGCTTCCAGTGAAATGAACCCTTCAAAAATACTATCTATTAGAGATTTTATAATATAGGATCATCAATAATGCTCCGAATCTGATTCTTTGAAGGCATTAGATAAAAACAATGCAGTGTTCATCTGGGAAGATTATTCCAATCTATTCCAATGGTTTCCAATTCGAACTTGAGTGGTTTGTCAACAGAATTGCTGATAAAAATTTTCAGCTATGCGGATATTCCTGATTTATGTCGCTTAAAGCAAACATGCAGAAGATTCAATTCAATCATCAGTTCTTGGGACCACATTATCTTGAAAGATATACCATTGCCTTTGGCAACAAATCAGATGAGCAATATATTCCTTTCAAAGTAATGGATTATCAAATTAGATTATTTAGGATTGTTTAAACTGGTTTATCATCATTTGTAGATGCTCTCATAAATTGACAACTCTGGAGAAACTGAGAATATCAAAAAATTGGACTATAGGTAAATACTATGAAAAGTCATTACTGTGTGTTAAGAAGAAATTCATGCCATGGTTACAGCTGGAAGAAAAATGTATTTGGCTAAGCAGAGGCCGCTTTGTATTCTGTTACCACAGAAAAGGATCCTATGTAAAACTGAAACCAATTTATTATTACCATCGAGAAACAAATTCAGATGTTGCACATTTCCAAAAGAAAGGAAACACTTTAGTTTGTGGTTTGAGGTAATTGAAAGTAATGTAGTCTCATGAATGTATTGACTTTTGAGAGTTTTAAGGGATGGCAGTTTATGTATAAACAATACTGTACAAAGATCATCAAGGTTCTTAAGATCATGCCATGAATCAGATGTAAACTCTGTAGATATCAATACAAATGAAAATATAGTAGTATCAGGAGGTAGAGACAACTGGTTCAAAGTATGGAAACGAAATATAGAAACCAATGAGGTGGCCTTAACATATGAAAATAATCTACAAGATAGAATATGGAAAGTGGCTATATTAGATGAAGGACCATTATTGGCTATTGGAACTTCAGCTAACAATAATATAAACTCAATTTTCATAAATGATATACAAAGGTAATTATAATTATGTATGTTGAGCTATTTTTGAGTATATTCCACGTTGGGTGTATTTATACAGGGTGATTCACAGCTCGTGGCCAAAAATGAAACATCATACACAGGACCCCATTTAAGGGGGGGTCTATGAGGGATGTCTTTTAAGTTTTGCATATGGAAATAAAACAACACAGTAGGTAGTTTTAAATGACTTTATTGCTTTTCGAAGTATTCTCCATGAAAATTAATACACATCTGCATGTGCTCGAACCAATTTTCGAAGCACTTATTTCACTTGTTTGCTGGCAGATCCAAACAGCATTCTTGAATGCGTCAACTGCTTCTTCTGGTGACTGGAACCTTTGACCAAGCAGTCTGTTTTTAATTTTCAGGAAAGTAAAGTAATTCTTAGGACTTAGATGGGGACTATATGGAGGATGGTCCAATAATTACACTTTTCTTCCGTTAAATACTGCCTTGTTTTTTCTGCTGTGTGCGAGCTTGCATTGTCTTGGTAGAGGATGATTCTTCTTTCAGGGTTGATTTTTCAAAGCTCGGTGATGACTTTTGGCAAACATATGGTGGTATACCAATCCGCAGTAACAGTTCTTTGCTTATTAAGAGGAATTGTTGCAATATGACCCGCTTTTGACACAAATGTCGCGACCATCTTTTTCGAGAACGGATGACTTGTTGGCTTTTCTTCACCTTGGAACACCCAAACAGCTGACTGTCGTTTATTTTCTGGTTCATAACAGTAAATCCACGATTCATCACCACTAACAATGCTGTACACATTTTTTGTTTTTCCGGAATTGAAACGGTCAAGCGTTTTTAGACGCCAATTAACCCTGGCTGCTTTCTGCTCTTCAGTCAACAGGTGGGGTATCCAACGAGAAACTAATTTTCTTACTTCTAATTCTTCATGTAAAATTTTTTGAATTGAGGTCATGAGATCTTCAAGGACGCCTCAATCTCGCGATATGTCACATGTCTATCTTCAATGATGAGTTTGCGCACAGCATCGACGTTTTCCTGGGTGACTGCCGTTTTTGGTGCACCCACCCTGGAATCGTCGCTAAGGCTCACCCGTCCACGTTTGAATTCTCCATACCAACGGGAAATTGTCGACTGATGTGGAACTTTGTTGCCGAAAACAGTCAGTAACTCAGCAAGGCATTCTTGTTGCGACAATAGCCTCTGAAAGTTGTAATAAATTATGGTGCGAAAATGTTCTCGGTTGAGTTCCATTTTTCTAATGACTTGGTGACACTTAAAAATTCACTGTAGTGAGAACACTGCACATATTGTTGTGAAACTTTGAAGTTAAGTTTACTAAAGAGTGAGGTTAAGATTCAGTACCGACGTTCGATCCGCGCGGCATGTAAAACTTATAAGACATCCCTCGTACTATGTAACATTTTCCCTCAAGTGATTAATTAAAAAGATACATAACATTGTTGTTTAAAAATAAAAAAACAATTTTTTTAAATATCTTCAAAACTCAACTGGAATGAACTAAAATTTGATATGTGGATTTACCTAAGTATTGTCCAAATTCAAAAGTCTTTACTTGAAATTGTTGTGCAACAGTGGAAGAGATATAAGGGATTAGTGGCATTATTTTTCCAAATAAAAATAGTGCGCCACTGTTTTTTTTCGAAACGCGCAATTTTTTTGAATGTTACCTTGAATTTGCTACAAATAATTACTCTTGTGTTTTTTTCCTAGAAGGCATTGTTTTCTTGAGAAGAAAAACTAATAAGGTAATCAAAGCTTTATTTCAATCAATATTTAAAAGACCACCATTGACGGATACAAGTGCGGCATCTTTTTAATAAAGAAAAACGTATTTCCACAAAACTTATTGTGGCTTAAATTTGATGAAACGCATTATCTATTCTTTCTTGTAACTGATCAACAGTATTCATATGTCCAGCATACACTAGTTGTTTAAAAGCGGCCACAAAAAGAAATCCAGGGTGTTCAAATCAGGAGAGCTTGCAGGCCAATGTACGGATTCGTTTCTGATAATCCATCGTTGTCTAGAGCATTTCCATTACAGAACCTGTACACAAAAATAATATCGACGTAATCATCATAGCTAAATTCCATTTCACAACGCTCAAAAATGGGAAAAAGAAAACTTTTGACTTGACTTTTACAAAAAAAATAGTAGTAACAGTAATAACCGTATAACGCAGGCCTCTCCAACTCGAGCACTTGGTGCCGGTGCGCTCCGGTGCTGAACCCAGCGGCATCGGTGCTGTTCCCCCTCCACCTCGACCGCACAGCCGTCGTGACAGAAAAACATAGCAGACCTCTCGGGCGCGGGCCATTTTTTAATAGGACAAGACAAAGTGGACAGGTTTTTTAGCGTCTTAACGTGCATCTTTTTTTAAATGATGTCATTCAATCCTGCATCGAAGAAGCCTATTTTTTGTAAACACTGATGGAAAAGCAAAATGTTTAATTTGTCACACGGTATTGAGGCCAGCCCTTCTAAGTTCTGAAGAGGTAATTATTAATTTGGTCATAGTTGATTATTATTAATGGTGTCGTAATAAGTTATTTTGTTGCTTTGAAAATCGCAAAAAGTGGGAGACCGTTTACTGACGTTGCACTTGTCAAAGAATGCTTAGTGGAGTGTGCAGAAATATTGTGCCCATCTCCTGTAAGCAACTTTGAGACAATTAGTATGTCCGAGCAAACAATTTCTCGTCGGATACTTGAACTTGGTGCAGATTTAAAAGAACAACTGCGGGAAAATGTGCCCATTTTGTGCAGTATTCTATAGCTCTCGATGAAAGTAAAGACATTTCTGACACAGCATAATTAGCTGTTTTCGTTAGAGGTGTCGTAATAGGTTTTACTATCACCGACGAACTACTAGACGTTACCCCCGCTCAAAGGTACAATGGCCAGAGAAGATATTTTTGATGCTGTAGAATACACTTATGCATGACATGGGTATACTACTCAAAAGTTTGCGTAGTGTTGTTACTGATGAAGCGCCAGCAATGTTATCGGAAGCACAAGGTTTTACTGGGCGAATGAAAATAAAAGTACGCGACGCTGGGCTACCTCCTATATCATCGGTACACTGCATATTACATCAGGAACAACTATGTACACCTTCCGTAATTTCAAATCTATTATGGATGTAGTAATAACATGTGTCAATTTTTGCAGAAAGCAAGGACTCAACCGCGGCAGTTTAAAGTATTTTTGAAAGACTTGGAAGCAACTTACGGTGACATACCCTTTTATTGTGTTACGCGCTAGTTAAGCTGCGCAAAAGTGCTTAAGATTATTTTTTTTTGTAATCATTGACAACGTTGAGATGTTTATGCAAATGAGATTTTTACGACGCCATCTTCAGTGCTTTTCGAAACAGAACCGACGCAGTACCAAATCTTAGAAAACTTGTTGAATCGAAACGCTGTCAAAGATCATCTTAAGAATAAATGTGTTTACGTCGAAATTATAAACATTATTTTATCACCCGCCCGTTGACTCGATCAGACCAATTCAAATGTCACTCCACTCATTTTCCGTTGTGGCTGGGAGCCGGCGAAATTAAACCTTATCGCAGATTTTACTAAACTTAGTAATAATATGTAGTTTCAAACTAAATGAACAAAAAGGGCTTGGTATGCCGATGAAAGTACTTGTCATATCGACTTGAAGATACAACGTGACGGTAGGATTTTACCATAACCTATACGTATATCAACGGTCATGACGTTTCATATTCATTTTACATATACTTTCAAACATCTAGAAGCCTGGTGTCAAACTGACAGACTCAAATGAGCTTTTAAATGCAAGCATGAAGCATACAAACAGGATGTATTATTTTGATCTATTTGCATTGCCTGCTATAGCTTTCAGTCGGTACGACAGAAACTTCAGGCGGAAATCAGTTTGTCATACCATGTTTTTCCGAATGAGCCTAAAACTTCCATCAAACCTTGTAGGCTTCATTGGATTCGGTGAGGACGGTGAAATTCTCTTGTCACGCTGTATCTTTAAGTCGGCATGACAGGTACTTCTTGCAGGTTGCGCCCCGTCTTACTGAGCTCTACTTGTTCATTTACTTAAAAACTACATATTATTAGTAAATTTAGTCGAATCCGCGATGAAGGTACACTCAATGCCACCAGCACCCGGGTCATTTCTATTCGCAGGGTGCTGCGGTTAGCACAACACCTTCCTCGCGATGCGTATGCCGCTGCCTAATCCCTCCCCCACGGAGTCACCCCGCAGCACTGTGCTGCGAGCGGTGCTCGGCGCTGCACTGGTCTCACCCGAGTTGGAGAGGCCTGGTATAACACAAAAAATTTGACAAACTATCTCTCCAGAAACGTCAAGTTGGTATCAAGGCCTCCTATTTTATTTTGAAACTATTTGTATCTCAGCTCTTCATGAATGAACTAATTTGTTTTATTTTTATGAAAACACTCTAGGATAAAACACAAGAGTAATTATTTGTAGCAAATTGAAGTTTAAATTCGAAAAATTGCGCGTTTCGAAAAAAACAGTGGCGTACTATTTTTATTTTGAAAAACAATGCCACTAATCTGTTTCTCCGCCATTGGTGCACGTTAATTTCAAGTAAAGACTTTTGGATGCGGACATTACTTACCAAATTTTAGTTCATTTCAGTTGACGATTTTGGAAAAATTGAATTTTTTTTTATTTTTAAACTTCAACACCCCGTATCTTTTTAATGAAGCCCTCGATGAAAAAATGTTACATAGGAGACCCCCCCCCCCTTGAAATGCGTTCCTGTGAATGATATTTCACGACTTGTGAATCACCCTATGTGTAACATATAACACTGAAATAGGACATAATAAAATTAAATACATATGTACAATTACACATAGTCAACGCCAAACAAAGTGGCGTGCACGTCATCAAGGTGGGTGTGTTGAAAAATTTACATTGTTGCCAAACTTTTTGTAAAATAATAAAATTTATTATTTACATATCTAGGTTTATAAGCAATATTTACCTCAAATGAGAACAAAAATAATAGTATAATAAAATTATAGATCTGTACTTGCATAATCATTAAGTATGACAATTATTGATCAGATGACACTATGAAACTACCATATTTAATCGATAGCTTAAAGATACTGAATAAAAATCCAAATGGGGTCCTCCAAATTTTATGCATGGTATTTATTTTACAGAATTCATACAGAAAAATGCATTCTAAAATTAGGTAAGCTACTGGTGTAAGCTTTTTCTGTACAATAAAGTTAGTCGGAGTTTCTTTCTTCAGCGCTGTCTGAATCTGAATCTTCATCACTCTCAAAGTTGATTATTAAAGGTTCGATGTCTGGTCGATCAAAAATTCGTTCTCTTTCATACCATTTAAAAATTTCTTGCTCAGTATGTCGAACACTATTTTTCCACATGTCTGGGGTAACCGTTTGTAGAGCCTCGTTCCACATATCCAAACAGTCTTTTTCACTGTTACCATCTCTACCAATATGTCTGTTATAGTAACCTTTTGCTATGCCCCAAATTAACTCAATAGGGTTAAATATACAATGGTAAGGAGGCAGACGAAGAACTTTGTGCCCATGTTGTTCCGCCAATTCATCAATCACGTATATTTTAGGTGGTTTGTTTCTAAAAAAGCAGTTATTTTAAGAATAGGAATAAACAAAAGAAATATAAACTGTCGACCAAAATATATATAATTAAGAAGCATTATGTACCGAGCAACAATACTCAATAGCTCTGTTTTAAACATTGTGTTTAAAAATGGTATGTTTTGATTTGTCAACCAGTCTTGGATATTTTTTTTTGTCCATGCATTGTTGGGCACTTTGTTCAATATCATGCTGTGATAAGGGGCGTTATCCAGTATAATCATAGATGGACTCTCCAATTTTTCTAATAACTGATGTTGAAACCATTTCAAAAAATTGTCCTGGTTCATCTCTCCATGGTAATTGCTCAATTTTGTTTTCGAAGAAAATATCGCTTCACTACCCTCAATAAACCCATTTTCATTTCCAGCATGTAATATAATGTATCTAAAATATATTAGTTTTAAATTTTATAGTGCAAATTGTGTAAAAGTACATACCTTTTACCATCTGTTTTAATAGCTTTCACGCTTTTTTGGTTTCCATTTTGCCAAGAGCGACCTATGGTGCCATTTTGAAATATCCAAGTTTCATCGAGGAAGACAAACTGGTATAAGGCCTCAACCTTGGCTTGATTGTATTGCCTTAGAAATTCCACCCTTTTCAAAGCTATACTTGGTAGTTCCATGAGCCCTCGTCGCGGATTGTCCTTAAGCCACTTAAATCCAAGATCTCTAAGCAACCGCCTTAAAGACGTGGCACTACCATCAAATAATGCCCTATCTCTTAATCGAGACCATAAAGTTTGTATCGTAACTTGTTCTTCTGAAACCATGTGTAATATGACATTATAATTTAGTTAACAAATTAATGCAAATTTCTGATAAGTTATTATAATAAGATCTTACTTTTGTGATACATATTATAGATCACTTCTCGAATGGCACTTGTATCCAATGTCGCTGTGTTGGTTACACGTTTAATATAACTCCGCTTTTTCTTGGGCGATTCTAAATTTGCATCACTTTTCACACCCTCGCAAATACGACTAACTGTCCTTAAACTAATTTTTAAAGCAGCAGCAACACGCTACAAAAAATGAAATAAAATTTCACTATTATTAATATACATTACATATAATTATTAGTAACCTACCTCTTGAACAGCATTTAAAGGCAACAAAGGCTCGTTGTTGTCCCTTTCTTGCTCAAAGTAGTGCATTAACGAGGCCACGAGTTCCTTACACCGACTATTTAACTGTTTGGGCATCTTTATATACCAAAATTGCCTTTATCTACTCGTAAAATGAATAATTTTGTTTTGAAACAAACAGTTGTTGATTTACAGTATGCGGGGCCAAAGGATTTATAAAGATTTGAAATGCCACAAATTGATTCAGTGTCAAAATTAATACAAATGTCAGTTCCCAGTTTAAATAAGTTTCAAGGTGACAATGTGTCAACGCTGCGAAATCGGTTTAGTGCGTTTACATGTCGATAAGTGATTGGAGCGTTTGCAAAACATTTTATTTCGCATAATGCGTCTAAATTTATCAGAAAGCAACTTATGTGATATTTTAATAACAATGTTTATATGACTATTAACCATAATAAGAGAGTAATGACCATTTTACAATTTATATATCACATTAATATGAAACTGCAATAGAGCAATTGTTTGTGATAGAAACCTAGGCATTAGGTCGGGGAATTTTTATCGTGATGACGTGCACGCCACTTTGTTTGGCGTTGACTTATATGTAATTACGCATACAGTTATGATTTTTCGAAAAAATAACTTATTTTTGTTTGTTGATTTTTTTACACACATATACTAAGTGACATATAAATCCGAACACCCAGTTTAAATGGTTTTATTTTAATAAAAGTTGGTGAATGTATTTATCTTACTGTAAATAACAAGTGAAAAAATTTTCAGCCTTATCAGTTGGACATTCCGGTTTTTATACTGCTTTTTTTTAATTCACTAACGCTCTAAAAATGAATATTTCAGCCGCAGTAAAGAATCAACGTTGGCGGATTTTGGTTCTTGACATCCTTTACGATCGGTTACGATGCCTAGAGTACGGAGACCTGTACGATTTCGTCAACTTAGTGAGTTTGATAGGGGCCGTATAGTGGGACTTCGGGAAGCTGGACTTTCTTTTCGGGCAATTGCAGTTAGAGTGCAAAGAAGTGTAGACACTGTGGTTAGGTGTTGTCAGGCATGGCTTCGAGAAGGCCGTACGCAAAGAGCAAGGGGCACTGGACGCCGCCGTAGAACAACAGACCGTGAAGATCGCCGCCTAAGATTATTGGCCTTAAGGGACCGATTCTCCACTACCAGGTCCATTGCAAATGAATGGTTTGCAGAACACGGAAGACCTATTGGCATGCGAAGTGTTTACCGACGAATGAGAAGTTTTGGCTTGTTTTCATACCGGCCACACTGGGTCCTCCCTTTAACTCGAGAACACCGACGTAATCGCCTTGAGTGGTGCAGACAACGGTCACTCTGGGATCAGGAATGGAACAGTAGTGTCTTTAGTGACGAGTCTCGATTTTGTTTAGGCATGCACGATGGTCGTGCCAGGGTTAGAAGGCGACGTGGTGAAAGGAGGAATCCACAGTTTTTTGTTGAAAGACATGTTCATCACACTGCTGGAGTTATGGTTTGGGGTGCTATAGCTTATAGTTCCAGGTCACCTTTAATCTTCATCAGAGGTAACATGAACGCGCAGCGTTATATCCACGAAGTTCTAGAACCCCATCTTTTACCCTATCTTGACACCCTGGCAGATCCAACTTTCCAACAAGATAATGCCCGACCAGATGTTGCAAGTCACAATAGATTTCTTTCAACATAATGATGTCACATTGTTACCATGGCCACCAAGATCTCAGGACTTATCCCCAATTGAGCACGTGTGGGATATGATGGGTAGGAGATTGCTCAATTTGCAACGTCCTCCTCAGACTCTAGAAGCACTTCGAGAGGAGTTGGTGGTTGCCTGGAATGAGATACCACAGGAGGACATTGACCACCTGATCAGAAGCATACCTAGGCGCGTTGGAGAATGCGTAGCACATCAGGGTGCATCCACACATTATTAAAGGTCAAAGGGCTTTAAAGCAGTGCAATCATTTTGAAATTTGTATCATTTACTTATTATGCTTCATTAAGTACTTACACAAAATTTTATTAAAATAAAACCATTTAAACTGGGTGTTCGGATTTATATGTCACTTAGTATATATTTTCGATGTGCTTTTCAACTTTTAACGAGGCTTGTAAAATTGTATCATCAGATCCGTAATCAGTAAATTGTAAGAAATTTGTAACAGTTTCAATTGCACAAAGTGCAGAATAACTTGGAATTGGTTAGTTCACTTGTCCATCATCATCGCCGCTTTCGTTATGGGAACTTAGATCATTCGTTGAATAGTTTCTTCTATGCTTGTACGTTATAACCAGAATATCACTACTAAGTTGGTAAAAATACATCCAGTAAAATTACAAGATTTATAGACGGAGTACACTGTATTACAAGACATATCTCAATAAAGCAGATATCCAAAAAGGGTCGCATCAAAGTTCAGCGGCATATCTAAAACCTAGTAGGACATACAAGCAAAATGATCTGATATCCTTGAGATAACCATTGAAAAGTATACACAAATGGTCATATATCTATATATAGCTTATTGTAGTCCCTCTCAAGGCTAAAGAATCAAAGATAACAATAAAAGGTGAGGATAATTTCGGCTGTTATGTCACAAGACTTTGTTTGGCGTGATTAAGAAATTCTAGACATGTGGTTTTTAATTTTATCATCATTTTTAGAGCCACAAACATTTTGCAGTTATCATGCTGTGAATACAACCATGGGGTTCTAGACATGAAGTGGGATGGTCCACATTGTGTGTGGTCATGTGGCTATGACACATATCTAAGAAAATGGGATCTCAGGACAGGAAATTGTGTTCAAATTTATAAGGACCCCCATGCCTCAGCCTTATATTGTCTGGATTATGATTATTGCAATACTGTCATGACTGGTACACAGTTGCATGGAAGGGTCATCTTATGGGATGTAAGACAAAAAAATAGCGTTCAGGTAAAAAATATGACAATGTGTTGAATTGTTTTCTTAAATTTGCGATGACTAAATTATAATTTAACAGTATGTAACATGTTCTATGACCAAAAACGTGGCGCTTTAACGCTTTTGTTTCGCGTCATATCGGTGCTAAATGAGAGGCGTTAACAATGCACTGTTAATGTAGTTATTGTGAACACGCTATTTGGATAACTAATACGACGGAGCTACAGCTCAACATCAAGGCTGCCGCGTTAAGCTCCCCATTCACGATCGCTCCTTCATTTCAAATTCGGCTATGTTACTCAATTTGGAGTCAGTGTGAATGGTTCTATAGAAATAGAACACCTGAAAAAAATGGCGTCAAGATTTACTCTATACTACCCCCGCCTTCAAAACGGCTTCAGTGCAGTTTTTCATGTAATGTAATTTCACCTATACACAGTAGCACCAAACAGTCGTAGTTCAGAACAATTAATGCATTAATTAGGATTTTCATGGAAAAAATGTCCTCAGATTACAGCAGTCTTATCTCTTCGAGCCTTTGGAGTAATCATTTTTGATAACTTATTATAATAGCTTTTGATGAATAGGCACTTCATGATTTTTATTGTTTGGCAGTTCTTGACAAATGATCGTGAATATCACCTCTTAAAATCAAGTAATTTCAATAAACTACAGTCCAAAGATAGTGCTTTTATAATATATACACTGAAAACCAAATACGTCATGTGTACGAGACAGAAGCGTAGTATACGTCTGTTAGAAAGAGATAGAAGAATCACGTTGCCTAGTGACCCCAGTACGAGGTCGAGGAAGCCACCGTCGCACTGTTTCTTTCATATCGCACGCTTATCGCGTCGACAGAGAAATTGATACTTAAACTTGGCGCATTATAGCGCGAAATCATAGCTGCTGTTCGTTCGCGCCTGACATCACACTTCTCTAGTGCCCAGCGTCCCGTCGCGTAGGTGTTCGACAGCGTCTGTGCGTTTAGTCATTAGTCTATGGACAATTCATAAAGCACACCTGTGCGCTCGGACACGTGGTTTCCAGCTAATAACTATTGAGTACTGCGTAAGTTCATACCATTATGGAATGTACGTAGAAAAAATGTTTATTAGGGGTTGTAATTTTGTGCTCGTACGTTTTGGAACGGTACAGTATTTATAATATAACAACCTTTTTTTCCTATTTCGCTCATAACCGATCGTATAGGCAGTCAACTAATTAAACAAATTGGGGCGGAAGACGTCTCCCTGTATTCGGGCCCAGGAATCGGCCGCGGGCGTTGGAACTGGATACTGAAGTCTGAAGTGTGACGTCACACGTAACGTACAGAAGGAATAAAAGTATTTTCGCGGGGCTGTAACTTTTTTGTTTTTAGAGATAAATTAATAATGTTTTCACCGTCTTGTTTCATTTTTCCTAAACTTTCATTTGAGCTAATAACAAAAAAAAATGGTAGACTTGTCCATTCGAACCTCACCGTCGATAATATCGCGTCCACCTCGTTTCTATCTCCTCGTATGTTCCGCTGTATTCTGGCTTGGTACAGGATTGTGAAGCCAGATTTTGGAGCCAAGATCTACATGTACTTGTATCAGAAGCTTCTTAATAATACAACGTCTCAGAAATGTCGAAAATCGAAGTTTGGGTGTTTTTTTGTTTTTAGCTGAACCGCCACTGCATCTATTTCAAAACCTACAAAGCTTTTCGTGTAACTTCCAAAATTTCATCAAAATCGCGTGGTACTTTTCAAGTTATAGAGAAGCCAATGATTGGCGGATAGACAGACATATCAATGCAAATGAGTGACATCGTTTTTCGTAACCGCATTATCAAAATCTTTCGCGATTACAATGCTCGCTCACCAATTGGTATATGAAATAAAATGCAAATAACGTTAAAGCATTTGGATCGACCGCGAATGTTGCGTTCAACTCAGACTCGATTGTCTTCCGTATTTTTGCACTGTAGGAATACCATTTACCGATAGACCCATACTAATCCGACGCCAAAGGCGTCAGTATATCTCTGTTTAGTATTTCAAATGCTTCCAAATTTGAGGTATTTCTTTGTTATAGTTATTCTTCATGGAATCCTGTAAAAGCAGGGGACTTGGACGAAATTCCCCCGTTTACAGCTTAGCATTTGAGGCAGAATACCTCTTTACAGCAACGGACCAAAACCTCAATGTTCTGAACTTCTCTGGATATAATGGAGCAATTCATGATTACTCTGACTGTTGTAAATAATTTGTGATTTTATTTTGTGTAAAAATATTTTTGTATTGCTTTCATATTGAATTTTTGTTCGTTTTTAAGTTTTTTTTTTTGAACTGGTTGCTTATCATAGCAGCATGTCCAAACCTAAATGATTTTAGGTTTTTGGATACAAAAAAAAATCCAATTCGTGGTTTTAAGACCAGAATAAACTTTTATCTTCGCTCCTGATTTTTGTTTTGTTAAATTGGATAGTACTATATAAGAACCGAAAGTTGTTGAAATAAGGACAGATAAGGTAAACACTATGTTTACAAGAAGGCCGAGTTGAACATCCTTCTTTAATAATCATTATAAATCCTAGCACATCCCCCTTTTGTGGTTGTTCCTGGTGGACGACCCGATTGCCATTATTCGCCTGTGGGAGGCCAAAGTTCAGGCATATGCGGATGAATCTAGTCGTTTTGGTCAAGGGGACATCTGAGAAAAATATCTCGGAAACGCTCCAGGAAGTGTTAACCGCATTAGCGGATTGGTGCGTGCGGCAGGGGTATTACGTAACTTGAAAAGTGACATTGTCGGTTTTTTTACATTAATATGTACTTCCCTACAAGATGTCAACTAGGAACTAGCTGTCGTTCACTTCATGCTCACTTGTAGCAGGCGTGGTATGAACTATTTGCTCACTACCAGCTATCTAGTCAACAAGTTTGGGCTTTTACGTAATAACCCTGCAGAAAGGAATGTCAGCTACAGAAAATGGTCATAGTATCTTTCACTAGCGCACTACAGAGAGAAGCTTGCATGTTGGTTATCGAAGCTTTTTGCACAATAACATGTGGTTATGGAGGTTCTTTTCAACTTACCACTCTTGCACATATACCTGGAAGGTAAGGCAAGGATAACCTGTAGGCTACATCCATCGACTTTAAAACTTTAAAACTTGTTTCAAAGTCGATGGCTACATCATGTGGCAAATGGTATAATGGACAATGTCACTATAGAGCAGGAAACTGAAATGTTACTGGACGTACAAAACCTCCAGTCTGGGAATGCCAAAAATAAGATATGCTAAATTCTACTTGGTGATAATTGTTCAAAGGAATGAGTGGGAGCAATAAATAGGTCTACTAAGGAAAGATATCAGTTATACACAGATGGCTCCAAGACCTAAGTATAGGCGTATTCTTTAATTCACCGGTTCTAACCAGTTAGCCAATTTTGCTTCCTTTAATTTCCGTATGAACGACCGGGTATATATATATAGACAAGTTTGGCTCAACCGGTGAATTAAAGAATACGCCTTATGTTAGGGCTAGTATCTTGGTGCCAAAGCTAAAGATTGAGTCAGCCTTGGAAACGGAGCATCAATTTTCCAGGCAGAGCTGTACGCTACAGAACTGTGTGCCAGAACGATTGCAGAAAGACAATTGAAACACAGGACTATAGATATTTTTCGAATAGTCAAGTCGCGCTTCAAGCACTTGGCTCCACCTTCTGAACATCAAAATAAGTGTGGAATTGTAAAGCTCTTGGTAGCATACGAGATTAAAATACGGTTCTCATACGGATACCAGGACATACAGGTCTGAAGGGTAACGAGACTGCAGAAACTGTGGTAAAGGGTGGGGCTAGCAGAAACTATGGCACAGGGTGTGGTTAGCACAATACCCCTCATAGGGCCTGAACCAGCGATCAGGATCGCGTACAATATGGCTAAGCAGTCTCTGTAGAGTTGGAAAGATCTACCAACGATTGGAGCGATTAACAGGGCTAGCCTATGCTAAACTTTAAAAAATGGCGTTAAGTAGGTTGACTCTGCAGTTCCGTTGTCATCAGTTTAAAAACGATTATGTTCGGCCACAGCCGACGTCAACTACGAGCCGTGATGAAAGAAACGCAACACCGCGCTCGGACGGCATGGTAGTGCTACCTGTGAACGTCGGCCGCCAGCGGCTGTGGCTGGGTGCTCCGTCTCCGTGTAACGTTCAAGAACTAAATTTAATTTTGGAAAAGAGGACAGTTCGATTCGATACAAATCGTCTGAATATGAAATAGCTCTAAAAACTTTAAAAATATGAAATAATCGTGATATATATGAGTCGCTAATGTAGTTAACCTAATTAAAAGTATTTTGTTTACGTTTTTTGGTGTCAGCACACTGTGTTCCAACAGGCCCAGCTGTTTGTTTTTAATACATTTACTTTCAGTTTTACTGTTATTTTTCAATTTTACATACTCATTCAAAATTATGTTTGAAAAAATAGACAAAAGCTTAGATAAAATATCTGCATAATTGCGGCCACAGATACAAGTTAAAGAAAATTCACTGTATATAAAGTCAGACTGAATGCTGGGCAAGGTTAACTGACACAAAATAAATTTTTGATTATTGCTTTTCAAGAAGAAAATTTCCAATCTATCTACATTAATAATAGATTCAAAAATGGCATACATATGGTAGAATATGATTGGTACATAACTGGTTGGAATTCACAGTCCTCCTCTTTGCAAATGATCAAAATAAACATTTGTTGTTAATGAACCTTTTTCTTTAACTATTAGCGATTTGCATATCTCGCAGTTTAGGTTTTTAGAGATAGTGTGTGAAGCATATCCAGATATATAAGTCTTAGTACTATCCTCTATGTCACAATTGGCTAAGTAATTTGTCTCAAATACTTGAATATATCCAAAACTTCAGGATTTTGTTTGGTATCCAAGAAATCAAAATTTTCTTGAGTTTCTAAGCAGTATTGGAACCTTGTTTTAATTTCTGCTAAAGAAAATGACAATTTCTTTTCATTGAAAATATGCTTCAGCCGTATTTTCTTTTCAGCATTTAAAATTTCATCATATGACAAATTGTAATTGCAGCCACATAAAAGTCTATAATTGCCAAATCGTTTTTCTAAATTATCAGTGGTGAATTTTCCAGGCAATATATACTCAATGTCAAATTGATTAAATGAATATTCAATTATATTAAGTAGAGTCAGCGTGCTTTGATATTTTCTAACCATATCAGGATTTTTTTTAAAAATTGTACTCTATAATCATATTTATTGGTAATAGGCTTACAAAATTCGTTTCGCTTCAATTCTCCTTTTATTACACTTGTATTACTGACAATATCCCACCAATTCCTGATTATTTCATAGCAGCTATTGTTGAGTGATGGAATAAATTAACTACAAAATTTACATTTTGCCTTTCAAATGAATTTGGATGCAATGTTTTATAATTTAATTTATATGCTTTCTTAACTACAGCTTCTTTTTCCAATTGATATACAGCACGAATGTTTTCAAATTTAGCATATTGAATAATATCATTATTGTCAAAATTAGGATATACAAAAGTTTTGTCTAGGTTTTTTAAATTAATCCAAGTATTTCTGATACTCTTGAAAATATACACATCATAAGTTAAATATATGTTCTTATCAGGATTATGTGGATTTGGAATAGAATAATTTTCTGATGAATCCTTTGCTAATTTCCTGAACATTGCTCTATTAATTCGGTGATTATCAGTAATAACACAAATAACTTCAAATCCACATTTTTTAACTAAATTTATCACATGTTCAACCAAAGGTGTCATTTCATCACCTGTTAGATTTGAAACTGGTAGTAATTTGATTATTTCTGTTATGTTTCCAAATGCTGAAGATAGCCTGAAGGCTAAAACAGATTTAGCCATGTCATTTTTATTTGAGAGGCATACCCAACAATGTTTTGTGAGTGATAGTCCAGCCTAGATGTTATATAAATTTCATCGATCATCAAAATTACAATTTTTTCTCTTGGAGCTAATTTAATTGCTATATTCGAAAGGTAGTGTTCATTATTCCTATCATTTTTTGGAGATATATCCATACTTGAGGAGATATGTTGTAAGTATCGCTTACTTGGCAAAATAAAAAATCTTTTAATTAAATTATATGTTGATGATGAGTGGTTATAAAACGAAAAAGCCATTTTTATTGAAAGTGATGCATATCTGTTTTTCCTGTTTTGAATTTGTCTCAGCTGATCAGCAATAATCTCTAGATTTTTTGTATATGGAAACATAACTGAGTCATTATTAATTATGGAAATTGCTGTGTCAAGTTGTTCCAATGCATTCATGATGCAAACTTCAACAGAGTTTTTGTGTTGGTTCACAGAAAAATAGAAAAAATACCTATTTAGCAGGTTTTCTAATTGGGACCATCTGGTAATTTTGAGATCATATGGCAAAACCCACTTCAAGTCACTAAAAGAAAGCTTACATCCTTTATGAACAACCTGAACTTCCATCTGACCATCAACTATAATCTGTGTATTCAAAGTTAAGATATCATTTTCAAAATCCAATTTATAAAAATGTAGCTTTCCATCAGATAATTTATATATATTCTGTGAGGCTTTAATTTTTGAAAATAAAGAATGTAATTCTTGAAAGTCTTTGATTTTATCCATATCATCGAAATTCTGGATAGCTTTTTCATAAATTTGCACGTTTTCAATAGTTGAAATCCTTAGCGTCCTGAGGCGCGAACAGCCACAGTCACACTTCTTAGTTTATTTTTAAAGCACAGAAGCACTACAACTGGAGTCTATTTCTCATATATTATAGTCACCGATCACTTTGAACACATACACACACTTTGAAGCTTAGAAAACAAGCTTATCTCTTAATTACAGCCTCTGCGATTCCCAAATCACAAATTGAAAAGGTTATGTTTTCTCAGCGTTTTGAGCGGCGGGAGTAACACTACAACCTACGTTGCCAGATTTCTTTGTTCACGGCTCGTAGTTGACGTCGGCTGTGGTTCGGCACAAGTTAGTTTCTGTGAACTAACTACAAATATGCATAACAAAAATATTAAATGGATCAAGTCAGAAAAACACGCCCATACAATTAGTCCATGCTCTATAGTACCCAGCCATTTGATAATGCAAGTTCCTTTCCTGCTCTAAGTATCGATCATCTGGCAACGGTGTCGAACCATACTAGTTAACCATGCCCAGTCGTGATACTGTAACTTGAGAGAACCGGCTATGCAGTCAGACGTAGACAGTATTCAGCGTATGAAGGTTGCGTCCCAACCGACCGCGTGTCGCGTCTATAAATATTTAGGGACAAACGTACGGGAAGATCTAAGATATGTGAAATATATTTTGATAGGGACGTAAAATGATTGGGGTTGGAAGCGTATAAATATACTGTCATTAAAAAAATTACATATAACCTCCCCCACACCCTACAACCATCGACTTTCAAACTAAACAAACATTATTCAGAAAATGATCTGGAGCCTCTGAAAAATCCAAAAAAAAAAAAAACGTGTGCGATTTTTGTTTTTTTTTCCGTATTTATGTGGCCCTAGCTCCGCCGCTACTGGCCTGAATTTCAAAAACTGCAAAGTTTTTTCGTACCTTGGAATAGTGGTGACCTTGTGTGAAAATTTCATCCAAATCCGAGCAGGACTTCCCAAGTTATAGGCGGTCCAAAGATAAGCGGACAGACAGACCGACGGAACTGAGTGACATGGTTTTTCGTACATGATTATCTAATTTTCGATTTTTTTTTTTGAGATTACAATACGTCCTTGTCAGTAGGAGTGGGAAGGAAAAGGTAACAGGGTCACTGCTGAGGCTAAACAGGGATTCCTTAAAGCTTTAGTGTGGTTGTACACTCGACATTGCATCACCACAAAAGCAGGCTCTTTTCAACTTTATCCATCTTTCGCTGAAAAATGAAATAGTGCAACTTGATGATATTTACTAATACCTCATTGAAAAATGGGGAAGACTTCTTCGGTAGTTTCCTGATTTTTCAAAACAACTATTAAATGTAAAATGTTTTATTGTTATAAAAACAATCTGCATATATCAATATGACATATATGTGCATATTTTCAGCTGCGTCATATATAACATCCAAAAATGTGCGTTCAACAAAAATAACCAGCACCTCTGATTACCATAGTATATAAAAGCAGAATATAAATATATCTACTGATTCCGAAGTATACCCAACTTTAATCCTATCAATAAATATATAAAAACAATTATAAATACATTCACTATTAATACATAAAAAAATCTTCTATTAAAAACTTAGATATTTTTCTACTTATAAAATGCCTAGAATACAACTCTTTTGATGAGCTTAAAATGAACTAGAGACAATCAAATTTGATATCGGACATTTGTCTGTGCGTTGAAAGCAGCTAATCTTCCTTAGCGCTTACAATTTTTTATCCAAATCATATTCAGATACGGTAGACAACATAAGCCATTTATCTACAATAGTACAGAGTTTATCGTGAACTGGGTATACCTGTATAGTATTTTTTAAAAACACTGCTCAATCTTTAAAATTCCAGGCACAAAACATGGAATTTGACAACCGGTCAATTTTAAAAAAAAATCGGAAAGTTCATGACGTGCTGATCAAATGTTCTAGCTTAGATGCTGAGGGTACGCCTGTCTGAACCATTTTTAGGAAATCTTACTTGTCTTTAATATCCTCAGGGAACTTAACAATATGATAAAAATTATTGAACACTAACTTACAATATATACCAGCGAAAATGGAAAGTTGTTTAATAGAAAAACTATATAAGATATTCGAAAATGGTTTGCACAACAAGATGAACATCTTATAGGTGTGTATCTCTAAAGTATATTGGTGTTGCACAATTCCGTGGCACCACAAACTTGTTTTTTTTCATTGAACACCCTTATCAGATAGGTATTTGGAAAAACAGAAGAAGGTTGATGTAAGACTTTGAATGTCATTTTATCATTTGTCTGAAGAAATAAATACCTATCCTCGAATGCATTGACTTCTGCCATTTTAGGTAGTTTTTTACCGGATTTTGCAAAGAGGACGAAAAAGAACGCCAACTTTATCAGGGTGCTGCAAAACAAAAAACGTTTTTCTTAAAAAATTCAAATAGAACTATATATTTTTTCACCATCAGGTTTGCTTTTTTATAAGTTTCTTCTGATATCAAGTTTATTAAAATGGTTAAAAATCTTTGTTGTGCCATGGAATAGTGCATACCTCAAAGTAATTTAAAACAAACGTTTTTGAGTATCTTTTGTGGTTTTTCTATTAAACTTCCCATTTAGTTGGGACAGCCTGTATATGTTGTGTGTTCATGTCATTTTTATTATATTGTCAAGTCTACAAGGGGTAAGGCACCAAACTTTAACATCCTGTATCTCCGACGGAAAGCATTTCTGGGCTTTGATCCCATTGAAACATATGATCTATAATATGAGCTATTACTTTACGAATTACCATTAAAATTGACCGACGGTCAAATCCCATGTTTTGTTCCTGGTGCTTTGCTCTTCACATTTCGAATAAGCCAGCCGAGGGAAAACCCTGGGCCAGTGTGATCCAATACATAAAAGGTACAGATACACATGCTCAAATCTAGCACAAAAGATTAATGAGCAACTGCTACTTATTAGCATTTGTGTACACACGTTACTAGAATTAAGCATCCTATTTCTGAGCATGCTTAAAAATCGACTGTCGTGCGATTTTTGATCATGCTACCTGCAGCGCGGGTGGAAGGGGGTGTGCTTTTAGCGCGTGTGAACAGGTCTGCTTATTAAGCATGCTATCATTGAGCAGCAGTTGTTCGCAGCAGGTGCGCGTGTGTTAAAGTTTGTCATTCTATATCGAAATCATGAATGTATGTGGAACCCAAAGTCTCCGCAGTATAAAAACAATATTTTGAGAAACAGTGCGTATGAAGATAAGTTAATGAATATGAATGACCCTACCTTAGGAATCTTAAAAACAAAAATCAAGGAACTGAGTTCTGTTTACCACAATCAACTAAAAAAAAAAATGAAATTTTCAAATCGTCCTTTTCCTTCTCTTCTTTTTCCTTGATACCAAAAGTTTTTGGACACATTATATTGCAAACAAAATGATGACTTTATTCACTTCTGTGGAGAAAGTCACTTGGTTTTACATTTTTGTGGAACATTGACAGAGAGCTTGCTATTAAATAGCATATATGTTCGGTGTCTATGCTTTGAGCAAGATCGAGAAGAACATGCTCTAAACAAGCATGCTAAACACAAGCAAATGTGTCAGTTTGAAGAGTATGCTATTTTCAAGCATGCTATTTTATGAGCATGTGTATCTGTACCTCAAAGTGTGGACAGTAATTTACGCCATCTTATTCTGGGTGCCCTAGAATCAGTGTCAGTATCATATAACGGCGCCGACGTATGTTTTGAGATTTTTAACAATTGGAGTTATAAAAACCTTCAACATCCCCATATTATAAACACAGAAACCGCATACTGGGACTCAATGATATCGATATTTTATGGACATATCTCGTATTTTTTGAAATTAAAATGACTTAGTTTTGTGTCATTTTCTTCAACATTTGGAATGTTAATAAATGTGGAGTTTTGCATCCTCAAATGACCAGCAAATTCCAAGAAATAATTATTATTCATTAAAATATGCCACATTATGTTCACTGGAAAGACATAAGAAAAACCAAAGGCTTAGCAAAAATCTATGCCTGTGAGTCGTGTCTTTGCTGATATTAGTGCACAATTGAATATTGGTCCGATTTCATAACAACCCGAATCAGCAATAATAACATCTAATGTTTCTAATCAGATATTTTTTAAAAGACTTCTTTTATTTTTTAGAAACTATGAACCTTCTTTTTACGTTGGAATTATTAAAACAGGTAATTAGAACATAACAAAAGAGCATGTGGCATAAGATGCTCCTCGAATAGATCTCCCCTGCAATGGCAAAACGCAGTAACTCAAGTTACTAGGTTTTGGCTTTGTAGCGCCAGATGGATTGGTCACCTTCCGAGCTATTTGCTACTACAAATAACTTTATTATAGGCCAATTAGAATCATAGATACAGGCATAGGAGGAATCGTATCTCCCACAGTTTTGCTGGAATTACTAAATCAAAAAACTGTATTTGAAGTTGCTGGTAGCTGTTCGGTTATTTTACACAGTCATGCGCTGAATGCTAAAAGAAAGCAACGTATCTGCAGTTGCTGTGTTTTGGAATAGCAAAATGTTCTGTTATTTGTCATATACTGCTACGTATCTCTAGTTGCCCTATTTCAATATGGTAAATGCAGCACAAATTTGGCAACATTAGTAGGAGTTAGTTTTGCTAACCAACAGATATATCATTTGTGAGTGAATCAGTTAAAAACGCATTGTATAAGTTCCAAAATAATGAACACACGAGGAAAACGTTTGGTACAGATGGCCCTGAAAAGGTAAGTTTAAAACTTGACTGTAACTAAGCTCTGTTTTTCAAATCCGTGAATATGCTAAAAATATAGCATAACCTAACTCCCATTTCATAATTCCCAACGGCTGCTTTGCCGATCCCATAGCTATTGCAACGTTGTCAGACTTGTAATATCAGAATAGAAAAAGTAATAACTGATCAATCGTATTTCGAGTTGAGAAGAAACCTGCTGTAATTCATTGCATACCCAAAGATTAAAAAAAACTATTGGAAGCTTAAGTATAAACCAACTAGGTATTTGTTATTTCATTCTGTTTCATCCTAGTTTCACTAACATTTAGAGAGGTAAACATGAAAGTGCACGAGTTGTAATGGTTTGATTGGAGCGTAGTTTAACTATGACCAAGAAATTTTTGCGAATAGCCTAAAATGGACAAAAGTATATTTTTCAGGTCGCTACCTGAAGAAGTCGATTCCGACTCAGAAGTAGATGATTCTGATCTTGATCCAGACTTCGACCCAGCTCTGGAACACCCTAAGAAAATTAAATCTTATTTTGGTCCAGAGGACTTGCTCCTTGATATTTCGAAAGTCCATAACGAGACAACACCAACTAATCCATCTACGAGTAGCTTGAACGATAAACCTGTTGTTAGTCATTTGGGTGACCTTCCAGAAGTCTCCTCTCTGGTCGCAAATAACAATGAAGATGCTACTGAGTTGTATTTACGTGATATGCTTGAGGCAGCATTACAATCAGTTTTTGAAATTGTTGAAAATCCGAATAAGAAGATGAAAAGACTTCGCAAAGAGAAAGAGAAAGTGAGAAGGAACCTCGAATCACATAAGCTGCTTCCTCCTTGCTTGGAATCTTGTCGCAAGCATTGCAGTACAAAAATTGATGAATATTCAAGGCAAAAAATATTAGAGAGCTTCTGGAAACTGAATTTTTCTCAACGAAGGTTGTATTTGACAGCATATGTTAAAGAAGAAAACGTCAAAACTAGAACTACCCAGGGAAACTTTTCTAAAAGAACCTCCACGTAAAGTACTACCTACCTCAATATGGAGAAGATTCTCGATCAGAACTCGGAGTCTGCAAAACAATGTTTCTTCATACTTTAGGACAAAGAAATGATTCCATCATCACTCAACATCTGAAAGCTAGAAGGAGAATAGACAGCAATGTAGAAATCAAAGATAGAAGAGGAGAATCAGCTAGAAGATCTGCGCAAATTCAAAAGGCTATGATAGATACCGTAATCGAGAACCATGTAAACTCTTTCCATCCATATGTTTCTCATTATAAATTAGACCATGCTCCCTTACGACGATATCTTTCACCTGAGATAAATATTTCGCTTATGTGGAGAGATTTTTGCACGAGCAGACAAAAAATATCATACGAGAAATATAGACAAGTTGTTGATAAGCTCAATATTGGCTTCGATCATCCCTCTCAGGATGATTGTGGAGTTTGTAATAAGTACTCAATTCATAATGGAGAAACAGCTGTTGATCTTAGTCATAATCCTGCCGCATGTGAAACTTGTATCAAGCATAATGTGCATAAGACACACTACACTTCAACTAGGCGTGCTTACAAGGAAGATAAAGACCGTGACTGGCAAAGAGGAATTGAAATTTATACTGTAGATCTACAGAAAGTTCTGCTCCTTCCCAAGATGACTACTAAAGAGTCATTTTTCATACCAAGGCTAGTGACTTTCAACGAGACATTCGCTCCCTTGCACAAAGATGATAATAAGTGTTATGTCTGGCATGAAGCTACTAGAGGACGCAATGCTCCAGATATTGCCTCAACGTTCTATCATGTCATTAAAAATTCTAACCCAAACGTTATGTCTTTTATCTTTTGGATGGATAACTGCTCCGCCCAAAATAAGAACTGGACGTTGTATACAATGTTTGCCTGTTTGGTGAATGCAGATTGGGGACCGGAAAACATCATTGTGAAGTACTTTGAGCCAGGACATTCTTTTATGAATGCTGATTCAGTACATGGACAAATAGGACGCGAGTGGAGAAAGCGTAAACAAATATTGGACGTTAATGATTTTGTTGATGTGATAAATGCATCGTCTAAGAAAAATAAACCAATAGTTATGCGTCACAGTGATTTCTATCCTTTTATCGATGGCTCCAAACAACGCCGTAAAAATATAACTGGGGAAGTAAATATTCCGCTGTTAGATCAAATCAAGATTGCCGAGTTCAGAAAAGGTTCCAGGTCTCTATTCTACAAAACATCGTTTGATGAGACTGAATACGCTGAGGCGAACTTTTTAAAGAGTAAGTTTGATATAAATCAGCAGCCTGTAGCTTATAGTAATGATAGAGGGATCAACACAGCAAAAAAACAAAAAATAGTTGAAGAACTATGTCCTGCGATGGAATCCAGAAAACAACTATTTTGGAGACAATTAACAACAAATGATGATGTTCCTGATCTTTTATGTCGATCGGGAGAATCTGCATAAAAGCAACAGCATCCTGGATTTTCAAGAATACTAATTCGCAGCCCCTTAAAACTGTATAGAATCGACAAGGATCTTGAATTCCAATGTGAAAAACAAGTAACTTTATTTACTGTAGTATTTACTTGTTGTATTCTATGACAATAAAATTTCCAAACAAAGTATCTAATTTAACTTTATGAAGACAGTTTTTAAACAAGAATTGTTTCAATGGATGGAAAGGGCAAATTTTTGTCCTTTACAAAAGGCTTTTTCTACTATTAGTGACTTAAGTCTACTTATCGGCTTGAGTAGAAATGTTCTTCATTGATTTCTGTAAAAGTCACAAAAACAAGTTACTATCTTTTGCCATTGCACGGGAGAGATATTCTCCCCCACATTCTATCTATTCTTCGTGAAACTGTAGTAAACACCCGACAGCACCAAAGTATCCTTCATGCTCCAAAAATAATGCTTTCATTGTGCCTTTGGACCAGTAATCCATCGCATATGCCAGCAACTTCATTGCTATGGGATTTACCCTCAAGAAGTTGCCAATAAATACTACCTGGAAACAAAAGGTGGAATAAAAATTAGTACTTGAATTCTGTATTTAGGCTCGTAATACCGATTTAGGGTTCAAGAGGTATAACTAAAGGATTTTCCAAAAAGGTTGAACTGATGATGAGATCGAAAAGACAAGTTGCGTGAGAAGTATCAATGGAATTCATTTTATTTGAAATGATTATGTATAGCTATTTGTATTGAATATGTGGCATGGATTCAAAAGGTTCAACTTTTAATGATTCTGTTACATACAGTAATGGACAAAAGTATATAGACAAATATGAATATTTGCCTAAATACCTTTAGAAAACGAATTCATACTTCATTGCTCCGTAAACAAATGCGTTATTAGTAAAAAAACTAAATTCCTTGTTTTTACATTATCTGCAATGAACACAATACAAGTCTGAATATAAGCACTTTTTTATGAGGGACAAAAATATGTAAACAAATTCTTTTCGTGTCAGAAGAGGATTAGTTTGTGTTCATCAAGTATTGTGGAATAAGTTGAGTGATTTCAAGACCATGCCGCGTGGTCCAGAAATTTGTTTCGATGTGAAAACTAAGATCATTGAGTTATACAAAGATGGTCAACGTCAAGTCGACATAGCAAAAAATTTGAAGCTGAAGCGTAAAGCAGTTTGGGCAATATTGAACAAATATAAACAAAAAGGTATCTTGGAAGCCTCTAAGAGAAGTGGTCGGTCTAGAAAACTAAATGCTAGATCAGTTAGATTAATAAAAGTAATTTCGTCCAAAGATCCGTTTAAAACCCCAAGACAAATAAAAGCCGAAATCGAGACAAAAGGAATTGTCAGTGTTTCTACGAAAACTATAAGTAGAAGATTAAATGATTTGAAGTTATTTCCACGTCGCCCGAGTAAGAAGCCGCTGCTAATCTCGAGGAAACACAGTAAGGACCGATTACAATTTGCACGGTTGCATCTTGATTGGAGCATCTGTGACTGGAAGAGGCTATGTTTCAGTGACGAATCCAAGTTCAATATGTTTGGACCAGATATTGTTCATTACGTTAGACGTCCTAGTGGACAAAGATTGAACCCCAAGTACACTTTGCCCACTGTCAAACATGGAGGCGGGTCTATTATGGTTTGGGGGTGCTTTTCGGGGTTTGGGATGGGACCTTTACATAGAATAGATGGCATTATGGATAAGTTTGTATATACACAGACATACTAAAGCATGACATGTTACCCTATATGGAAGACAATATGCCCTTAAGATCAATCCGAAGCACACTTTAAATCCCGCAAAGAAATTCTTTCTGGATGAAAAAATACCAGTCCTCAAATGACCTTCACAGTCTCCCGATATAAACCCCATTGAAAATCTATGGGAATACTTAGATAAGCAAATACGAGATAAACATTATTCGAACAAGGATTAACTTTTTGCCGCTTTAGAGCAAAAGTTGAGGCAGATTCATGAATTTTATATCAAGAAACTCCTACAATCTATTCCGAGACGATGCCAGGCGGTGATTTATAATAGATAATGTTTATGCTACAAAATATTAACCCTTAAGTACCATGGCGGGGTCAAATTTGACCCTCCACGTTTTGTATGCCAAGTTTCGCTACCAAAATATTTATGGCGCGCTACGCGCGTTCTGCTAATCTTCGACCGGTAGGTGATTTATCGATCCACAAAAATTCCATTAATTTATCTATTACCACTGCAGAGTTAGGCACATGTAGGGTCAAATGTGACCCGGTTATCGTATAAGTGTTTCTAGTACGAGTAGCGAATAATAATTTGAAATTTGGGGATGTAGTGGCAATACACGCGCTCTGGCACAGAAAGGACTTGAAGCGGAGGCGCAAAAAATGATTTCTAACCACTTTAGGTCAAGAACTTATTAAGGACCATTTGACTCGTAGAGCTCGGCATGTTTACCGAGAGAACTTCGAAGTGCCATTTTTAAAGTTTCCGGACTTCAGGAACCAGTGGAGGGGGAGGAGTAAAATATGGACATATTCTAAAAATAAAAAGAAAGAAAGCTCATCGTGCGATAAATGTCGAGAATTTATTTGCAAAAATCAAGCCCGCACGAAAACGTTATGCATAAATTGAATTGAAAAGTAAGGTCCAAAAATGCTTGTCATTTTTTAGATACGAAATCCAAATATTTTTTTTTATTTTAGGTAGCATGATACCTAAAATTCACCACTGAATACAAGAAAACTGAAGATGTTTATAATTTTTCTTATAATTTTAGAAAGTGCACATCTTTGTTAATTTCACTGGATACCGAAGTTGTTTTTTTTTAATAAAGTTATAACTAAACATACTCGTTTTATTTTAAAAAATTGTAGAACTAGTTGAAAACAAAAATAACTTAACATAAAAACAAGGTACAAAAATTAGATTTAATATCTGAAAAAAAATAACGGGGTCAAATTTGACCCTGCCATAGTATAAATGTTACTGTTTTTGGCCATGCTAGTTAAGGGTTAACACAAACATGGTTGGTTTTCTATAATTCAATGATCTTTGCTTCTTTTTTCTATAATTGTTTTGCTGTGACTATATATTTTTGTCCTTCATAGTTCCTGTTTTTTCAATTAATTTTTCATTGAAGGGAGTCTAATGAATTTACTTTTGTTTACATTTTTGTGATAACTATTATGGCATGACCTATCTCCCGTTTCCGGCTTGACGTCGCCTTTTGGGACACCCTGTATACTATTCTTGACCTGTCGCGCTTGTCGTTGGTGGTGACTCCGTCACCAAAGAACAAATGACGCTATCAACAAAAAATCCACGCTAATAACAGTGCATATTACCACTTGGGGTCGCAGATCTTTTCTAATAAGCCGTAATCCACCGATGTTCGTTACCAAATCATCGCTAAAATTCAGCCCTATATACGAGGCACAGCAAATTAAAAAGGAACCTCTTGAATCTGTGCCACTGTGAGAGGTCAGGTTACCTATCTATAAATTGTCATACTGTGAGATTTAAAATAATTTTTTTTATTGAAGAACTGGTTTTATTGTAATTAACAACGACCTATGAATGAGAAACTTTTGCCGTACAATGTCTATAGCTATAGACGTATGTAGAATGCAGTCCGCGAAAATCACAAGTTCGCCTATTGTTAGCCCAAAGCAAGGTTAAAAATTGCTTTCAAACAACTCAAGCTTAAATTACTTATTGCATTCTTGAAGAAGAAGTATTGGTCTTCAATTTAGTTTCTTGAAAACCTCGAAAATGATTTTTAACTGGGTTTTACGGCATTGAAAATGTCCATTTTCAGGGTTGCTTTGACTTTAAATTGCTTATAACTCGAAAACGGACAATTTTAGAAAAATTACTAAATCTTTTCAGAATGATTTGAAGAGCCTAAGACGAAAAGTTGATGAATTGGAACAGCTGGTACTGGATAAGAACCCTCTTATATTATGTTAATGAAACCCATATTACGGAGGATTTTGAGGATAGCGAACTGAATATTAATGGCTATAGTCACTACATTGCCCATGCTGAAAGTTGTCATACAGGGGGAACGATAATTTATGTAAAAAACAATGTTACTTGTACAGTTGTAAAGAATGTCGTACGTCACGGTCATTTTTGGTAATTATGCTCAAATGTTCAGCTAGGATTGGAAAATATAATTGTTGGATCACTGTATAGATCTCCGAACGGTAGCATGGACTTCCAATTTTTGAGGAATTACTGGAAGATGATTTAATTACAACTCATCAAAGTATTTTTTGGGAGATGTTAATATTCGCTTAGAGACCGAGAACCCAAGCCAAAAAAAATTAATAAACATCGTATCAGATGCAGGATTTACACAAATAGTTCAAGAGTTCACTAGAGTGACAAATACGTCAGCCACCCTGATTGATTTAATTGTGACTATACTTGCTTGAAGAAATCACGGGTGATTTTCCACAAATTTCAGATCATCGAATTATAGGCTGCGTATTGGATGTGCAACATGAGGTTAAAACAGAGGAAATGAAATATAAACGAAAATTTAATAAGGAAAATATTAACACTATTATAGCTGAACTCTACGGAAAAGATTGGGACTATTCAACAACAGATGTGGACCTATTATATGAAAAGTTTATGAAAAATATTACAGAAACTGTAAATAAAGTGGTACCTCTTGAAAAAACTCAAACCCGCAAACAACCGTGGATTAATAGGTTCGTAATCCAAGCCTCAAGAGATAGGGACGAAGCTTATAAAAAGTTTAAAATAACCAAATTAAATTCAGACTGGAATCTGTATAAGAAAAAAAGGAACATTTACGCTCGTGTTATTCGAAACGAAAAGAAAAAATATTATTAAATTACTATTGACCAATGCAAGGGGGATAGCAAAAAATGTGGCAAACTTTAAAGCAAGTTGTAGGCAGCAAAAACAAGAATGTTCTGTTATTTGATAATATTGAATTTGAGGAAGATGCTGGATGTGTTCAAGAAAATTTTAACAATTTTTATGCAAAAAGCATAAATGAAATAGCCGAGAAAATACCAAAATTTGTACCGACATTTCAAGAATTGCCACAGTTAAGTGATGGTCTGTCAAGCTTCAACACTATAAGCATTGATCAACTTAGAAAAAGGGTAATGGAACTTAAAAACAAGTCAACAGCTGATGATATTTGTAATGTTAAGTTTTTGAAAACGGCTTTTTATGTACTCGGATACCCTTTGCTTCACTTGGTCAATGCATCCCTTACAACAGGAAAAGTTCCAAAAGCAATAAAAACTAGTGTTATAGTGCCTATTCCAAAAGTGTCCACACCAAATAAACCAGCACAATACCGACCCATTAACTTGTTATCAGTGATAGACAAAATCTTGGAAACCGTGGTTTGTGCGCAGTTACGGGAGTTTCTGGAGGCAAGAAAACTGTTGTTTAAGGGACAGTCGGGATTTCGGGAAAAACACTCGTGCGAGTCGGCGCTGCAGTATGTCTGTTCGAAATGGCGTTCATACATTCATGACGGGAATATTGTGTTAAGTGTATTCATCGACCTTCAACGTGCATTTGAGACTACTAATAGGAAAAGACTGATACAGAAATTGCAGACCTATGGAATTACAGACAGGTTTATGAACTACTTGAAAGACCGTTGTCATGTGACGAAGATTAATAACGTGGCGTCAAATTCAATTGATAGTGAAATTGGGGTACCTCAGGGTAGTGTGTTGGGCCCGCTGTTGTTCCTATTTTATATAAATGACTTGAACAGGGTTTTAGTAAATACATTTCTGAGCTTATTTGCAGACGATACATTGCTTTATGCGTACGGTAAGGATTTTAGACAAGTTGTAGGTACTATGAACTCAATACTGGAAATTCTGTATAACTGGTTATGTGTGAATAGGCTTAAGTTAAATGTAGAAAAAACAAAATACATGGTTTTTGGGACAAAGCAGAACTGTAATACATTTTTAGAAAATAAATTTTGTATTGAGATAGATAATATTCAAATTGAAAGTGCATCCAGTATGACGTATTTGGGCGTAGTTTTAGATCCTCAGCTAAATTTTTCATTGCATGTTGATTATGTTAGTAAAAAAATTGGGAAAAAAATAGGATTTTTTAGGCGAATATCTGAAAGTCTTAGTCACTGGAGTCGTCTTCTTGTATATAATACCATCATATATCCACATTTTAATTATTGTTTTTCATTGTTGATATCATGCAAAAAAACTGATATGCAAAGGCTCCAGTTACTACAAAATAAGGCTATGCGCACTATATTATTTTGTACACGTTATACGCCTATTAATTGGATGTTAAAAACCCTCGGATGGCTTTCAATACAGCAAAAGGTTGAAATGTCAAATGTCTTATTTATTTTTAAAACAAAAAATCATTTATTGCCTGAATACTTGCAGGAATATCTAATACCGAGGTCCGAGAGGCATGCATATAATATCAGGTCACGTAACACTTTTGATATAGAATTCGCTAGAACATCCCATATGCAAAAATGTCTTTTTAGTGATGGTTTGAGACTTTTTAATGCATTACCTACATAAATTAGAGAAGCGACGTCTGTAAATATATTTATTCGTAAGGTTAAGCAATCGTATCTAGATAAAATGGCATAATATATGTTCCTTCTGTGTTAAGATAACTGTATGTCATTATCTCGCATTTGCTATTGTTGCATTTACTGTGGTTGCAGTTACTATGATTTTAAGGGAATCTAGAATTACTGATTTTTTGTTTATTACTGGAGTAAGATACTATTATAAACTATAGGAAGTAGCTTTAGGGTTAAGAATAATAAACATTTCATTTCATTTCAATATTGCTCAAAACAGAAAAATCACCTAACCTGACTGCATACTAAAATTTGAGAAAATAGTTTGGCATTCAATAGTCCCTATAAATAGCCTGTTCCGCAAGTTTTTGAAAATTATTATTTTTGAGGTATCAACTTAAGAAAATTCAAACCTTACCCTACAAAACCCAGATTACTTAAGGCTTAGTTGTAAAAGTTATGTTTACCCCTGCTGGTAGGCTAACAAGAGGCGAATTTTTTATTTAAACTGTAAACATAATATGCATGTTCTAGCAACGAATTTCTGTCGGTTGGAAACCGTTTAAAACCCATTGCTAGAACATGGCTGATATTTTGTCAAATTCTAAAGCGCAATCAAACCTAGAAGTAACACGTCAAATTGCTGCGTGACACATATTTTCCATTTTTCTTTATCTCATCGAAATATCAATATTTCGAGTGTTTTTACTTCCTTTCTGTGAAAACGTGTCTTTCAAAGTTCACACGTACTTTCCGCCGAAGCTGTGATGTAAAAAAAATATTATTATAGTCCCAGAACTTAAAATGCAAATATCTTTCAATTTAACTTACCCTGTCAATTTTTTCTTGCGTTGCGCACATCCTCGCTATGGACCCGATGTTGTTGGTGATCGTGACCAAGGTGGCCCTGGCCAAATCTTGTCGGCTGACTTTGCTGCGTTTTTCTCTCGAATTCATTTGTCCAAAGCTAGCAAAGGCCGAGAAACTTCAGTAGACCAATAGCACAATACAGCAAGCAAGGAAGGGACAGTGCAAAAGAACAAATTATAAGCTACAGTGCTAAGCAGTGTTATTTCTGCAAACGAATGTCTGCTAGTTTGTTAGGTTCGGAAAGCATGCCTATATCTAAATAGCGTTTTCGACTCAGAAAACGTAATACCCATTCCCTTTAAAAAAATTAGCCTGGAAAAGGTTTAATATAAATGTAGTATAGGAATGAACTGGAACTACAAGTTATCATGTTGCATAAAGGTTGATTTAGTACTTGTGGTGTGTCATAATTTTGATATGTATTGTGTTGATATACGTGTTTTACAAAGTTTGAATAAAATTAATCGTATGTCTGTTGCCGAAATAATTCCTACATTTACCTGAATTTTCAACAAACATATGTAAAGAAATGCCTGGAAAACGACTATTTGGCATTTATATGAAAATTGGAGGGCACTTAAACGCTATTGGCTATGGTTTCAAATTATTTAATTTTATATCAGAAACTATAAAAATGTCTAACATACTGCCCGTATGAAACTTAAGAATCACTGAAATGTTACTGCGAAATTAGAAGGTAAACTTTGAACTATTCTTCTGGAAGGACAGCCGATTTCGTTGCTGCTCAGCTTGTTGCGTGTCAAACGAATTGCGAAAACTTTTATCTCCTGGTGTCGAGCAGAAAAATCGTCACCATAAAAGAATGCATTCTTGGGCACTAGGGTTAGACTCATATTTTAAATATCTATACAAATATTAAAAAGGGGCTGAAAAATAGAATTTCTAAGCAAAAATAAATCCTAAGGATGTATATCAAACCGAGACGAAAAAAAACATGATGCTTAGATGTTAAAAAGCAAAGTGCAACATTACTACGGAAAGAAATTAAAGCAAAATGCAGACAATCTAAACAAATCAAAAAATTACTAGGGTTAAAGGCTCAAAGAAATTTCTACGCTAAATTAAAACCTAAGGATGTATGTCGAACCGAGCCGAAAACGCTATAGCCAAATTAGTAAATTTATACTATAGAACAACTACAGGAAATTATAAGGTACTGCACCAAAACATGATGCTTAAATGTTAAAAAACAAGGTGCAAGATTACTACGGAAGGAAGTTATTGCAAAATGCAGACAATCTAAACCAAAAAATTACTAACTATTAGTATTCGTTGTTTCACCTACAAACTGCTGTTACATAAGTAGTTATAAAGAGATATATTAAGTAGTATTATATTGAAATCAACAGCTTACAAGTCGTAATAAAAAAATGATTTTAAGTAGGTTCACTCTGCACTTCCTAAGCAAAGCTGTCATCAGTTCATAAATGGTTATGTCTGGCTTGAACATCTCTAACACGAAAATTAAATCGATCAAGCCAATCAAACATGCATATACAATCAATCCATAGAACATTTCCCTGTTCTATCGACAGTGCGTTGATCTTGTGCTATGCCTCATCTTGCCGTACGCCGTAGTCAGCCAGTCGCGGCAGCCCGGCAGTTAGGCGACACTCATCCAAGGGTAGTCTAATCATATTCTCAGATTTCCCCGAAATAATTGTAAGTCTGATTTTATTCGTGCAAGTTGTTCAAGGGGGATTTAAGACATGGACGCATAAAATGGGAACACCATACTTCTAAATATGCACCAACAACAAAAATTGTATTATATTGGTCAAGTAGTTTTTTGAGAATTCCCAATAGTTTATCCCAAAACACCTGTTTTCCGGCCATCACTACTAGTTTATTGAGCAATATACAGGGTTTGTTCAAAGTGCAAAAATACACGTGTTTACCTTGTCGATATGAATCACAAAATATTTCTAAAGATAAATGTTATTTTTATGAAAAAAACAAAGGTTACGTTTTTTCCTTCCAAACAAATTCGTATATTTCGTATTTGTAAGTAATTGAACAAATGCGCTACGATATTCGAAAAACATAATTTACTATACACATTTTAAAACAAAAGGGATGTGTCTATCAGTTTTTGTTGCGACTTACTCACAAATACGAAATGTTTGAATTTGTTTAGAAGAAAAAGCGGAACCCATCCTTTTTTGCATAAAAATAACATTTATCTTCCGAAATGGTTTGCGATCCATATCAGCAAGGTAAACTAGGGTATTTTGAACTAACCCTGTATATTGCTCGATAAACTAGTATTGAAGGCCGGAAAACAGGTGTTTTGGGATAAACAATTTTGTTGAGGTTATTTAGAAGTACGAATCCTATGAATTTGAAGACTTTCAAATATCTGCGACCATCGACGCATAAATAACAAGTTGCCAAAATATGCAGTTTGCCTCGGTTTTCGGCCATAACTTTGCTATTGGTCGAATCTTTTTACGTGTGGTCTCATTTTATAAGATTTCATAAATACCTAAAAATCTTATATGAAGAGTTTTTTCGTTCCTGCCAACACTTTCGATTGAATCCCAAAAAACACGTTTTCTCATTCCTTGTTATCGAATAAAAAGTTTTTCCACAAAAATTGGTGTACCCATTTTATGCGTCCATGTTTTATATACCCCCCTTATCAGGAACCAAATAACTCTTCAAATAAGATTTTTAGGTATTTATGAGACCTACATAATGACACCACACGTAAAAAGATCCGACTAATAGTAAAAAAGTTATGGCCGAAAACCGAGGCAAAATGCAGATTATGGCAACTTGTTACTTATGCGTCGATGGTTTCTCGCAGATATTTGAAATTCTTCAAATTCATAGGATTTATACTTCTAAATAGCCTCTACAAAATTGGAGTAGATTTGTCAAGTAGCTTTTGAGAATTTCTAATTGTTTATCCCAAAACACCGGTCTTCCGGCCATCACTACTAGTTTACTGAGGAATATTCAGGGTTCGTTCAAAGGGCATTTTATAGCGAAATACACGAGTTTACCTTGCCGACATGAATATGAATACCCATTTTATGCGCCCGTGATCTAAATACCCCCTTGAACAACTTGCATCAATAAAACCAGACTTTACAACTATTTCGCAAACCAGGGGTATATTGAGGGCAAATGTACCGGAAAATCTATGATGTATGAAATATGTCTAATCAATGCGTAGAATTACCGGGGTTGGAGGCGTATAAATATACTAACGCCAGAAAATTTAGACATTCTCTTCCCCACCTCCGCCAACTCCCAAGCCGCAATTTTTTACTACTACAAAATATTTTCCGAAAATGATCACTGAAACGAAAAAAGAAAAACGACATTTGAGCATAATATATCATTTTCGAAATTCCAATACTTTCCTGCCAGTGGCGTAGAAAGAAAGATTATTATTATTATAATTCGTTAGATGACTATTATATATATTATAAATCACTATTTATATAATATGAAGCTGAATCTGTATTATTAACACGTGAAAAGTCTGTTTGTCTCTATATGTGTGTAACAAGCAATGAAAAGATGAAACAACGAACTGAACAAACTGCTGAAAAGTGATATGGAATTATTTCATCATAAGCAAAGTATTAAAATAACGACTACCTAAATATTTTCTGTCTGGTAGATAACTCCATACCTCTTTTCAGGAATCGCATATTGAAGGCTTGATAATCACCTGCTTGCGACAAGATCACCGGGAAGTCCAAACCTCTGATAATCCCCACCATAAATATCCTTGACCAATTTATCTACGTGTGTGTTGTCGCCTTCTGCTGCTAACTCTATAGCTTCCTCAAACGTGTTGCAACCCGTTAAAAGGCAGCATAGTCCTAAGAATGTGCCGCCCCCTATACTGTTAAGAAATTCTGTTACCATTGTTTTTTATGATCAAATTCTCCTATAATATCAAAACATTCATTAGATTGTCTCATATCAATTCTACGTTTTTAGCGAGCGTTTTTGCTTCTTTATCGACATGAATTAGGAAAAGCTGTCATTTTTTATATGCCATCGACAAACGTCTACTTAAGGTTCCCATCTGGAACAACGACCAAATAGTTTATTCCATTCTTACATCAGAGAAATAGGGGTATTATATACACTAGAAACCAAATACCACTGACGTCGTAATGTGTATGAGAGAGAAGCGTGCAAAATGTGTGTTAGAAAGAGACAGAAGCACCTCGTTGTCTAGCAGCCCGAGTACGAGGTTACGGATGCCATCGGTGCACTCTTTCTTACATATTACGATGTCAGCCAAATTTGATCACCGTATGATAGTGGTTACTTACCTTGTACCGGAAACTCTCCTATAGTTAGTAGCAGAATATACAGCTAAAACACTAACTCCAGAACCGATATTTACAATGAGGAAGGGATACGGGTGCGAAAAGTCATGGTTGACTTTGAAACATTTGCTTGGTTCAGTCGGATTCGCCCAATAGTAACATTCGGACGGATTGTTTTTATCGATGTATTGAAGACCTTTCAAAAGGGAATCAAATTCGTCGAATTTGGCAAGTTTCATATTCACTTCCTGTGAAAGAGTGAAAAGAAACACCTTAAAAGTGGTATCTAACACGACGATTTCCTACAGTAACATCAATTTTAAAATAAACATTTCATTGGATATCAAGCTATTAACGATATATAGTTATGGAAAAAAGTATATAGGCAAATTAATATCGTGATGTATTTCTTTTTCAACTTGTTTTATATAATACACCAACCTGTGTACATAATTCGTTATAGCATAATACTCACTTATACATAAATAAATTCATTTTACTCCCTTCAATAAAAAAATTAGTTGAAAAAACTGGAACTATGAAGCACAAAAATATATAGACAGAGCAAAACAATTATAGAAAAAAGAAGCAAAGTTCATTGAATTATAGAAAACCAACCACATTTGTGTTAATATTTTGTAGCATAACCATTATTATCAATCACCACCTGGCATCGTCTCGGCTTAGATTGTAGAAGTTTCTTGATATAAGATTCATCAATCTGTCTCCACTTTTTTCTCTAAGGCGGCAAAAAGTTCATCCTTGTTTGAATAATTTTTATCTCGTATTTGCTTATCTACGTATTCCCATAGATTTTCAATGGGGTTTATATCGGGAGACTGTGAAGGCCATTTGAGAACGGGTATGTTTTCATCCGGAAAGAATTTCTTTGCGAGATTTGAAGTGTGCTTCGGGTCATTATCTTTCTGGAAGATTGATCTTAAGGGCATATTGTCTTCCATATAGGGTAACGTGACATGCTTTAGTATGTCTGTATATACAAACTTATCCATAATGCCATCTATTATGTGTAAAGGTCCCATCCCAAACCCCGAAAAGCACTCCCAAACCATAATAGACCCGCCTCTATGTTTGACAGTGAGCAATGTGTACTTGGGGTTCAATCTTTGTCCACTAGGACGTCTAACGTGATGAACTCCATCTGATCCGAACATATTGGGCTTGGATTCGTCACTGAAACATACCCTCTTCCAGTCGCAGTTGCTCCAATCAACCATGCAAATTGTAATCGGTCCTTACGGTTTTTCCTCGAGACACTGACAATTCCTTTTGTCTCGATTTCGGCTTTTATTTGTCTTGAGGATCTTTGGACAAAATTACTTTTATTAATCTAACTGATTTAATTTTCTAGGCCGACCACTTCTCTGAGAGGCTTCCAAGATAATATTGCCCAAACTGCTTTATGCTTCAGCTTCAAATTTTTGGTAATATCGACTTGACGTTGACCATCTTTGTATAACTCAATGAACTTAGTTTTCACATCGAAAGAAACTTATTCCACAATACTTGATGAACACAAACTAATCCTCTTCTGACACGAAACTGCTACTAAACTAATGTTGAAAAGAATTTGTCTACATATTTTTGTCCCTCATAAAAAAGTGCTTATATTCAGACTTGTATTGTGATAATGTAAAAACAAGGAATTTCGTTTTTTTCCAAATAACGCTATTTATGGAGCGATGAAGTATGAATTCGTTTTCTAAAGGTATTTAGGTAAATATTCGTATTTGTCTATATGCTTTTGTCCATTACTGTAGATCTTGTCGATTCCAAAAATATCGAAACAAAAAATTATTTGTCAAACGTAGGTTCGGTTGATCTATACTATATATATATTACCCAAAAGCCGATATTTTGTATGATTCAAAACTGAGAAAAATACATCACGCATACAGAGCATGTTATGTAAGATTTTGTTGAAAATTTTTTTTGACTTTGCATGATTAACCGTTCTGTCAAAGGTTATTTGCATAAATCATTAGCAAACAATCGACTTGTATCAATCTTTATAGGTGTTTGTATATTTTCAATATGGAAAAATGTAACTTGATTTTATATTGCGTGTTGATGCCATTTATAACATAAACTAGTAAAATCGCATATGTAAAGTATAATTGATAAACTATAATTTCTACGAGTATATGGCTTGAAATTTTAATATAAAAGTGGAACAAATCATTACTGCTTATAGGTTGGGTATAATTTAGAGAAACTCAAACAGTCCAACCCCTAATAAATACATATTTGTAAAATTCAGATGTATCATTCAAAGCTTCACAAGGTTAAACCTGTCGAAAATCCGAATTAAAATTGCAGCGTGACACATTAAGAACTTTTAAACTTGTGATTTCGCTATTTAGTTCCTGAAATAAATAGAATTCAGAACAGACATTTATTATACGATTGATTAACATATTACACCTGCTCAAGACCAATCGTCGGTTAATACTTGAATTTTCACTTCAAATATAAATTGTAATGAGCTGTATGCCTGATAACAGTCTGATAACATTGTTAAATTCGATCTCCATTCACATAAAAATATAATTTAAAATTTAATGTGCTAAATTTACAATTCGTATTTGTAGAGGAACGTGGAACAAAATTAAGATTGTGTTATTTGGTAATGATACCTCGACGGTACCGTTTGACTAAATATTACACCAACATGTACACAGGGAATTAATGACCTTTTTTTTTTCATTCCAACTTGAACTCATTGATGTTCACCTCTCGACAATAGCAATGTTTTGTATAATGTTGAAACACTGCTTATTTGCAAAAAATAATCCTTGACTTGAAATAGCAAAACTTTCAGCGTCACACCAACAGGTGGATAATTCCATGAGAAAATCAATGCAGAATTAACACACTCAGAGCATTTTTCAATGTCAAGTTTGTTCTTCAACCAGAGAACCATATATTGGAAAACCCACAGATAACCATAGAGTTGTGGTCAAACGGCAACGTCTAATTTAATGTGCCTGACAGTTCCATTAGCATCGATGACACAAGTGTCAAATATGAACCATCACGAAACATATAAAACACTATAATTCAAGTAAAAAAAAGTTGCCGCATCAACGGTTTATGTAATTTTATAACCAGGTAGAACTGCGACTTATAGCCCACTTGTAGTCGCCTCGTCACGCGACAGCGGACTTTCAGTTATTTTTGCCGTTTTAGAATCACGGCTACAGTCTCTTTGAGGACTAGAAAGAGGGCTACAAGTATAGTCGTTTTTGAAGCCGGCGGACATAGGCGGTTAAAAGAGATTTAGATCCGGATATAATTCAAAATAAATTTGTCAGCTGTCCCGAAAGTATCAATCGGAAAGACTATGTTGCAAATTACTGATCAAAAAATAGTATATAGGGTGCAAACGTTATGATATAGTCATTATTTAAATGGGTGATAGATGGGGGTTAAAAGAAGCAAAAAGTTTCATATAACATGGGGGTCAAAATGGCATTTTTTTAGAGAAAAGCGACTTTAAAGTAAAATAAAATCTGACATCGCCACAATGCCAGACGCAAATTACGACGGAACGCAGTGTAAATAAAGATGGAGTTTGTTATTTTTGACTCTTAAGTATTATTTCATTATTTGATAATGTACTCGTAAAATGCAAACAATTAAAAAAACGGACTTACCTCTAACTGTCTCAGCGCTTCACCTGGTGTGTGAAAGTTTATTGAACGTATTAAAAAAATCCACTTATAAATAGGGAACACAATTTTGATACATACATTGTTTTTCTTTTTAAACGCCACACTGAACTTTTTTTGTATTCAAAGATGGTGTTCAAAATGTCGTTCTCCACTTTCCACACAAGCTTCATTACGACGAACCCAGTTTCTTCTTACTCTATTTCCTCGGAGTTGTCCATTTATTATTTCAGGCGCATTAAAATTTTTTTAGCGAAGTTGTGATTCAGTTGTTATTCGACCAGCCCCATAAACCATCCCTTTAAGTTCTCCCCAATACCAGAAATCCGTCGGATTGAGGTCAGGAGATCTTGCTGGCCATTTTCGAGGATCAGGAGCAAAATGTGTGGTGTCCCGTCATGAATAAACCACAAATTCTGTCTCCGTTGTAATGAGATGTTGTCTAAGGTCTGTTCCAAAAATTCTGGTAGGTTATTGGCTAGAAAGCTAAGGTATCCTTCTCCTGACAACTTTGGGGGTATTTCGAAAGGGTCAATCACCTGATCGTCAAGAATACCCGCCCAAATATTTATTTTAAAACGTTGTTGGAAATGACCTTCACGAATGTTATGAGGATTTTCTTGGGCCCACGTGTGAGCATTAGGGAAATGTAATGTCCCGTCTCGCGTAAACGTACATTTGTCCGTCGCTAGAATGTTTTTAAAAAAATCCGGATTTTTTATGTTTTTGTGCAAAAAGCACCGACAGAATGTTAGTCTGCGAGAATAGTTTTCTGATAACAAGGCCTGCACTCGTTGTACATGGTAGGGATAAAGCAAACTTTCCCGTAGGATTCTATGGACTATGGTATGCGATAGTCCTACGCGGCGGCCTAATTCCTGAGTGCTAATATCTGCATTGATTATCACAATATTTAAAATTTGGTCCTCCTGCTCTACAATAACCTGTCTTTCACGAGTGCGAATATTAGTGGGCTGAACTCTTCCTGCATCTCGAAGTCTTTGGTGCACTTGCACAAATGTCCTTCTGTCTGGGTGTACCCGTTGGCGAAATCTGTCGCTATAAACTTGAGCTGCAAGATTTGAATTCTGACGAGCTTCACCGTAAACTAAAAACATGTCGGTGAACTCTTAATTCGAGAATATTGTAAACAACATGCCCGATAACTAACCACTGTTACCGTTGGCGATCGATTGCCGGTTCGATAAGAGTGATGATGACCGACGCGCTGTTGTCATGTGTGTTTTAAATTTTTTATTTAATGAAATTTACTTACTGACTACAAATTTTGGCTTAACTTAGAAAAACTTAATGCCATTTATTTGTTAATTACCCAATTTAAAAACGTTTTAGATTAGGTTATAAAAATTAGTAAGATTGTGGTCGATATAAAACACTTAAAGTTGTAAACTATAAAGCCATTTGGACAAAAATCTATTGACTTTTGGACCATGGGTCATATGAACTTTTTGACTTGTTTTATAACCCCCCCCCCTATTACTCATTCCAATAATGACTACCATAACGTTTACACTCTGTATATTTAAACTCCTAGTAGATTATGTGGGCGGCTTTAAAGGGCCATTCGGCAATCAAAACCTCAAGAATGAGTGGATGGTACTTTTTAAGACTTTGAATGGAATGAGCCCTAATAAATGAGATTACTCATATTTGTTTAGTCGGTATATCATTCCAATATGTAGCAAAGTCTCTAAAATAAGAGCCCAAATGATTTTTGAGCACTTGTTCTGCTACTTGTTGTTGATAAACCTTCATTTTGAGAATTCTTACGTTAGAGCTAGAATTGCAATATATTCGAATTGTGAATGACAATAGTACATATAAAATATTTATTCGAAATGAATAAAGTGGAAAAATAAGTGCGCATTTTGCGAAGTTCTCTAGTTAGAACATAGAAAATAAAAATATCTACATAGAAGTCTACCAATTTATTTAAAATCACTCTTCTGTAGAGCATGCAAAAAGAACTACCACATTCAGTGTATAAAATACAATGCTAAAGGCACTGAAACGAGAGTAATAATCACGAAATTATGGAATACACTGTGCACAGGTGTGTCTTAGAGCAACCGCTTAGGGCCATGAAATAGCAGACAATTTAGAGGAATACGATCACTTTAGTGCGTTGCCAAATTGTGAGGAGTAGAACCTTTAAGACCCTGCCTAAAATTATAGTCAGACAAACATAGTTACATAATTCCATGATATAATTTTTGTTACTAAAGTCCACTGACTTAACTTCTAGCCCCAGTTCTCGTCTTTTTTTCCGTACTAACTTCAAAAACGAATTCACAGGTAATTAGTTATCTAACTTGCAAGCTATCCAGCGATTGAAAAACGAATTTTAAAAGTACGCAAAAATAAATAAAATAGTAGTAACTTACCTTTCCAAAATCTTCCTCAAACTTATAGGCGCCACCGCCAGTTGCACAAACTGTTGTTACTAATTTGGCCATACCTTTATATTTGGCTAAGGCTAGGAAATTTTTCATTTCGCTGGTAGGAAAACGAATGAAATGTAATGTTCCCGATATACCCTTGATTTTTACGTTGTCCATCTGTAAAGCATCAAGTAGTCATTACAAGAATTACCCTTATATATACAATTTAAATATTGTTATTTATATTGTACAACTCAAGCTTCACGGGGATTGTAAATTACAATAATGACTAGATATATCCCATCTAGAGGCAAGACTTTGTATACCTAAAATATGTAAATATAATGGCTAACGAAAATATACGCGTAGCGCTTACCTACGTAACATTAAGTAGGTTTCCTATCGTTTGGCAATTTAACAGCAATATACGAAAATATAGGTACTTCTATTGCCGTTTGCTGCTGGCTATTGTAACTGAATAATGCAGTAAGAGTACTGCCCGTTCGGAAGCGCCATCACACTGAGTTACTCTTGCAATGATGCTTGAGCTGTAGAGTATTAGTGGTATCGAATACGAAAGTTACTTTGGGAATATAGCAATAGCGAAACAATATAGCAAAAATCCATCTTGTTTATCCTGTCGAATAATTAGTACTGCTTTATGAAATACCTGATGGTAAAAAATAAATAATTTTATTTTAAAAAAAAACTTTTATTTTATTAAGTGAAATAAAAATTAAAAAATATTTTTTCCGACTGGAAATATTTAAACAACTTATGAAGATCATTCATCTCGAGTTTTCAAATAAAATCGTGTTACAGTAGTATGGAAAAAATGTTTTTTAAATTTTAGTTTGTTAACTGATAAATCGAAGCTTGTTTTTAATAATGTAATTTTTTATTTTATTTATTAGTTTTCAGTATTTAAGATGTCATATAGCTAATTTATATTACTCCATAAAACTACTAAATACCATAAATAATCAAGTATATGCATTTTAAGGCGACTGGTAAATTATGTATATTCAGAATTAAATCAGTCAATCCAGAAATAATTATAATTTAAGTAATTAACCTAAATTATTGGATATAAATTTTACGAGCCACGTGTAATCTGTAATTCTAAGATCTTCGCAATTGCTATAGGGCAGATATGCGTAGGAAGTAAAAAAATGGCGTCAAGTAGGTTGATTCACCAAGCAAAGATTAGATAGGTTCATAAAGGATTATGTTCGGCATAAGTTAGCCAGCCTGAGAAAAGAGTTTACTATGAAGATGTATAACACAGAATTTATGCGGATCAAGTTAGTGAAATAGGCCCATACAATCAGTCCATAGTGCTGAACATCTGGTAACATTGTTATGACTAACCTCGCCCATACCTTGCCGCTCGCCACAATCACTCGTCAGGCACGTAACTAGCGGCAGTCGCGGTATGACACTCATGGATGAGATCGCAACGCAGGAGTAGCCAGAGAGCAAAGACCCGTTTGGAAACATTCTTATCATTATATGTTTTGTGGGCAAATGTATGGACAAATTTATGATGTGCAATATTTGTAAGAGCATTGAATTACCAAGGTTGGCAGCATATAAACATACTAACGCTAAAAAAATTAGACATATCCTCTATCATCCCTACAACCTCAACCTCTTATTTTTAACCTCCACAAAAATATTTCTGAAAATGATAGAAACCTCTGAAACGCGAAAAAACGAAGTTTGAGCGATTTTAATTTCTATCATTTTTTACACGTAGCTTTACCGTCACTGGATCGATTTTCAAAAACTACAAAGATTTTTCGCCATTGGCACAGTAGTGTGTGAAAATTTGATCAAAATTCGTAAGGTACTTTCCAAGTTACAGTCGGGCCAAGGATTAGCGAACAGACTGAATGACCTATTGTACTCTTATTTTTAACCTCCACAAAAATATTTCTGAAAATGATAGAAACCTCTGAAACGCGAAAAAACGAAGTTTGAGCGATTTTAATTTCTATCATTTTTTACACGTAGCTTTACCGTCACTGGATCGATTTTCAAAAACTACAAAGATTTTTCGCCATTGGCACAGTAGTGTGTGAAAATTTGATCAAAATTCGTAAGGTACTTTCCAAGTTACAGTCGGGCCAAGGATTAGCGAACAGACTGAATGACCTATTGTACTCGATACCACAAGTAGTAAACAAAACAGATGGGTTGATACGATCATTAAACCACTTTCAGAAATTTTACGTTTATTCATTATCGGCAAAATGTAAACAGTCTGCCGGTTCAAGATCAATTCAATAACACTAAGAAATTTTAAACTTGAAGGTGGAATGATCAGCCATCTATATTTTTACAAAATTGAGCCATTCACAAACAAGGCTGAGGTTTTATCAAAAAAATGTTCGGGATGAATGCATAGGTCAAAGAACAAAATGTATGTTAGTTATAAACATTTAATCAACAAATGATCGAAATTATGCTTTTTATATCCATTACAACTTTTCTGAAATAAAAGATGCTAAATATTGTAATTGCTCTATTTTTCAACAAGAGATTACGCATTAATGATATTTCACTACTTTCCACAATTTTTTAAAATAAGGGTGTTTCAATGTTATAAATACTTTCAAGCACTTACTTGCAAATGTATATCTCGATGTCCTGTTTTGCCATAAGCAGAATTTTTTGTGAGGTATCTCCTGATATTTCGTAGTGTTTCCACTTCAGATGCTAATGATTCACATCCTGAGAGATCTTTTGGCTCAAAATACACCAGTTTGCACAAGGTGCCTCCAATATCCATACCAAACCATGGCATAGCTGCAAAATATTGAATAATATAACCAGAAACAGATAACATAATACACATACGATAATTGCATCTGATATTGCATACATGTGGTTTACAGTTTTTCTTAGAACTAGCTCGAAAATGCCGTAACAGTACTAAAGTCATCATTTCGATTTTAGAGTGTTTCGTTTTCGAATTTTGAAATACAATCAGATATTTACTTCAAACATCAGTATTCAGCATATTTTTCAGATAATGACATAGAACACAAAAATTAGCATTATCGGAAAAACGTTTTTCCTACTATCATGCAAAGATATACGGACGTCTGCATCAAGCCGGAAACAGGGGATAGGTTAAGTCATAATAGATATCAGAAGAATACAAACAAATCTATGTCGTGTACTTTTTAAATTATAAGCTTTTAAAAAAATCGGAATAATCGGAAACATCTACATCCAACAACACATTTTTCTTAGGCGGCGTGACGGACAGTGTCATTCTACGTAGTGACAGTAAGACAGATAGTAACGCCACTTTTATTAATTCATGATTGTGTAGTACCGCCATGTTTTTGTACACCGTACAGCAATACACCACCATGCACCTCATTTATGGGGAATGTAGATGCAATGCTAGTGCTGCAGCTAGGCTTTATCGTGAGAGGTGCCCAAATGCTGCTCGCCGTCTCGATTACCGAGTTGTTGTGAAAGTGCAACTTCGTGGCCAGGTTTACCTGCGTTAAGTCCACTTGATTTTTTTACTGGGGAACGGTGCAAGAAAAACTTTCAATCGAAAATTTGGCTGAGTTACGGTACAGAATAACGGAGGCAGCTGAATTTGTTGATAATGGAAGCTTCGCCGTCTGATAATCCGATCATTTTCAATATGTCAAGTTTGCATTACTGCTGAACGTTTATTGTGAATTTAATAAATACATTCACGAATGTAATGTAGTCTTAGTATATCGCATTCTGGTGAATCTCACCTTCAGCATGCCACAGTATTCTCTGCTATCAACCTACACATACAAAGGATACTATAAAAGTTTTGCAATACGCAAGAGGGTGCATGTTACTGCATGTCCATGAGTGCATACTAGACGCCAGCAGCACGTCTGTTGATTTAGTTGTTCATTCATATTGACAGTGTAAAGTGCGGACTATGGCATCATGGTCACGTAGTGAGATAAGGGCAGTTTTACGATATAACTTTACGCGTGGTTTAAGCATAGACCAGCGCTTAGAAGAAATGACGCTTGCATTAAAGAATGATTGTCCTTATCATACGACTATATTCAGGTGGTACAGAAAATTCCAAAGGGGCAATTTCATTCTGGAGGAAGCTGAGGGGGAAGGAAGGCCACGAACGTCAGCAACACAGGAAAACATTTCTGCTGTGATGAAAATGCTTGACGAAGACCGGAGAGTGACATACCAACAGATAGAGGAGACCTTACACCTTCATGCGCCAGCAATTTATTAAATTCTGTATGGCCATTTACACGTAAGGAAAGTTTATTCTCTCGGCGTACCGCATAGTCTGATGGAAGAGCAGAAGACTCGTCGTACGACCTGGTGCCGAAAGATGTTGACAGGTGTCGCGACTTGGCTCTATTATTACGATGTGCCGTCCAAGATTCAAAACAAAGTTTGGGTCTTTGATGATGAGGACACACCCGTAGATGTCAGAAAATCCCGATCTGTTAAGAAAAAAATTATAACTGTATTTTTCAAACCGAGAAGGATTGTGGAGCGTGCTGTTTTGGACACACAGAAGACAGTCACAGCTAAGTGGTACACGAAAGAGTGCCTGCCTTAAGTCATAGAGTCTATGAAAAACCTGCTGCCAAAGCCAAGAATGGATACTTGGAACATCCAACATGACAATGGGCCAGCTCACTGCGCCAAAGCCTGCACCGAGGATTTGACCCCTACTGGAACTTATTGAGCACCCTCCTTACAGTCCAGATCTTGCTCCCTGCGACTTTGCACTGTTTCAGCTTGTAACAATGAAGCTAAAAGGAAAATGTTTTTATAGCGATGAGGACCTTCTGAGAGCTTGGGACAACGAGTGTGCCGCACTCCCGGGTGAAACTTGGCAGAGCTCGTTTAAGGACTGGTTTTGGCGGATGGAAAAGTGTACTGAATGTGGTGGAAATTATTTGAACGAAGTCAATAAATAAAGCTGTATTACAAAACTTTTATAGTACCCTTTGTACTATCACACCCAGCAAGATGCCCGCGGGTGCTAGAGGCATCGCGAACAATTTTTTAGTGCGCACCGTCGCAAGCGAAATTCTTTTTGACAGTCTCCCCACGCATACCTTAATGGGCGATAGCCCTTAGGTGCCTCAATTCAGTCAGATGTCTTTTTAGGCGAAACTATCAAAGTACTGCTGATGTTGGTATATGCTTTTTTTGTTTAACTAGTACTGTATTATGCTAAAGTCCTTCTTGAGTCGTGAAGATCTTAAATGATGCAAGAAATACTCAGGTTGGCTTCCAGCTAATTTTTTAAAAAGCGGATGAATTGCAAGGCTTGTGGTTCAGATTCTTTGGTCACAGTTTTTCTAAATGTAGATAGCTCCACTAGGTCGTCTCCCTCTTACACAAAGTGATTGATTATTTAAATGTTCATTTTTACTATTCAAATTATGTACATTAAAATGCCATATGATTCCATGGAAGTAGCCCTAATTTATGAATGTGTTCATATACATGGTGGTTAATTTTTAACAATATTGAGAATGTTGGGTAACAGTGGTATATTTAACAAGCACTAAAAAATATAACAACTAAATCAGGGGAGGAATAATAAAAACACACAAAATTTATAAAAACACTGAGAACTTAAAAGATTAACAGACAATCAAAACTATATTTTTACATGAACTTACGTTCTGACATTTCCTCTTGTTTCTGTTCAAAAACACCTAAAAATATTATGAGACTTTACTTCCAGTTGATACAGGATGCAATGTCTAAGCATTACATAAATAAAGAATTAAGATATTTCAAATCATTGTACATATAGATGAATAAGCAATATTAGTTAGGTTATTTCTTAGAAGACTTTGATTACTTAATAATTATGACACATTAATATGTAGATATTAAGATTCCGCGAATATCAAAATTGGTTAACAATGTTATTTTATAAATGAATCACATAAGTTCTCTATGGCTCAAAATCTCATTTCTACATATATATACAGGGTGACCCATCCGTTTGTGGACGGAATATTACCCATAAACAAATACATTTTGGGAAAATCTATTTATGGGATGTTATACATGACATCTGAGGGCACATTTCTAAAATATTGGCCATTATACAGGGTGTCCCAATCTCGACCTAGATATCAAAGTTGTGATTTTTCAAATGGAATGCCTCAAATTTTATTGCATATTTGGATAAACCAATTCAAAAGAAGAAAATTGATATAACACACTATGAGGTTTTGGTAATTAGCTACTGAGATATAAGGTGTTTTGTCTAGAAAAAACCCCCACTTCAGCAACCCCTCAGTCCGCCATTCTGAAATTTGGAGTGCTGAATTTTGTATCAAAAAAACTTACACACCTCAGCTTTTATCTTATTCGTTACTTTCTCCAATTTTAATTCCCTAAAATATCGCATCATCCTTGGAAACAAATAAATTGTTGATTAGTTACAAACCGTCAAAATTAGCTTTGTGAGCATTATAATAAAAACTTCATATCACCTATGATTGCATCAAGGCCCTCGTCCTCAGGGTTTTTGCAGCTCGAATGGAGTGGAGAATAATGCTAAATAAAGTGAGTGAAGACACTACTTTCCTGGATAAGGTTCTTTTTAGCGATGAGCAAGTTTAGACAGCACTGGTGTTGTCAACAGGCATAACATGCACTATTATGCAACGGAAAACCCTTACTGGGTTAGGCAAATAGATTTCCAAAATAAATGGAGCTTGAGTGTTTGGGGAGCAGTTATTGGCAGACCAGTTATCGGGCATTTCTTTTACGACAAGAGATTAACAGGTAAAGAATAATTGAATTTGCCTTTGCTTTTGGAGGATGCCAACCTGCAAACTCGGATGCATATGTACTCCCAGATCACCTTCTCTATATGGGGCTATGTTAAGCAAGAGGTTTATAGATATCCACCAGCTATCCTGGAAAACATGAAAGAAAGGATTAAGGATTCTTTTCTGAACATAAGGGAACACATGCTGAGGGATGTGCAACGGCCATTTATCCAAAGACTACAGCTGTGTATTCAACATGGTGGAGATATTTTCGAGCAATTTTTGTAGATTACGTCTTGAGTAGTGATAGTTGTTTGTTTATGTTGTTGTTATAGTTGTTTTTCTCTATTACGCTTGAAGCTGATTTATACTGTTCTGTATTGTTTTTACATCAAATCTGTACTCTTAGTGGCAATATGGAACTAGCCCACTGTTTGTCTTTTGTTTCCATGGATGATGTGATTTTTTTCCTTAATTTTGGTGTGTTGCTCTATTAAAAACTTAATAACTCAAAATCTACTGATTTTATCTGAATTAAACCTTATACCAAAAAAAAAAGCTGATAAGAAATTTAATCCAAACTTGTACAAAGATACAAGGTGATGCACTTGAAATTTTTGAGAAAAAGTACAATTTGCGTTTTGACCACCCTGAATGAGCAAAAATGAAAATTCTAAAAAGTAACAAATAAGATGAAAGCTGAGGTATGTAAGTTTTTTTTTGAAAAAAATTCGGCACTCCGAATTTCGAAATGACGGATTGAGGGGTTGGCGAAGTGGACGGTTTTTCTGGACAAAACACCGTACATCTCAGTAGCTAATTATCAAAACCCCATAGTGTGTTATATCAATCTTCTTCTTGTGAATTGGTTTTATCCAAATATGCAATAAAATTTGAGCCATTCCATTTAAAAAATCACAACTTTGATATGTAGCTCAAAATTGGGACACCCTGTATAGTTGCCAATATTTTAGAAATGTGTCCTCAATTGTCCTGTATAACATGCCATAAATAGATTTTCCCAAAATGTATTTGTTTATGAGTAATATTCCGTCCACACATGGATGGGCTACCCTGTATATATTTTTTTCAAAGTGGCTTGGCAGAGACGTACGAGATCCTCGTTATTCATATTCAAAGTTCAATCTATGTTTTGTTACATTTTTAATGGTAATAGTACATAATTAAATTCACAAAATTTCAAGATACAACCATCAATTCGTTAATTGAAATAAATTTACTTGATAAGTTCTAAACTGAAATTGTAGTAGAACATACATCTGTGCAACACTGACTTATTGAGGTTACACTTATTTTCAGTTACATATGTATGTATACGCAAGTTATATGACATTATTCTGGAACTAAATAGATATTCTTTCCCTCCCATACTCATAGTGCAGCTGGAACATCGCCTATCCCCAGTGAGTCGTGGCAACGCGGTCCGAACATAGGAAACACTATGGCTGTGGCGCACCGGAAATACGTGTAATACGATACCAGAACAGAGCAACGCAATAGATCTGCTAAGAATATTCTTCTACAGGCTAATGTACAGAGAAGTCTATGTTGTGTGAAATATGTCTAAGAGGTGCGTAGAATTATCATGGTTGAGAGCGAATAAATGTACTAACGTCAAAAAATTGAGACAAACTCTCCCCACCCCCTTTCAATACCCACCACCAAGTTTTTTGCCTCTAAATTTTTTTTCATACATAATTAAGATTCTCTGAAATGTCAAAAAACGAATAACAAAGTTTGAACTTTTATTCTTTTCCATTTTTGGCCTTTTTCTCTGCCTCCACTATACCAATTTTCAAAAACTAGCATTTGCATCCTTGGCATAGTAGTAACAATGTGCAAAACTTTCAACGAAATGAGAGCGGTACTTCTCAGGTTATAGGCAGTTATGAGATTAACAGACAGACTGTCAGACAGACAGACAGATACATTAATGGAAATGAATGACATAGTTTTTTGTGATGTACATGTCATATAACATAAAAAAAAGTAAAACAATTAATTTAATCTATCAACTTGAATCTGTAGTCATGCAAAAAGACCTCTGGGTTGTTATGGATCATAATTTTTCTTTTAAAAATCACATTGAAGATTTAACTAATAAAGCAATGAAACTATTGGGGTTTGTTGTTTGAGCATTGAAGGATTTTTTTTTCTTGAAAAGGCACCTACTATGCAATAGTCAGATCCATTTTCGAGTATGCTCATTCTGTTTGGTCATATCACTATAAAAATCATATAAATCCAATAGAGCACCTACAAAAGAAGTCACACAGCCTATAAACTGAAAATACCATCAGAACAGATTTATTATGATGACAAATAATTTATAAAGTATGACTACTCCAGAAAATTGAAGGATCTATATTGATAATTGCACTTTGTATAAATTGTGTGATGGACTGATATGTTCCTCAGACCTTTTATCTAAAATTAACTTCCAAGTAAAAACCAGACAAACAAGACAAAATGAGTTGTTCTCTGTGAATCCAAAACTAACTATCTATTGTCATGCATGGGCCTATGTTGAGAATGTGTGACAGGCAAATGAATTTCCCATCCTGATTATATATTTTTAATTTAAATTTTAATGATTTTAAAACTGTATGCATGAAACATAGTTTTAAATATATTATTATTACAATAATTCATCCCACCTCAATAGACCTGGCAAATAAAAGGAAGAATGGATATAAAAAGAATTAAACACTACTTGTGTTAAGTTGTTCTTTAATATTATGTCATGTGTAGACAATATATTATGTTGAATATGATGGTTTTAAATGATACAAAGTAGAGACTTCTTAACTTCTTAGTGTTCTGAGAGCAATTATTGTTCTGAGCTCATTATTAATAAAAAAAATGGTGTAAGCATCCAGACCCTTCTTTAATAAATAACAAAAGGGCTGAAGCTCTACAAGTAACATGAATTTATAAAAACTTTTTTACAACTTGATTTTAACAATATGCTCTCCATCTTATCAGAATATGAAATTGGCTATATTAGTTTATCAAAAACTTAGAAAGTGCAATTATTGTAACCAAATTACATATTTTATCAGAATTCCTATGCAGATACATCCTTATATATAAACAGTTTATAGATAACAGCCCAGTTAACTATATCAAGAAATGTTTTTAGAGATAATAGTACTTACACAGATTGTCAATTAGGCCATTGCTGTCTATCCCATTCATATCAGCAGCTACCTCCTTAGGAAGATCAGGTTTATCTCCTTTTTTCTCGGACATGCTTGAATCTACCGGCTCACTACCCTTACAGCTGTGGGGAGCCATTTTTAGCAACTGTAACACAAAAACACTGAAATGAACTTTGAAGCACCAACACCACAAGCAATGTACAAGCCACTGTCCTGTATTCGAGTCACATTCTCAAAATCACTACTGAGTGTGATGTATAGAAAGCTTTGGTAATTTATTTTGTACAAATCCAGCTTAACCTTGACCCTGTGATAATGAGGGTAATATTTGAAAAATTAGATACAAAAGCTGACTTTCGTCGTCAAATTTTCGCATTTAGCACGTACATTTCATAATGATTGGGTCAGGAAAAGTAACTGCAAGTGTGCCAGTTCATGTACATACACAAACTTCGTTACCTGAACTCATTTTATTGGAGAGATTACACTTGGTCCGGAAATTCGTCAGCCTGCTCGCGGGGCTATCTCAATCTTAACGCGCACGAGTTATGAAATTGGCGTTTTATCCATAATATTAATGACTGGTATGATGAGAAACAGAACATTCAATAATTACACTAGCGAAAAAAAAATTACGTATTTCTGATAGCGAAATTATTATTGCACCTTATACATCACACGTTCTGCTCATGAATGCAACACATTTCTTATAATTGTATTATAATTTTATTAATTGGAATCAAATTTAAGAACCTAATATAAATGATCGTAAACGTCATATCTCATATCAAAAACTTAGACGAACGTCACACTTCAACGTCAAACGTCATGTTTTCGTTTTCTTTCGCAAAATGAGAAACAGAAAGGGACAAGCAACAGGATGATTGAAACGGCCAATCCCGCCTTTCGCATTGAACATCTGACTACGAGAAAATTCGAAAGTGGAATAGGTGGGGGAACGTTAACAGAGATTCAAGTTCACTCCTCTCCACTTTTTAACGTTATGGTTCTTTTTTATCATCAGATTAAGAATATATTTTCAGTGGGTTTTGTAGTTTAACCCTTATAATGTACTTCTATTGTTTCTTAAAACAAACTATTATCATTTAGACATGTGAGGCAAACTCTTCAATAAATTCTTCACTCCTTTACCTTGCGCACATCATCAGATCATCTTTTGTTTCGTCTCCTAATCCAATATCATAAATCAGATTCAAGCGGATAACCAAATGAAAATGGTATTTACCATTTTAAGTTGGTATTTACCGATCCGTTCAAGCGAGTGTGGTTGTCAGTTTGGTTATAAGATCCGTGACGTCTGAATCAGCTGTTATATGTCACAGCTATCACCGCAAAATTGTGGTAATAACAAGTTCGAATTTTGCCGGGTATTGGATATTGTTATTGTACTTCAGCTTCATTTTTGGGAAACCTGATAAAGGATAACTTCAGTCTTAGCATAAAGTGGAGCACCTTATTAGTTATGCTCATTACTGTTGTTGGGAACACTTTCAATCTAGTTCCTATGTTTAACAAAGTATCCTGTGTAACCATATACCACAAGAATATTAAAATATGGCCATTTAACTCACTGGATGATGTCCACCTGTATATGGTTTTGCTAATATCTGTTTTCATCGTTTTTTCATTTCTGCTAAATCAATAAATATTTATCATAGTTATCATAGCTACAAAACCATGGTTCCATCATTAAAAAATTTTTTCTGAAAAAAAAAAACATTTCTCCCTTGAATATAATGAAAGGTTTCTTATTTAAACTTTCCATACACCGTTGTAGACAAAAAGCACCGATTATTAAGTGATAATAAAAGTAATCAGAGATTATATACGCACTTTTCTAAAATAAACAACTCGCAACAAAACCGCGGATAAAACTAACGCGTTCAAGCGATTCGTATACTGACGTCAAACGTCATCAACCTGTGTGTCATCTTGAACCATATTATAACCGCGGCACATAACACATAAATCAAATCCAAGCGGATAGGGATAACCAAAATTTCCGTATTATGTACCGCGGTTATAATATGGTTCAAATTGACACACGGGATGGTGACGTCAGTTACTCGAATCGCTTGAACGCGTTGGTTTTAACCGCGGTTTGTTGCAAGTTGTTTATTTTAGAAAAGCGCGTATATAATTTCTGATTATTTTTATTATAACTTAATAATCGGTACTTTTTCGTCTACAACGGGGTATGGAGAGTTGAAAAAAAGAAAACTTTCATAATATTAATGAGAGGAATGTTTTTTTTCCAAAAAAAAATTTTACTGATAGAACCATGGCTTTGTAGCTATGATAACTTTCAATTCTCTAAACTTTTCCGCATGTCAAAGAAAATATTTATTGATTTAGCGATGAAAAAAGATATTAACAAAACCGTAAACAGGTGGACATCATCCAGTGAGTTTATACGGCCATATTTTAATATTCTTGTGGTATATGGCTATACAGGATACTTTTTTAAGTGTAGGAACTAGATTTAAAGTGTCCCCAACAACAGTGATGATTACAAATAATGCTAAAACTGAAGTCAGCCTGTATCAAGTTTCCCAAAAATGAAGCTGAAGTACAATAAAAATATCCAATACCCGGCAAAATTCTAACTTGTCACATGTCAAATAATAACCAGAAATATAAAACTACTCCGGAGTTGGGTAAATACCACAATTTTGCGGTGATAACTATGACATATAACAGCTGATTCATGACGTCACGGATCTTATAACCAAACTGATAACCACACTCGCTTGAACGGATCGGTAAATACCAATCCAAAATGGTAAATACCATTTCCATTTGGTTATCCGCTTGAATTTGATTATAAATTTTGGTTATTCGCTTGGATTTGAATATAGTGTGTTCAAATATGATTTAACAAAACAAAAACCAGCGCGCAACACTCAAATTCGCGTGATCCGATTGGCCAGCAGGCAGCGACAAGCGTATACAAGTGGCGATCAAGTGCTGTGTTTGTTTTGACGTGGAAAAATGAGGTTTGAAGAGACCATTTTTAGTAGTTTATTGATTAAAGACGAGCAAGTGAAGAACTGAGATCCAAGATGGCGACTGAACATGTCGTCGATTTTTGAACTAACATTTGTACTCGCATCTTCTGTTTGCCAGAGAGTTCACTGTCAGCTGTCATAGAATGAATTTGATTTGACAGTACAATGTGTCAGTGACAAGCTGAATCAATGTCGCCAATCACAGCAATCTTGCTGCAAACCGATGAACTGCAATATCCCTATATATGATATGAAAAAATGATAAATTTTGAGTGCAAAACCCATCCAAATCCATCAATAATTGAAATTTTTGTGAATGGCTTACCTTATCCAGTAAAAGCAAGCAACAATGCATCTACTGCACTTTGAATATTTTTTTTTTGCTTTTGATTGTATCCTAGTTCGTACTGTATGATTCTAGTTATATCCAGTTGAGATTGGTTACGTTACCATCCCCATTCTTTTTCTCTCTCTTTTAAATAGTTCATCGGCTTTGCCACCGCGCCATTTTGCTTTGCGTTCACGTTTCTTGGTTGTTTCACTAACAGATAACAGAAACTAACGAAAAATGTCAGGAGAAGAAACATCCGCAGATCGCAATGTAGAAATATGGAAAATCAAGAAACTAATAAAAAGTCTGGAGCTTGCAAGGGGGTACGTATATGGACGACGTATTCAAAAAAACATATTGATATTGTAATGCCCCTATTTTGTGAAACCCTCAAAATTTGACTATGATAGTTTGCTACATTGTCATATGAGTCTGTAGGACCATTTAATCTTTCACAAATAAAGGAAATTTATAAAGTACAATTCCAGGTCGCATTGTATCAGATTTGAAACTGATCTTTGCGCACAATAGACATATGATTCTAAAAAACATTTGGAACTTCATAATTAAAATTAGCTATTGTCATTTGAACCCATCATACTGTGCCTCAATAATGGCGAAATGTCCAATCTTTATTGTGTACAGAGGCAGAACAATTTATTGAACATTGAGAGTGGACAGAAAAAATGAAAGCAAGAGGAATTTCAGGTGGCAATAAACAATGTCCCCTATACTTTGTCTTACACTTTCAAACTTGTTATTCATTGCACACTCCTTCACAATGATTGTCTTGCATTGAAATTTTTTTCAGAAGCACACTTCTTATTTAGATTCTACTGCTATTACTGTGTGACTATGATTGTCTTTTTGACAGATGAGGTTAGATAAACTCCTTTTTGTGCAGTATCTATCAATGGGGAAAAATTGTTTAAAATTTCACCAGTATCATCATGGTAGAATAACAGCAGATTATCTAGTAATATCTCAAAATTCCCCACATAATTCTGATGGATCCGTCAATGCCAGGTAGTCTGAGCCAAATTTTGTTTTGGTTTTTGTATGCTACAGATTCATTTTGTAGTTGCTAACAGCTCTTTTATTTAGAAAAGTTCATTGGCATACAAAAAACAAAACACCACAAACAAGTTTTGCTAGATTTATACCCGATTCATTATTGCCAATGTTGCAGAGTAACACAAAAGTGTCACTTGCTGATCAGCTCTTCAAAGTAGACAGCAAAGCATGATGGGTACTTGTGTAATAGGGTATACCTATTGCTGAAACTATGTCAGCAACTCTCATCTGTGATATATATGTTATTCTGGCCAATAATTAAAAAAAGTAGTTACTGCATCATAGAAATTGAGTTTTACCACTTACCAAACAAGTGTATTAAGCACCTGATCTGTTAGGCTAGCAACTAAAGTTCTCTTGAAAATGCTAACATAGTGAAACACATGTTAGGAGTATACTAAAGGAGTTTGGCAAGTGTCGAGGTCATTTATAGTGATATTTGCTACACCAAAGGATCCTATATAACATACCTTAAAGATGGACCCCATAAAAAAAGTATTGTTCAAGCTTAAATACATATAGAAATGATTCTCATTAACAGTATTTAAATGGACTGTGCCTTCATGCATTATTGATTTTTACCGTTTTATTGAACACCCAATACTGGTTACAAAGAACAAACATATTTTTTTGTATGTGTTAGGAATGGAACAAGTATGATCTCCCTTATAATCCCACCTAAAGATCAAATCTCTAGAGTAAGCAAAATGTTAGCTGATGAATTTGGAACAGCTTCTAATATCAAGTCTCGAGTAAATAGACTATCAGTACTTGGTGCAATCACATCTGTCCAACATCGTTTGAAACTATATACAAAAGGTAAGTGTAGCTAAGAAAAGTAATTACTATTTTATTTGCTTTCTTCATTCAGAATATAATAACTTAGCTTTCTTCACTTGAAAACTGTAAATCTGTTAATATTACTTATACCCACAAAGCTTAAGTGTGTTTGTGTTGAGTTACAAATAAAGAAGTAATATTCACAGTATAGTATTTATATAAGCAACCCCCGTCTCAAGGACAAAAAAATAATAAACATCGCTATAAGGTGGTCATATGTTGTTAATTGATATAAACAAAACCTTGGGCATTGAAATTAATATAGATTTGTACATACGAAAATAAAAATTGTAGACTTTTGACAATGTTTAGTACAACATGTATATTATGTTTCCTCAGCAAGTCCATTGATTCTGATAAAACATGTTTCCTTTATAAAAAAATATAGTGAGTGCTGCTTGCTCTCTAGGTTTGTTTACTGTGTAACACTACAGAATAAATCTGTGATATTTTTTCAGTACCTCCCAATGGTTTGGTGATCTATTGTGGAACAATTGTAACAGATGAGGGTAAAGAAAAGAAAGTAAATATTGATTTTGAACCGTTCAAACCTATAAATACCTCATTGTACTTATGTGATAATAAATTTCACACAGAAGCACTCACAGCGCTACTGGCAGATGATAATAAGTTTGGATTTATTGTAATGGATGGTAATGGTGCCCTGTTTGGAACGCTACAAGGTGAATATATTTGTGTTCTAATAAATCTCGAGAGTCAAAATATATAAATTGTAGGTTGGTATTTGCATTTATGTATGGAATATAATATCGCACATATGTCCACCGCTGCTCCGTTGACATGCCATCATCCGAACATCAACATTTTCAATGAATTTTTGCAGTATTAGCGGGTCCACGGCCGCAATTTCGGTACGAATGTTCCGCGTAAGGTCTTGAATCGTGCGTGGGGCAGTCGCGTACACTTTCCTTTTCAAAAATCTTGTCTTGTCTGAAAAGATGATTTTAGCAGAAAATCCCTCTCCTATTTCAAGCATCCAATTAACAAAAATACGCCATTGCTGATGGTCCGCTGGCTTCAATTGTTGAGTTAGTTGGATCTTGCTTGGGTGTAGGTGGAGGTCAACATGCGAAATCCTCCATAATGTTGTTGGCCTGATGTCCAATTATTGCGAACAGTGTCTTATTGAAGACTTAAGACAGTTTTCTCAAAACGATTGATAATCCATCGGATTCTACGCTCTGTGGGACGATTATGTCGACCATCATGAAGTTTGCGATAAGTACTTTTTAAAGATCGTCCGTTTTCGTAATATTTTTGGACGACCAAAATGCGGTCTTGCGTTGTCAATAATCAATAATAACAAATGGCAGATCTTTGACAGTTCAGATGTGCTAAACACATGGCAATTGACACATTTAACTTGTAAAAAAATGATACAAAATTAACAATATTTTGTCAACAACATGGTCAGTACGGGCCGGTGTTCCTCAGGGTTCCGTCCTAGGACCAATTCTTTATTCGCTTTTCATCCATGATGACCCTTGCCCCAGCAACTGTGAAGTCTACCTCTATGCTGATGACACCGTGCTTGTCACCCAGTCGGGTCCTGGTGATCTGGTTCGCGATGGGTTGCAGAATGCGGTGGATGAAGTTCTAGAGTGGGTGGAATGGTGGCTGATATAAATTAATCATTCGAAAACGCAGGCTATTTATTGTACCAAAAAACGTCGCGGCCCCCCAACAGAGGTTTCTGTAGACGGAAATCGTCTACCATGGACAAATTCTGCCAAGTATCTCGGTGTCACCCTTGATAAAGGCATGACCTGGCAGAAACATACAGCTTCCATTAAAACAAAATTCCAAATTGTGTTTCAGCTGTATCCTTATGTAGATCCTCCAAATTGAGTTTGATAAACAAAGTCCGACTATATAAAATGATTATTAGACCAGCCATTACTTATGCATGTGGGGCTTGGTGTTTTCTTGCCAAGACACACATACAAAGTCTTCAAGTACTGCAAATCGGAACTTTGCGGACAATTTGCAATGCTCCATGGTATGTCTCAAATGAGACACTACACAGAGACCTTGACATTCCTTACTTGAGGGATTATGTCAAGCTTCAGGCGCAGCGACGTTATAGTCAAGCGGAATCGCAAAGCAACCCTCTGTTGCGTGACTCAGTGGACTACACTGTGGAGCAAGTTGTAAACATTTAAGGTCACGGCTCGCACTGTAATCAAACGTTAGCATGAATTTTTAGTAAAATCAAAATTGCACTCTAACAAAACCGAATCAAAAATTTGTTTAGTTCACCTCAAAATTAATATGTGTACCAACTTAAAAAGCCTAGGTATTTTCTCTTAAAGTAAGTACATCTGATTTATTTTTTTATTTTATTTTTTTTTATATCGAAGCAGCCGCGCAGGCAGAAGGCTAAATGCTGGAACACCGCGGCTGCTATGATGATCCCAAAGAGATTTTATTAATACGATTTTTGAACTGCCTAAGGTTAATAGAACTGGGAAAAGCTTTCTCTTGTAGATTGTTCCACAATCTCGACACCCTCGGGACAAAGGAGCTGTCGTATCGGCCGGTTCTGGATGTATCAAGTTCAACACGGTTAGGATGGTACGCCAAAGTCAGGCGGGTCTGTCTGGCAGGCACATCGCGCGACGGAATCATGGAAGAGAGCTCTGAGGAGCAAAGCCCATTGGTGTAACGGTAGAAAAGAGCCAGATCGCCGACAGCCCGCCGGTGCGAAAGAGTCCCGAGACTGTCTGTTAGAGAAGAGTCATTGATCAGTCGGACCGCCCTCCTCTGGACAGCATCGAGCATGGATAATGTAGTCGGGGCGGCAGCACCCCAAATGTGTGAGCAATACTCGAGGCTAGGCCTTATCTGGGCCTCGTATAGAGTGAGAAGGTCATGCGGAGAAAAGTACTTCTTAGCCCTAAACAAATAGCCTAGGTTTTTCCCAGCAGAAGTTTGCTTAAGAGGGCAGCGTGCCACAGCTGATCGAACGCTTTCGTGATGTCAAGAGCAACGACATGAGCCTCACCATAAGACTGGATGAGTTTACTCCACAATTGAGTGACGTAAACTAGGAGGTCCCCTTTGGATCGTTGGTGCCGGAAACCATACTGCCTGTCGCTAATCAAGCCGTGACGTTCGAGGTAGTCCAGAAGCTCGCGATTTATGCACCTCTCCATCACCTTACTTAAAACAGAAACCAGAGCTATAGGCCTGTAGTTGTAAGGGTCGGTCTTAGATCCCTTTTTTGGGATGGGTTGGACATGAGCAAATTTCCAGTTTTCTGGGAAGGTGCCAGATTCATAAGACATCTGGAAGAGACGCGAAAGAACTGGAGCAAGCTCCGGTGCACACCTCTTCAGTACAATGGCAGGAATCAAGTCCGGACCAGAAGCTTTGTTGATGTCGAGCGAGAAGAGCACTAGTCTTACGGTCTTATGCCTGAATGTTACCTCCCGCATAGTGTAGGGAACCCTTTGAATTGACGGCACTTGGGCGTTGGGGGGGACGTCCATGGTGGAGTTGGCAGCAAAGATCTTGGCTAGCACTTCCTCCTTGGCCTTTGAGTTGAATACAATAGTTCCATCCTGACACGTAAGTGGTGTAAGGCTACTGTGTGAGAAGTTCTTTTCAATCTGCTTGGCCAGCGGCCAGAAAGACCGACTGCCATTGCGCTGCGACATTACCCTGTGCCTAACTTTAATATAGTGCTGGTTTTTGGCATTGCGAACCGCTGCTTTATATTTGTTTCTGAACTCAACGTCGGCTTGTCTGTTCTCTACAGTGGGGTTTTGTAAGAAGGTTCTGTGTGCCTTAATGTTCTGCTGGCGAGCAGCGTCACACGATTTGTTAAGCCAGCCGTTGGACCCTGGTCTAGGCACTTTCACTGTGTGAGGGATGTATTCCTCCATTCCGACGTGGATAATTTCGGTTATCGAAGAACAGACAGCCTACGCATCCGCGTCAGTGAAACAGACATCTTTCCAAGGAAAGCTAGAGAAGAAATCTCTGAGCCCCTCCCAGTCGGCATGTCCGTAATGCCAAGTTTTGCGGCCTGTACGAGTTTGTGCTGCCACAGCGGGTTCTGACCGAAACCTAACCTCCATAACACCGTGGTCTGAGTTACCCAGGGGGGACAGGACAGCAGTGCTGTAAGGGACAGGATGCGTGGTCAGAAAAAGATCCAGCAGGCTACTGGCGTGTGACGAGACGCAGGGGAAAGAAGTAGGGCTCGTCACCAGCTGAGTCAGCCCTTGGGTAAGAGCGAACGCTTCGACTGCACGACTTGCTGGGTCGGTCTTGTTGGAGCCCAACCAAAGCTCATTATGGGCATTGAAATCACCGAGAAGAACTACATCTGAAGCGGGATGATTGATGTTCAGGAAGTCGATCTGGACGGCGAGGTATTTGAGTAGGTCATCCCAGTTATGGTCCGAGGGAGAGCAATAAAGGCAGCAAATTAATTTGGGTGATGTTTTGGAGTTGAGGCGAAGCCACAGAATGTCCTTCCGGTCTGATTCCAAAGAAACATCTCTGGAGCAGGAAAGACTGCTGCGGACAAAAGCCACAACTCCCCCGTTCTTTCTCAGATTGGAGTGCACCTCGTAGTTTGGGAAGTTGAGATGGTTAATCGGTGCAGACTCTGAGATTTTTGTCTCCGCCAAGGAAAGCACGGCGGGACGATTGGATAGCAGGTAGTGATGAACAGCATCAATGTTGCTGTTAATCCGGCAGATGTTCGAAAAACAAATTTTATCTTCGATGTTGTTCCCTCGAGCCCACCCTCCACCCGGACATTCCGAGAGTGGAGTGAGTTTACGTCCGGGGTTCTTAGTGCTCGAGGGATCCATCATCATTAATTTCTTTGTTTTGGAGGATAACCGACTGCATAGCTTAGGTGTGGAAACATGCGGACATTTATAAGACACCCTGGGAAAAGCTAGCGGGTGGTACTGCCTCGGTCGACTGGTCCTTGTCTACCACCTTCTTTTTACGTGTTATTGATGTTAAATAGACCTAAAGTGGCCCGTTGGCGGACTTGTACCGCCACCCGGCAATCGGTACTGAGGTATTCCTTAACGCGTGGACAATCACTTGAACGGGAAGAAGTTGTATACTGGATACAACAACTTTCGGAACAAGCATTTGCCACGGCCCCACTCAGTAAGGCCGTGCTCTTCTCCTTTCTTCTTCTATTTCCCTTTCTCTTTTTCCTTGACTTTGTCTGGTTTCTGGGCAACCAGGACTGACAGATTCGACTAATGTACATTAGACAGTGACTAATGGGCAAAGGTCCTACGGGCCGCCCAGACAAACAAATAACGAATAGTCATAATAACGGTGCTTCCACCATCCTTACTTTTTTTTTGAATGGGTCAAGCTAGCAAGCTGTAATTCAGAGTATTGAAATTGATGCACGAATACTATATTTTAGTGTAAAGATGACAGTGGAACATTTCAAGATACCAGCTAAACACCAGTTTCACATTAACATTAACATTCACCATTGTTAAGCTCCTTATGAGTACTTTATAACCCTAGAATATAAAACCAGTATCTTTCAAAATTGTGATTTGACAGGCAGTCAAAGTTTAATTCAACAAGCAATCATCGAAATGTTGTATATTATATCAATCTGCAAATGGGATTTGAACCATGTGGATTGATTCTTCCAAACAGTGGAGCGTTTTTTAAAATTTGCTCATAGATAAGCTCAAAATAATATAGAACTTTGTAGGACAAATTTCCATTTTCATATCTTGTTGTTAAAAGCAAACGAACCTTTGTACACCAATTTTTTTGAAGGCGTTAAATTTGAATATGAAAGCCATAAAATCTTAAAATCGTGGAGTACCGAGGGGTCGAATTTGAGATAGATATAGATATGTTGTTTGGAACCTCTCGAGGGTTCCAGCGTCGAATTGACGTCGGATTAGAAATTTACGCACCCGATTTAGAGTTTCCAGCAAAAAAAAACGACAGCTTTTTGAATTTGTATCATAGGAAACCTCAAAATATAGTGAATAATTAGAATGTTAAAAAACTATATTTCCAACCATGGCAAATTGAATGTTTTTATTATAGGCAATACACGTGAGGTGCTTCACAAATTCACTGTAGATCTGCCAAAGAAACATGGTAGAGGTGGTCAGTCTGCACTACGTTTCGCGCGTTTGAGAATGGAAAAAAGACATAATTATGTAAGAAAAGTTGCTGAGGTAGCAACACAACTGTTCATCACAAATGACAAGCCAAATATAGCTGGACTTATCTTGGCTGGTAGTGCAGATTTCAAGACTGAACTAAGCCAATCCGACATGTTTGACCCTGTAAGTGATTTTTTTTTAAATTCTATCTATTGGAAAATTTCTGGTACAGATGTTTCTATATGTTGATGTTTCCAGAGATTGCAAGCTAAAGTAATAAAGTTAGTTGATGTATCCTATGGAGGTGAAAATGGTTTCAATCAGGCAATAGAACTAGCAGCTGAATCATTGCAAAATGTCAAATTCATCCAAGAGAAAAAACTAATTGGTAGATACTTTGATGAAATTAGCCAAGACACTGGTAAATATTGTTTTGGTGTTGAAGACACACTCAGGGGATTGGAGCTAGGAGCAGTAGAAACATTGATTTGTTGGGAGAATTTGGACATTCAACGATATGTTCTTAAAAACCATACGACAGGCACTGAAACTGTATTACACTTGACCCCAGAACAGGAGAAGGACAAATCTCACTTCACTGACAAAGAGGTATGACTAAGACCGATTCTTTAAATGTTTATATCATTTTATAGGCTCATGAAACATATCAGCGACTTGGCATTTCAGATTACAGTACTTTCCTCCTATTTGAGATTTTCCACTCTTCATGTCAGCAGATGGTTAACTACTCAATATCTGCAATCTGAATAGTCATTTTTATCTTTGACCATGCATCAGACTTTGACTACAACACAAAACATTCACGTTTACATATAAAGAGTATAGATAGGATTTAGAAAAAAAAACATATTTGTGGTAATACTCGCCCTGGAAGAGAGAACTTTCCTAGAACGTTTGCATAATTCAAATTTGTTCCTCCATCGTAAAACGACCCATAATTTAATTTCCGTTTAGTCTCTAGATGATGCAGCGCAATATAAAACGTCTTAAGCCATTGCAAAGTGGCCCTTTTACTCATTTCAACAGGGCAATTTCTTTTGGTTATCACATTTTCCTTTTTGTAGACGGGAGTAGAGTTAGAATTAGTAGAATGCCAGCCGCTTCTAGAATGGCTAGCAAATAACTACAAAAACTTTGGTGCTACCTTAGAAATTATCACTGACAAATCACAAGAGGGTTCGCAGTTTGTACGAGGATTCGGTGGTATTGGAGGTGAGTCCTAGTTTCAGTCATTAGTGGTTGTCATTTACGTTTAATTGATACTTGATGAGTTTTGAATTTCTAAATAATCTCTTAATGTATACTGGTATAGAATTATTCCAAATTGTGGAAAAAATTGCTCCATTATGTCTGCAAAAGAAGTCTCTGCCAGTTGTTTTTTATTACAAGGTATATCCAATGTATGATCACCGCATCCTATACTAAACTAATGCTAATGGGAATCTCTTATTCAGAAGTGTGAATACATGATTTTCTGAGAACAAACTAGTGCTGAATAAATCCAAAACTGATGCAACATTATTTAGAATTAACCAGAGTAAAGTCGTTGAGCCACAATGTATCAATATAGATGATCATCAACTGCAGTTGAATGAAAGTGTGAATTTTTAGATTGGACAACACATGTATTTGAACTGCTGAGGAGGCTCAATTCCATAAAGTATGGTTTTAGAGTAACATCAAGATATCTAAATAATTCGAGTATGAAAATATAGTATTATGCTAATTTTGAAAGTGTTAGTACAGGATTATTTTTTTGGGGCGCAATAGGTTTATTCAAAAAAAATTTGTTGTTCAAAAAAGAGAAGTATGTCTGGATAAAGGGACTAAATTTCAATGAAACTTGAGTGTAAAAATGAAAAAATCTTGACTATGTATGCCATCTATGTGTATGAGTCTTATATTTTTTTCAGAAATAAAAATTTATTTGAGCTTGAGGTGCAAACTGTCTCGAACAGTATATGTTAATTATCAAATACATAGATTATCCTCCACAGAAAAAGCCCTATTTACATGTGACTAAAATTTTTCAATAATCTAAATGAAATTAAAAACATAAACAGTTTTCATAAATTTAAAAAGACGATTAAGCAATTTCTAGTACAGTCAGAGCCTTATACTATAGATGAGTTCTACGTGAGTTGTAATAATTCCAGATTGTAGCTGTTTTAAGATACATAACATGTAACAAGAAAAAAAGGTCTGAGGTAAACTACTGTAGTTACAGTGATAGTGACACGCAACATTTCATTTTGTAGTGGCTATACAATTTCTGTAATGTCATTGTACAATTTGAGATATAGATTATTATTATTATTAAACCTAATTCATTTTGAGGTGTAGTAGATGTAAATATCCGGTATGATGTGTTATGCCAGGCTGGTCAGTCTGTATTCAGTGCTCAAGTGCGCGATGTCAGTGTTTACAAAAACCTGTCATTGTAATGGTTCCTTGAAGGATAATGGATGTTTGCTCAAATTCTAGTAGTTAGTTTGTTTGCATTCAGCTCATTTACCTATGTAGCAATGAAACACTTGAGTAAATTATTGCGGCATATAGACGACACTTGCAATAAAGATACAGACAAGTTCTTTCTGTTATTGGGGTCCTACTATCATGGATGTCCGGTGATGTTTTGAATGAAGATCAGTAATGAACCTTTCCGAAAAAATTACATAACTTTATTATCCCAAAGAAACTTTGATGGGTTTATGGAGGAATAACATTGGATTTGCTTTATTCTAGATTTATAGTCACAAAACGACGAGACTAATTTTGTTTAACCTGTTTAACTTGTATGTTTTGTTTGATAAGCTAAGATTTGTTCTGGTGCCTTCCTTTTTTCCATTTTATGACTTTTGGAGCAATGTTTTCCATCAGCTAATTGAGGAATACGCGAGTATCACGATCCACAATTTTATTTACATTATTTAACAGATTATCTGTGATTAAGTACAAAATTTTTTGCTACATTTATTTGCTAAACCATGACTAATTTAGATTCATTTTGCTTTAATGCTGCTTGGATACAAATTAGGCATTCTTCGATACAAAGTGGATTTTCAGTCTCTACAAGCTGACGAGCCACTGGATGATGTAGACCTTGATGATTACTAAAAAGGTCTATCTTATCCTTATGGCTAACTATATAACCAAGGTACAAAATTATGCTCTATGGAAATAGTATCGAAATCGCAGTTGTATACATTATGTGAAAATAAATTCGTGGAGGTTATTATCTTGATTTTGTTTCAAAGAAATATTTTGTAGGTGCTTTTGATGGTCCCCATACTTTTCAAATATATCAAGAAAATGAGAATAGGCGTCATTCAAAATTTTTAAATTTGCAGAATAATATTGTATGTCTAACAGCTAAATGAAACCACATATGTTTGAATACTGTTCACACTTTGTAGAATCTTGCGTTTAGCCTGCATTACTGATTTGCGATAACAACGCAGCGATCTATGGCGGTTCGCTCATAAATGGCTTGGCATCTACTGAGGCAATGTTGCTAAACTGACAGAAATGTTCAGAAACAGTAGGTGGAAATGTCCGATGACACTGTTGTGTAAAGTCTTTTTTTATGCTGGATAATGCATGAAACATGTCTTCTAGTTCCTTATCCAGCTGTCAGCTTATTCATGAATAAATTGACAGTTGTTGCGCCCACTGTTTCTTCACTAAGAGAGTTCTAGGAGTATACCACAACATTTGAAATGAAATTTCTCCTTATCAGCTTAGATTGTCTCAATCAGGTGCCCTCGTAATCTTCGCTCAACGTTGTTCATATGACAAATGTCGAATCTGGTGGAATTCGCGTTAAGATGTAATCTTTCCAGTAGTTTGATGTCTTTGTGAGCGTCCCATTTTAATAACTCAATAATTATTTTCACGGTTTTTGGCGGTTACATTATAATAATGGTAATAATAATGATAATATTTATTCAAACTGATCATAATCTGCGAATAAATCGATATACCACAAACATAAGTAAACAGATTGTCTTAACTATACCACTCGCGGAGCTTAACTTATCTAGGGAAATTGCTCACTGTGCAAGCCGATTCCTAAAGCGGCTCCTGCTTGCTCTTGCACTCACATATTAATTGTGTAACGGAAGATTATTGAATGAGGTTCTTGAAAATAATGTAAAAATGTTAACACAAACTGTTGACATTATAGTTGTACCTTCAGGCATTGTTATGCTTGAAATTGGAGATCAACAAGAGGTTAAGGCGGCTCCGACGCAGTGAGTTTCAAGCCATTTAAATTTTGTTTGAGCACAAGTTTTATGATAGGTTGAAGTGCGCACTTTTTCTGTTCAACTTCGCGATTTTTTTAAAAAGAATCTAATGAAAAAAATGATAAAGTGGCTCTATAGCACCCTGTGTGGTTTGGTTTTGTTTTCAGCACACTATGAAAATTTCATTCAAAAATATCAAAAAATAAAGCGTCAATTTCGAAGCGCGCAAACCTCTACAAATCGTATTTTGGACGAATTTTGTCTAATGTTTCGTGCTGCCAACCCAAGCGATACGGCGCAATGTACGGACTAAGAAATAATTCAGATAGTTTGGTGGCCCTATTTCATATAATATTGCATAGATAAGTCGTTCTGCAAATAGATACTCACAATCACGATCTCTGATACGCCTCGATTTTAAAGCCGTTTTACTTCCCACGCCAGTGGCGAGGAAGTATCGTAATCGCGAAACATTTCTAAAACGAGATGTTATGTTTTTTAAGTCATATGACATCTACATCACGAAAAACGGCATCACTCATCATCAACTTGGAAATTACCGCTCGGATTTTATGAAATTTTCACACGGGGTTACTACTATGCCACTATTGTAGTTTTAGTCCAATGGTAAGGGTGCTATAGGCAAAAAAGAAAAAAAAAACAATTGCTTAAACTCCGTTTTTGACGTTACAGGGGTTTCTTATCATTGACATAGAAAAATTGTACTGCTTAAAAAGTGGGGGTTGGGGGAAGGTGATTTTAAATGTGGCATCTTTGATATTAGTGAAACACGTTCTATTATTAAGAAGCTTCTGGTCCCAGTGATTACAGGAAATTTAAGTAACGAAAATCCGGCGAATAATATGCTCACGATTTGAAAAAATCGATACCTGCTCTATAGGTTTAACACAAAGAGCCAACAGATCTATCTGCAACTGCCGACAGTAGGGAAGAATGAATTCGGATATCACTCCAGTCAAGTATAGGGGAATTTAGCGTGGAACTTTAAAATTATCGATATATCAAGGAAATATGTTTTTGAGAACGATAATTTGGTAGATTTTATACCTGCATTTTCATCTGAATTTTATGACCCGTGAAATGTACCCATTTCGCCGTTACCTTCAATTCGTGTTCTGTAGTTTGTGATGTTTTTTTGGATATAAGCACGACATAATTGCCTAAGCTGCTATCAGAGCTTTTTACAAAATTTTGTCTTTGTGCAAGAATTGTGGTGGGTTGAAATGCTTACTATTTTTGGTCAACTTCTTGATGTTTTAAAAAGATCCTAGTGGGTAAAATCGAAAAAGTGGATCGTTAGCACCCTGTGGACATTGTTGTTAGCACGCTGCAAGAGTTTCATCTGGAAATAATAAAAAATGAAACGTAAGCTGTGAAGTGCAATTTTATTTTTGGGCGAAATTCGTCTACTGTTTTGTCCAGTCAGTCCAAGCGATGCGACGGTGCGTTCCGCCTAAGAAAAAATGTATTCAAATAATTTGATATCTTTAGTCAATAAACACAATTATGTTTACAAGGGTCATGTGGTACATGGTAACAATTGAACGAGGCGCATAAAAATATCTTATGCCGTTAAAATAAGAGGAAACAGTTAGGTAGTTTTTGCAAAGCAATAAACAGGTAGGCTTATACCTGGATTAAGTACATTTCTTGTCTATTGTAATATGTAGATGGAGGCGATGCTGCCAGAAATGGATATATGCGATCAATAAACAAATCACAAGATTGAACTGCGGTGTCCAATGATTTTTGTATTGCCTTACTAGAAAACTCTGTTGGGTATATGATGGAGTTTACTAGAACTTTACAGCTTGTTGTCTGCCTTCTTCTACAAACTTCACCATATCGAGACGCTGTAAACCTTATCCTCCGATGAAGGCACCATAAAGTACAGTCCTGTGATTTGGTGGCTTGTTCGATCTGCAAAGTCTCGTCGTCACTTTTTTCAAGTTTCCCTAAAAATTTTTGCTTAGTAACCTCCAAATCAATGTCGTCCATGTTAGGTTTTTGACAGAATTCGCCATAAAACGAATTGTTAGTTATTTTTATATCAGCTTTTTTTGGCCTGAGTTTCTTTTCAAGATTCTTGCGTTTGAGTCTTTGTTCCATCTTAGCGATAAGCGAGGTTGGACTAATCTTAGAACGCAAATGTATTTAGACCACATAGACAGGCCGCTGGGTATTGTGGCTCACTACAGCTGCAGCACATCTTGGATGATATGACCTCTTCTCGCAATAATTTATTATAGAGTTGAACTGCTCCATACTACTGTTGACCGCATCATGAATTAAACTCACTGCATTCGTAATTAAAATGGTCGCATATGACCTTTTATTGTCCATTATCAACCTTGATAAAAAAGGCACTCAAGAACAATCACACCAACAAGAGTAGTACAGCACAACAATTCAACAACACAATATCGACGAACAGTAACAAGCGGAGAAAAATACTAAATGATCACTTGCTGAGTACCAAAATAGGAAAGGATTTACAGGCTAGATCGCTAATCGAAATCCGACTCTGTTATTATAAAAAATTACCTTGGTATGCACCCGCAGTCATCCTTTCCTCTTTTAGAGTAGCGCCGACGACCGTCTAGAGCCAACCCAACCTCGTTTCCTTTTCACCCCCTCGTTACCTCAGCAGATGGTTCTCGTGATTGTAGGTAACATACGTGTAACGCACATGATAAGCAACTTGTCATACCGATAAGAATAATACGTGTTCGGAGGCCATCGGCTGTTTTGTGGATGCCATGTTTTTTGTTACGTCCCTATCTCACTCTAATTTTATTCGCTTTGTATACACTGAAAACGAAATACCACTACCGTCGTAATGTGTAAGGGAGAGAAGCGTGCAATACGTGTGTTAAAAAGAGATATAAGCAGTAAGCACCTCCTTGCCTAGCAACCCGAGTGACGAGGCCGCGGACACCATCGGCGCACTCTTTCTGACATACATATTGGACGCTTCTCTCTCGTTCACATTACGTCAGCCAAATTTGAAACTCACCGTATGTTCTCTTGGTATAACTAACTACTCTTTGGTATTGTAGTGAAGAAAAGAAAAATGAAGACAGATAAACAAAAAATATATTGATTGTCATAAGAATCGTAATTTGTACGGCCACCGCGGTGGCCAAAACAACATCGTATTAGTAAACAATATTTCAAATTTATATGGTTTCATTTGGCGAATACACAAACATGGAGGATTATCTGCATGAAAACCACAGAATAAACTTCTTCAGATGTTACATTAACTAATATTTTACTATCAAAAGTATACATCACGAAAAGCCGTGCCACTCATTTCCGTTCGTATTTGTGTCTGTCCGAAAATTCTTGAACACTCTGTGACTTTGAAAGTACCGATCGGATTTTGATGAAATTTTTACGCAAGATTACTACTATCTCAAGGGTTAGAAGCTCCTGATCATTCTCGGATAATATGTAGGGGTTAACAATTGGGGGGTGGGGTTCTACTCACGTGTTAGACGTATTTCATACAACAGCTTTCCCCGTACATTTCCCTTGAAACTTTGAATGATAGAGAACATTTTTACCACGTGCGTCGCGGCAGTGCTACGAAATTAGATTACTAAGTCTAATCGATGGGTGGCTGGCGAGTGTCGAAGTTAGTCATAGCAAAGTTGCCAGATTGTTAGTACTGTCTAAAATTGTCTATGGACTAATGGTCCTGACGTACTTGCTCCATGTTTAGTTTTTGTTATACATGATACCTAATTCTTTCTCAGTGGATTTAACTTGTGCTTAACACATATTTATGAACTGATGAGACCATTGCGTGGAAATTGCAGAGTCAACCTACTTGACGCCATTTTTGTTTCCTGTGAATGAGAAGGGGCTTACTTGTCCTCTAAATTAAAAACGTAAAATTTTCCATTGCAACTGTCGTAGTAAGTTTTTAGCGTGACTTAATTTCTTCCACGATCTGCCCTTAGAATTTGGCCTTCTGCCGTAGAAGCTAGGCCGTGGTCAAATGCGAGGAAAATTACCTTTATTTTCTGACGTCAGCATGCTATGAATCTATAAGAATCTATAAGATCCGGAATAAAATTCATCCTATTGGCTGGTTTTGTCCGGCGGGAAATACAGTGGATTTAAATGAGTTTACCTACAATGTACGAATATCAAATACGTTTTTCCCAACACGCGAGCGAAAAAACGAGTATAAATTGAGTCATCCATAAAAAATTAATGGAAACAATGTTTCAGCTATTACAAAGATAGAAAATACCCATCAAGACGTGAATGCTGAAGTATTAACATATGTTCTGATATACAAAAAATTCTTTTGAATAATATACAATTACCTTAGTTCAGTTGAACCGAACTTTCCTCGGCGATTTCAGATTTTTAATTTTCATAGAGCATAGCAGATGTAGTTGATGTTTGATGTGTTTTAAATACTTTGTTTATATTTATTGTGTTTGGTTTATTTACTCGGTTATAATTTACGATCTTTAGTTTTGGTTTGCATTGTAAACATGCTTATAGTCGTTTTTGTTTGAGAATGTCTAGTAGATTTTTCAAAGATGAATTTAAATCGTATAGCGTTTATCCCTCGGTGTTTTGAGTTTTGGTGTTCAAATTATAATTCACGGAAAGCTCGGGAAAACGTCAACAACTATTAGCACCATCAGTGAAGTATGGAATCTTTTGATGTCCATCTAGTAAAATTTTGTTTAGGATTTGGTTGAATACAATCGAGTATTTTTGATTTGCAAAGCAGAATGTCATGGTTATTAAAAAATATATACATATTTTTGTATTTATCCTCGTGGTCAATACCATTCTTTTCGTGAACTACTATTTGAGAAATTGATCTTACTTTTGGGGTATAAATATATAGTAATGGACAAAAGTATATAGACAAATATGAATATTTACCTAAATATCTTTAGAATACGAATTCATACTTGATTTTTTGCCTCATAAACAAATGCGTGATTAGTAGAAAAACTGAATTCCTTGTTTTTACATTATCTGCAATGAACTCAATACAAATCTGAATATAAGCACTTTTTTATGAGAGACAAAAATATGTAGACAAATTCTTTTCAACATTAGTTTAGTACAGTTTTGTGTCAGAAGAGGATTAGTTTGTGTTCAAGTATTGTGGAATAAGTTGAGTGATTTTAAGACCATGCCGCGTTGTCCAGAAATTTCTTTCGATGTGAAAACTAAGATCATTGAATTATACAAAGATGGTCAACGTCAAGTCGAGATTGCCAAAAATTTGAGGCTGAAGCGTGAAGCAGTTTTCGCAATATTGAACAAATATAAACAAAAAGGTATCTTGGAAGCCGCTAAGAGAAGTGGTCGACCTAGAAAACTAAATGCTGGATCAGTTAGATTGATAAAAGTAATTTCGTCCAAAGATCCATTTAAAACCCCAAGGCAAGTAAAGCCGAAATCGAGACAAAAGGAATTGTCAGTGTTTCTATGAAAACTATAAGTAGAAGACTAAATGATATGAAGTTATTTGCACGTCGCCAGAGTAACAAGCCGCTAATTTCGAGGAAACACCGTATGGACCGATTACAATTTGCCGGTTTAGAGCAAAAGTAGAGACAGATTGATGAATCTTATATCAAGAAACTTCTACAATCTATGCCGAGACGATGCCAGTCGGTGATTGATAATAATGGTTAGGCTACAAAATATTAACACAACAATGGTTGGTTTTCTATAATTCAATGAACTTTGCTTCTTTTTTCTATAATTGTTTTGCTTTGTCTATATATTTTTGTCCTTCATAGTTCCAGTTTTTTTCAATTAATTTTTAATTGAAGGGAGTCTAATAAATTTATTCATGTATAAGTGAGTATTATTGCTATGACGAATTATGTATACAGGTTGGTGTATTAATAAAACAAGTTAAAGAAATACAGCACAATATTAATTTGTCTATATACTTTTGTCCATTACTGTATATAGATAACATTTGAATTATACAGCTTGAAAGTAGGATTTACTTCCCTAATATTCATACGAATTTGTATAAGAATGTTGCATTATATGTGTTGAATGAAAAGCCAGTACCATAGTGTGTAAACGATTCTAGACATTGTGATAGTATGTAAACGATTCTAGACATTGTGATATAATCAGGAAAGGATCTTTCCAGAACAATTATCTTATATTATTTTTGATGACCTGAGGCGTAGGAAGATGATTTAATCTTATTTTTTGTATAAAAAATATTCATCTAGACAGTCCACTTAGGATGTTTGCACTCTGTGGCTCTGACATGAAATTGCGGAATAACATTGCACTAATGTTTTATATCTTTTACAGGTTTGTTGAGATATAAAGTGGACTTTCAGAGTATGCAATTAGAAGAACTTGAGAATGGAGATGAGTTTGATTTAGACGAATATTGATTTCATATAACCGAAGTATTTTGAGACAGCATTTGTAAGGGTGGTGCCGTCAGTGGAAATGCGATCGGCGACTCTCTCACTAATATAATAACACAACAACCATACGTGACAATATTTTTGTTTATGTTAAATTGTACTGATGGTCGTGTGCTTTGCACAAATAAAGGGTTATAGGTTACATAGTGGATATAATGAATCCCTGTACCCGATTTTATTTCTTTTGATGGCTGTCATCGACTTTGAGCTCTGAATTAGTAATTTTTTATTTGAAACTATGAGTCAGTCATAGCATTAGCGTTATTATCAAACTATAGTTTCAAAATCGAACAGCTAATATACCTGTAGTTTCGGTACAGTAAAGGAAAAATTGGCATATTTGTTACAATGTTTGGATTCGACAAACGGGACGCCATGGAAATCAAAAAATAAAATACGGGAAATATATAGATGGTTAACCTGTTTGCAATTATAGATATGTCTAAATTTTTCACAAGTAGGATCAGAAATCAAATATGACCATGAAGTCCTACACAATGTTTCCAATGTGATGGTAAGTGCGAGTAAAATTACTGCTTTCGTTTGCATTTTCACGTCTTCTTTTATTTCAAGTTTTTCAAATTCATGTGGACTTGAAGTCGATGCAGACTAATAGTATCATGTTTAAATTAATTGTTCTATTCCATTGATATTTTGAAACTGTACTTTATTGCAGGATAATTCGCGGGTGCATGGGAAAAATGGCAGGAGATCTAAAAGATTGCTCTTCTTTTCAACGGATATAGGGATTGGGCCCCTATAACTTTGTTTTGTTGTTAATACTAATTTTTCTTTCCCCGATTTTCTTCTAAGGTCGATACTCTGAAATTCTTCATCTGTGCGATGTGATGTTTTATAGAATAGTATTCCCATCTGTGTATTCTCAAAGTGTAACCATCGAATATTACGCCAATTATGTCCTCCTGTAAGCTTTCTGTTTACAAGTTGGGCCTTTGAAAATAAGCGAAAAGGCAAAAAAATCATTCTGACGCATTTCCTTTACATGAAATTTGTGTTTCTTTCCACATTGTCTTACCAACTGAGACCAGTCGTGTGGGTGTTCTATCGGTAAACCATGCTTCTTTTTTTTCTTCTCTATTATACTATGGTCCGAGTCGCACTCCATGTGCGTATGCCCTGCAATAAGGAACTTGTGATCTATTGTTTGTAGATTTTCGGAATCTTGTAAAGCTTTCATACACATTGCTGCGACATAACTATTCTTGTTCTGACCGGCACAAGTATCCGAGTACATGGTCAAGTGCCTTACCGATCTAGGTAGTACAGGCAAGAACTAACATCATCACCGCCCCTTTTTGCTAGGGCCTCATGCCACATATAGCAGAATGCCTGGCTATCATCACAGTCATGGACCGTAAAGTTATATGTCCACAACTGTCGTTTATAGAATGCCAAGGAGCTCTGGACTGAAGGAGTTGGTAGACATTGTTGCATATCAAAAGTTATTGTTTTCATTGTGGGATCATTTTTTGAAAGTTGCTTATCGAGTGATTTGGCTTCATATGCCAAATCAGCTTGAGTGTGATGCTGGTTTAGTTTTTCCTTCAATTCAGTGTTATTTCCATCCAACTTAATCTGCATGTTTAGTTTATCGCAAGTTTGACATGTATCCTTCTTAGGCTGTTTAATTTTTATGTTCAAAGTGTTGAACTCGCGTTCATATAAATACCGTGACACAGGGTTTTCAGGATATTTCAATCTGTACTCGGCATATAGATCGCACAGAGTTATGTGAGGTGGAAGATATTTTTGTTTGGAGTCTCTTCTTGTATAGTGGCTTTCATAAGTTGGAATAGATAGAATATGAGCACGAACATTCCCGATATCTGCTTCGGTTCGTTTATTAGCCGGTGCACTTTCTCCTCGACGATCTAAAGGCATTATTCCTGACTTTGCCTCCAACTTTTTTTTAACCACAGTATCAATAAACCTAACTGTCTCACCAAAAGTAGCCATAAAACAAACTTTACATGTCGGTATATTTTTACCATTTAGCTGTAGATGATACAGGACTGTATTTTGTCTATTATGCCGTTTAGTTTTTATGGCTGCTCTCATCCTTGAGACTGCCTTATTTTTGATTTCCAGCAACCCAGCTATATATGATACTCTTCTGTTATAATCGCCGATGTTCCAATATTCTTCAAAGAGCTGTTTTCTGTCTTCCTCTGATGTGTTTTCTTGACAGTGACTTCTGCATTTTTTCAAAGCCCTCATAACACGCTTGGCTACGGTCTTACCTTTGGCAGTTGTATATTGATGTCCTATATTACGTTTAATTTGCCTTTCTTTTCGGACAGCTCTAGTTTCCCCTTTTAGTAATCGCTGCTTACGTCGTGTTGCTCTAGATCTACTAGATGCATTTTCTATATCTTTTATTTCAGTTTTTCTATCTTGTAAAGTATTTTTTGTTTTAATTTTCACCTTTTTTCCCTCAGGAAAGAATTCTGTTTCTGATGTTGAGGAATTACATTCAAAGTCTGGATCCTTCACAGAATCGTCTGAGTCTCCAAAATCATCAATGTCAATTAGATTTCGAATATCATCAGGTACGGATGGAGCCTCGCTTGAATCTGAAACAAATATGAAATAATGACAGACTCAATGAGGAAATCAATCCCTCCAAAGGGACGACAATGCTCAACATGATAGTTATAACAAAAACAACGTAAATACTCATCCTGAATCATATTCCATAGACAAACACTAAATTTGTAGTTCAAATTCTAAGCACATTCAAAATGTGTGACACATTCTTCTTAAGAATATTTGAAGGCATACAAAAAAAAATATTATAAAGGTGCTATAAAATCTTGTTGTTTTAATTACCAATCTATACCTACTAATGAAGTAGAAACTGAATGTAATGTCTCACCTGTCTGATCAATAACAGGATCTTTATTAGCAGTTTCACATTCCACATTTTCGAAAGAATCCCTGATTTCAAGATGTGTAACAGCTTCATTATGGCCTAAAAATAGCATTTATGAGGAAAGCAATTCATTTTCCTCCTACTTTATTAAGATACATTACTACAAGATGGACAAATGAAACTGAAATGAAAAATGCTTTTAAAAAAATTAGTAACATATCAACCCCAAGACCGCAAATTTGAATTGCCGCTACCATGTCAAGTACAGTAATACCCCGGACTTACGCGATAGGTGGGTCCGAACGGTTGCCGTGTAAGTCGAATTCGCGTAAGTCGGGGTTCAATGTTGCATATAAATACATATAAAGTTTGTTTAATCGGGACCAGAGTTTAAAGAAAACAATAATTTAGAAGAAAAATGTTTAATAAAGTGTAGGATAATAAAAAAAATTACATTGTTATGAATAAAGTAAGCTAAACCGAAGTTATTTTGATGTCGAAGGCTTTATATATTCTAACAATGTTGCCTGACGAGTTAAATTTTTCTTCTTTTCACGTAAAATTTCCTCGTAGCATACCAGTAATTTTTTTATCCCTCGTTTTGTAGTAGACACGCGTTCTTCATTAGAATCAATTTTTTCTAAAATTTGTAACCCCTTTTCAATTGAATTGAGTCCTTCTGTTAAGTTTGCAATTGTCATTTGATTTACCGATTCAACTGGGTCTAGCGAATCAGTTTGTTCAATGTCTTGCTCATACTTACGCATTTCTATAACCTCGTCAATTGTTAGCTCTTGATTGTGTGAATCTAGCAATTCTTGAACGTCATCATTATCGACCTCTAAATTTAATTGCTTGGCGATATCGACCACTTCTTCTATTATGCTATCGATTTGTTCAGGATCTGAAATGGTTTCTCCTTGAGTTTCAGAGGTGAAAAAAAATGGACACAGTTTTTTCCAGACACCATTGAGAGTTTTTTGTGAAACCTCATTCCAAGATTGTCCAATAATTCTTACAGCATCTAAAACATTGAATTGCTTCCAAAAGTCTTTAACAGAAAGCTCATTGTTTTGTCTCATAGCTTCATGTAGATGTGCAAATGACCGCCTTGTGTAGTAAGCTTTAAATGTTTTAATGACTCCCTGGTCCATTGGTTGAAGCAAGCTGGTAGTGTTTGGTGGCAAAAATACAACTTCCACACGTGGATCGAAATTAATTAGAGTTGCGGGAGGATGACCTGGTGCATTGTCAATTAGTAGCATCACTTTAAATGGGATTTCTTTTAATCGGCAGTAACGTTCGACTTCAGGAATAAAATGATGGCCAAACCAGTCTTCAAAAAGAGAAGCTGTCACCCAAGCTTTCGCATTAGACTTCCAAATGACAGGCAAACCAGCTTTGGATTTATTTTTTAAGGCCCTTGGATTTTCTGAGCGATAAACTAAGAGAGGTTTTAATTTACAATCTCCAGCTGCATTCGCACCAACCATCACTGTTAATCGATCCTTGGCGGCTTTAAAACCTGGAAAAGTTTTCTCTTCACGCGCAATAAAAGTTCTTTTAGGCATTTTCTTCCAAAAAAGACCTGTTTCATCTACGTTGAAAATAGTTTGGCTAGTGTAGCCACCTTCATCTATCATTGTTTTGAGTTTTTCTGGATAGAGAGATGCAGCTTCTTTATCAGCGCTTGCCGCTTCTCCACTCTCTGCGATGCTATGCCAATTACAACGACTCTTAAATCGGCTGAACCAGCCGTTACTAGCTTTAAACACTTCATTTTCAGCCGCCTCCCCAGCTTCTTCTTTTAGTTTTTCAAAAATCTGCTTTGCTTGAAAGCACACTGTATTTTGATCAACAGGACAATTTTTCACTCTTACTTGATTATCACACCATGACTGTAGCAATGTTTCCATCTGTGCGATAATACCGTGACGCTTACGGATGATACTTGAATTCAAAGATTGAGAGTCTTTCACAGCGTTCATAATTTTTTCTTTACCTTTTACAACCGTTCGGACTGTTGATTCCGGAAGGTCAAATTTCTTCGCCAATTCACAAATTTTCATTTTTGCTTCAAAGTCTTTAATTATATTCAGTTTACACTCCAAAGACAGTGTTTTTCTTTTCTTGTTAGGCTCAAATGACTCATTTTTTGTTCTTTTAGACGACATAATTAGAGATTATAAGTAAAACGCACTGCGCACGTAAAACAATTGCACGCGAAACACGTTTAAACCTGATGCAAATTGAACACTGAGTGGGCGGAGCGAGAGAGCCGATGCGCGCGCGGAGCGAGAGAGCCGATGCGCGCTGCGCGCGGCAATCAAAATGAAAAACCGCGTATCTCCGAATTCGCGTAAAACGGGGTAGCGTAAGTCGGGGTATTACTGTATTTACTTTTTGATTACGGACTCGCAATTTAATGTGTGTGTGATGTGGCACACATTCATTTTTCTATAAAATGAAAGATTATAATTATCTTTTTCCACTTCAGATTGTAAGCTAAAATTCCAATCAAGTACTTGTAGATTTCATAACCTCAAAAACTTAAATATGACAATATTACCTTGAGAAAGCCAACTTACCGTCATTTGTGGAGGTTGTACAGATTTTTTCTTCTATCATACGCATGATCCTGTCCGTTCTAGAATTTATTTTTTTCCATCTTGCACTAACTATGCTTATAGCCTTAGTTTAAAACACTGTTTTGCTTAGGTACGTTACAACATGCTAGGCATAAAACATAACCTTACTCTCCAGTAAAGATGCGATGAATGATTTATGTCACAAACGTTTTTTCGGTGTTTACGTGTAAAGAGATTTAAGTCTGACATACTACCTTCTCCCCATTGAAATGTACTGAGCATTTTACGTGTAAATAGGCATACGTCTGACATAATACAATTTCCACAATCAAATTTACAATTTTTTGGCGTAAATATGAGTATGTCTGACATAATACACTTTCCCCAACCCAGTGTGATACATTTTATTGTAAATTAAGTTATATGTTATACTTACATCTTTTTGCACTTGCATACATTTAAAAAGAAAGATATCCATTTGTAGTAAGTCTGACATAAAACAATTTACACAGTAAAATTTGACTTAAATCATTCGGCACATTTGAAATAGGTGATTTATGCATGGACAATGACTTATTTCGTTATTCCCATAGATGAAGAGTGATATCAAAATCCGATTTTTGACTTAACCCAATTTTGTCGAAAAAATGACTTACCACCTTTTTCCCATACACCCGCGAATTCTTATTGATGTTTTCAAACAGGATTTTTTTAACATATTCTATGTCAGTTATTTCATTTGTATACATTATTGAATAATCAAATCAAAGTGACAGCTTCTTGTGACTACAAAACTTCATTGATTATCACTTGGTTTTCTCATTACATAACAAAAAATAAATACTTTTTTTAAGATGTCCATGTAATGGACCTGATGTAAATAGTACCTTGATAAAGTATAACAAAAAATAGCTTGGAATATTTTACAAGAATCTTCTCTTGTGAACATCTTACGCCATCTTCTCTTTGTCAATCTCAATAGAACATTTTTATTTATCTATATTTATAAGCAAATAACTAACGAATGTAATTATTAAGTACGTATTTTATACATATTTGAAATGTATCTGGAATTGTGTACATATTTTCTACATAGGACTCAAGTTCCTTGATAGTTTATTCCATATAGTTAGCAAAACGGTGTCGTGAATGTGTAAAAAATAATTGAATTATTTATATCCTACGCCTCCAAACATCAACCCAGGTTTTCGCCCAATTTCCAGGTGTTCTCAATGTTTTACCTATATTTGACAACTAACAAAAACGTTTGTAATGCTCCTTAAAACTCTGGAATTGGTAGTATTCGTACATTTTTGCTTGTACCTCCATAAATTTAAAAAGAAATTACTAGTATTGAGTGGTACTATTCAACTACAATGTTCAAAAACTTAAAAAATGATGCTGCTAAAATCAACGTAATATTAATAATTGTATAAAAATTTAAATCTCTTGGATGATATTGAGTCAACCATTCATTATTATTAAAAAAAAAATCTCAATCCAGTTATCAATATTGAATTTAGAATATGTAAGAATGCAATCAGAATAAAACATTTTACATATATGAGGTGTATATGTGATTTCAAGAACCCAACTGTGTAACATCATCTAGTAGTCTAAACTCGCTTGAATCTGCAGGTATGTTTTTTTTTATAAAATTTGATTTTTCAGTGGGAAAGTTCACTTTATGATTTAAGAAAAAAACTACAAAATTAATGAAAAAAAAATATTCATTACTATCAAAATATTCGTAAATTCGGCGGGTTTCATTTGTTAAATTTATCATTCCGTCCAAATGTTTGTCATCCCTTCGGACATTCTTCTAATCGCGCGCGCAAATTCTGAAACGCACTTTTGCAGAGTTCCGGAGTGATGTTGTTTATTTCTCGTCGAATGCTGTCTTTAACAAGGTCATATTAAAGACCTTAAATTGCGTAATTCACCTGGGGAGGATCAAATCACTAATAAGGCGCTGAAGCTGCTTTCGCGGAAGTCCTTAACTTATCTCGTGGCAATAGTCAATGCCATGCTAAGGATCCAGTGCTTCCCATCCGCGTGGAAAACCGCTGAAGTTATAATGATTCCAAAGAAGGTGGGTTTGATATTTCCCCAGGATTATCGTCCCATTAGCCTGCTGTCAGCTCCGTCTAAGCTCGCTGCAAAGGTGATTCTACCTCACCTTGAGAATTTCTCGGCAGATCACCATGTGATTTGATTCCTGACGTGCAATTCGGTTTTCGGTCTGAACATAGTACGGAGCTACAGGCGGTTAGGCTGGTGGAACGTATAACAAGAGGATTCACCCTTAACGAAAGTACTGACATCTTGCTTTTGGATGTATCAAAAGCATTTGACAAGGTATGGCACGCGGGCCTCTTGTATAAACTAATCCAAAAGGGCTTCCCTTTTTGGCTTCTAAAACTACTGAAATCCTTCCTTGAAGGTAGAAAATTTCGGATCAAAATTGACAGTGTCCTGTCGACAACACGGCTGATTACAGCCGGCGCCCTCAGGGTTCGGTCCTTGGACCTATCCTTTACTCACTGTACATCCATGACGTCCCTACTCCCAGCAACTGTGAAGTCTATCTCTATGCTGACGATACTGCATTGGTGGCTCAGTCGTGGTCTGGTGACCTAGTCCATGACAGGCTGCAAAGTGCGGTGGAGCAAGTATTAGATTGGGCGGATCCATGGCCAATTAAAATAAACCATTCGAAAACGCAGGCAATCTACTGTACAAAAAGACGTCGTGGCGTTCCGTCTAAAGTTTCAATGAATGGACTTCGTATGCCATGGGAATCCTCCGCTAAGTATCTCCTCGGTGTCATTCTGGACAAAGGGATGACTTGGCGGAACCATATAGAAGCGCTAAAAGCTAAATTCCACATTACGTTTCGACAGCTTTACCCATTATTATGTAAACGTTCAAAATTAAGTTTGATTAACAAGATTAGACTCTATAAGGTGTTCATAAGACCAGCACTGACTTACGCATGTGCGGCTTGGTGTTTTATTGCTAAAACACACATGCGAAATCTGCAGGTTCTGCAAAGCAGGACGTTGCGCACTATTGCTGATGCCCAGTGGTATGTCTCTAACGAAACTCTACATAGAGACGAAAGGACTACATTAAGCAACAGGCGCAGCGGCGCTATAGCCTAGCGGAATCGCACAGCAACCCTCTGTTGCGTGAGTCAGTGGACTCTACACAGTCGAGCAAGTTCGCAAGCACAAAAGGTCGCGGCTCGCACTGTAATCAAAATTAACTCGTGAACTTAGAACAACCAAAATTGGAGCATTTTGACAAAATCTTTAGAAAAAATCGAATATTTTTAGACCATATCAAAATCTGTGAAGTGATTTTAACAATGCCTAAACGCTGCCTATCCTAAAAGATTCTCTTCTTCCCCTTTGCTCGCGTTGTTCATTCTCTCCTTTCCTTCCCTTTTTTTCTTAAAATTGTCTGGTTTCTGGGTTACCAGACCTGACAGACTTGCAAACTGACACTGTGACTCAAGCGCTAAGGTCCCACGGACCGCTCTGACAACCAACGATGACTTGTGTGCTGTCTTTAAGCTCCGCCAGTGGACTAGTGAAATATACTTTTGACTTTGGATAACCCCAAAAAAAAAAACGCATGGGGTGAGATCGGGTGACCTAGGAGGCCAGCGAATGTCTCCAAACTGCGATATAACTTTTTGAGGAAAAAGTGCTTTCACGGTGTCCATCGATTCTCTGGAAGTATGGGCAGTGGCCCCATCCTGTTGAAGCGACAATAGGAGCAAAATAGTGTCAATCATGTCGTTGTATCGCTCTGAATTAACTGTCAATGCATGACCGTTTTCATCAAAGAAATACGGCCCAATAATACCGCTAGAGGATATGGCGCACCAAACAGTCACCTTTGGACTATGTAGCTGTTGTTGATGTTTCTCTTTAAGGTTCGTTAGTGCCCAATATCGGCAATTTTGCTTGTTCACATAACCGTCTAAGTGAAAATGGGCCTCGTCACTGAAAACAATGTTCTCGAGTCTGCACTGCTTAGGAAAAACATCCGTTCAGCACAAGATGTCCGTTATACGTAGTCACTTTCGTTTAAAGCAGGGACTGATTGAATACCATGCAGTGTTGACCTAGGGATTTCCAAAGAAGCGGAATGCATCCGTACAGAATGCCGAGGATTTGCAATGACCGAATCACTTACTCGACGCACATTTTTTTCGGTTGATACAGTAGGTGTGGCCAGGAATGGGTTGACTAAGAGTAGAGCATGTTTCACGAAACCTCTTAATCCACTTTTCCAATAGGTTCTTACTTGGGGAATCTCTTGTTCGGCGAATGTTGTATTATTTAAAACATTTCCGAAGGGCAGCTGCGTATGAATCACCACTCTTAAAGTAAGCCTCGATAGCAAAAGCTCGTTGCGCTTCGGTCCAATGTTCCATTGTGACTATTTAACCGCTGAACGCGTCGATCAAGACCCTTTCCCCACTTCCTCGCGTATACGGTTTCCGATTAATTCAAATTTGAAATGTTTCCCACTGGGCACCCTGTAGAATAGATTACAGTAGGGTTGCCTGGCAAAATGTAGCCCCAATTGCAAGAACAAGGTGAGTTTTAGGCGTGGGCTGGGTCGATAAATCCATTATTACATATTGTATATAAAAAAATTATAGACAACAGTATCTTCTCGACTTGGAAAATACTTTGATTTCTACTTGGCAATTCCCACATTTTTTGAGCCCTGTTTCAGTGCAGATATGGATAGGCACTTTCAAGAGAAGCAATTTGATGTAACGTACCAAAGACTTTTACAAATTGTCAAGATATTGGACAATCTACCAAAAAAAAAAACTCAACTTTGACAACTTGCTCCTCCACAACTGTAGCTAGGGTACTAAATTTTATGATCCCATATTTTGTTCCTATCTACTTGTTTAGTTTTTTTTTTGAAGTTCCTATAGGGTAGTCAAAAAGCCAATATTAACTATTTCTCAAAATTTTCAAATGGAACACCCCGTATATTTTCACACTTTTTGATTTAACCAATTCATATATTGCAATGTAAGTTTATTCTTAATACTTTGGCTGTGTTAATTTTTTTTTTAGGTAGACATCAATTTTAAACATATCTTATTGTTTAGTAAATTTAGTTACCTTATTAACTTAAATTGAATAAAATGTAAAATTGGGCTTGTGAATGTATGATTAAATATAAATATGTTTTTTTTCTGTTATAAGTTTTATGGGGCTTCGACCAGTTTTTGAGTTGGAAAAACATAGGGACATCGTTTGACTTTATCGCATGGGGCTAGGTAGATTTAATGTATAATGAGAATATGCCAGTTCTATCTGATGCTATCAACAAATAACTATTTTTATGTTGAAAGGTATAATCAAAAAAAACTTTTGGAAAGGGGAATCAAGGAATGTAAAAATGCACAGGGTGTTTCATTTAAAAAAAAAATTGAAATCGCTCATTTTGGGTCCTTGACCACCCTACCCAGTATTAACTGTTCAAAAAACTAAAAAGGTAAACAAAATATGGTAATATGGCATCATAAAATTTGTTTAACGAAAAATTCACTACTCTGGGTATAACAGTTGCAGAAGTGCGAGTTCTCAAGTTCAGTGTTTTATTCAATAGACTGTCAAATATCTCAACAATCTGGAAATAGAACCCTATAGTATGCTTAGTTTGAAAGGATGTATCCAAATCTGCAATAAAATGTAATGTCTATTTAAAAAATGCATGTTTGGGTCGCTGCAAAGTTCTGAATCACCCTGTGGAGATAAAATATTTTCCAAGTAAAGAGCATAATGTTGGATACAATTTTTGTAATGAACTTTTTCAGTTACTATACCAGTGGCGAAGCGTCCATGTAACCATTGTTACCATTTATAACAGTTAAAAATCTTAAAAATAAATATTTTATGACTAAGTACTTTGAAATAATTTCATTTATTTGTATACCAACAGCGATATGTAATAGTAATTCAGTAAATAGCAAATTAGCCCCACGAAAATAATGCGCCCTATAGTGTCTAGGTTTTGCGAACACGATGAAGCTGACTCGCCTCGACTTGGTTGTCGGTTGTTACCATTTTCATTTATGGATACACTTGGTAGTCCGTCGGTACCGGCTCGTGTCTGATCGCGGTCGCCCGAGTGCGTGGGGCGCTGCGACTATTATGTGGGTTTGTTTACTGACTTCTCACTCGTTAGTAGCCGTTTTGGCTACCGGCTGTAGTGTGCGTGCAATTAAACATGGATGAGTGTCGCTGCGTAATCGATCAACTACTTGAAAAGTCATTCTCCTTGTATAATTTTTAAGAAAAAAAAGGATATCATTGTAAATGGAAGACCAACACCTACTTTAGAAAATTTTAAAAAGTAACAAAAAACGTACTTTGATATTTTAAATTAAGTTGGCATATGGGTTATGTGGTTGCAAAAAAAAGATTGTATTGTTGGCGATATCTTCCGTTTTATACAGAAAAAAATGGGTGGACCAGCAGCGGAGTCAACGATTTAACTAGTTTTAGGGCTGTAAAGAGGAGACTTGAAATTTCTACGTTACATGTGAGATGTGTTGCCAACTTAATTCAGTTTGGCAAAACAAGAATTGAAAGTTGTCTTAACCAAGCTTTTGGCAAAACAGGAATTACCGTTCATTTTGAAGGGGATGACTCTGACAATAGAGGAAATTACAGGGAATTGTTAACTTCATTGCCAAAAAGGATCAAAAATTTTATCATCTAGAAACGTCGATTGTTTTTTCGGAAAACTTGGATTAGTCATAGCATAAGACGATGAGCTATATCCAGTGCCCCAGACGCCCAATCCAGGAATGTTTACCTTAATTTGAAAATAGTTAAATAAAATACCTAAAATAAGCAAAAAATTATATTTGGCAGGTTCAAAATAAACTTTTTTTCAATAAGATTTTTCACATTGGTTTTGATAACAGTTTAGGAAAAGTCATTGCGGCTGAACTTCGCCAGGCAACCCTGCTATGATTTCTTATTTTATACTATTTTTTATCATTAATAAAAATGTTTTGCAAAAAAAACTGCAGTTTCAAGTGGCAGGCTCTCATAGTTGTGATCTTGGACCAGTGGCCGTATTGATCCGCCACTGGTACAAGATCACTGCTTTAAGCTCTCCAGTTGTCAGATTCGCTTTCAGAAGCCCAAAAAAACAGTCTCTCTGGAGGATCAGTCCAGATGAATATTGCAAAACTACCATGATTTGAGCTACCAACAGCACATTTGTTTAAAGGTACCCTTGTGTAGAATCATAAATAACAGCTAGTTGTATAAGATGGCCCTTGTCATGGATTGATTCTGGTCTCTGTTATCAGTGATTTACTATAGACAAGGGTAAATAATACCATCTCTATACTGGTAGTATACTCAAATTCACATAGCTTTTGAAAATATTGTTAGGATTAATGAGAATTTACACTTTTGTGTGCATTTTTACTACATAAATATTTCGAGAAAACTTTAACGATGTCATTTTATCGGGTGCCAAAAGAATCTGTTTTAAGTTGATAATACATTTATTAACTAAATAAAAAGCAATATATACAATTTTAGGCACCTTGGAACAATAAATAAAAATATAAGAAAATATATCACATAGCTTTTGAAAATATTGTTGGGATTAATGAGAATTTACACTTTTGTGAGCATTTTCAGTACATAAATATTTCGAGAAAACTTTCACGATGTCATTTTATCGGGTGCAAAAAGAATCTGTTTTAAGTTAATATGTAATGCATTTATTAACAAAATAAAAAGCAATATATACAATTTTAGACACCTTGGAACAATAAATAAAAATATAAGAAAATAAATAACATTCATGGGGAACCAAAAAGTTTGGTACCAAATCATTTAGAAGAGGTGTATCCTACATTATACAAACTCCTTACCGCAAAAATAACAGTGTTATTATGACATTAACTGTGGATCAAATGATTTTAAATTTAGAAAAAAATAAATTGATCATAAAATCATGTATCACGTGTTTTGCTTCTCAATTAGATTACTACATATGTCAGTGATACTGCAATACATCATAACAAACTGGTTAAAACCGCGGAATTTAGTATTAATCACTTTTTACAGGAGAGTGAACAAACTGCAGATTTTCTTTATCATCAGGTCCTCAACTAACTGAATTGCTGTTTGAAGCATCTGATTGATTGTCCTGTTCACCTCGCCACATGATACTCACTGTAATTATCTCCTACTGTATCCCCTGTTTTCTTCAAGCTTTTGATGATAGTTTAGTAACTTATACAAAAGCAAGAACATAGCACCATCAGACTAATTTAAAAATTCTTGTTTCTCAACACTAACAGAATCTTCCTGCTGCTTTACAGGGCTATCATTAGGAACTGATGGTAAATTTAGTGAGAGATCTTCCATTTGCTTACTGAGGTCTGTTATCTGCCCTCCATCATTAGGGAAATTATCATCATCTGGGACTACTAACAATTCTTCAAGTTCTTTTTCAAGATCTTCATCATTTGAATCATCAGCTACTGGCCTGCTGGCTAAGGCTGACTGAATGTTATTATGGATTTCCATGACCTGAAAAAACAATAGTAAAGCACTAATTAGGTATCATATTGAAATGGTAGCAATATACAAGGTGTAAACGTTATGATAGTCATTATTTAAATGGGTGATAGAGGGGGTTAAAAGAAGCAAAAAGTTTCATATAACATGGGGGTCAAAACCGCATTGCGCAAAGCGACTTAAAGTAAAATAAATCTGACAACGCCGCAAAACTATGCAAAGGGATAAATAACTAACGGCTGTTAGCCTTTGGGATCGATTGCGGGTCCAATAAGAGTGATGATGACTGACGCGCTGTTGTCAAGTGTGTTTTAAATATTCAATTTAATGAAACTTACTTCCTTACTGACAACAAATTTTGGCTTGACTTAGATAAACTTAATGCCATTTGTTTGTTAATTACCCAGTTTACAAACGTTTTGGATTAGATTATAAAAATTGTGGTGTTTGCGGTCGATATAAAAAACTTTAAGTTGTAATACTATAAAGCCATTTAGACAAAAATCTATTGACTTTTGAACCAAGGGTCATATGATGAACTTTTTGACTTGTTTTGACCCCCCCTATTACCCATTTCAATAATGACTACCATAACGTTTACACCCTGTATATAAGGTGGATAAAGTGATACTCATAGTGTCTGACAAAACTAATTTTTTAACTGAAAACTAAACCAAAATTTTGGTCTTAGCATTAGTTTTAGCTGAAACCAAAAGTTATGGAAGAATACAGGGGAATAACTATTTGATAAGTTAATGATTCAGATGTTCTAAAAACCATCTCCCATTTGATGTAGGTTTAGGCAGTAGTGTATCTCTAAGAAAAAAATAACTTCTTTTTTCAATATTTGATAATCTCTGATAAATATAATTAAGAACATGCTACAACAAATAATCTTTCAAGAAACAAAATAATGTATTTCATCCAAGTTCCTAATGTTTCATGATCATACAGTGCCTTCTAAATTAGGGCAATAGTTTCCTTTTTCATCCATTCCATATATAAAAAAAAGACAATGTGAAATAAAGTAACTACCAATGAAAGACAAAAAAAATCTAAACATTTTCGTAAAAAAATGTTTCAGTTCAGATAGATAATTTATAGATTTACCCTGCATAACAAACTAAAGACTAGCAGCAAGAAATTGAACATGCAGATTGAACTTCAAGATTCTATCACCTAATGAAGCAACCAAAAAAAGTTAAACATTCTGAATCTGATCAAAATTTTGTATGTTGCAATACAAAAAAACAATATTTGTACACAAAAAATATAAACAAAAACCAATGAATGCAACAATATGTGGATTTTATGATGAAACCCTGAGTTTTTTGGCCTAAATCTAAACAAAAAGATTGGTCGGACACTAGATATTGAATTCAAAATGCACAGTTCACTGGACGAAACTGGTTTACTTACATCTCCAAGTTCTATCATAGTATCTTCAACAGCATCCTCTGTCATTCCCTGGGTCTTTGTGGAATTGTTAAACGCTGTAACAGCATTTTTATATGCTTCAAGTACATCGGCATTTGTATTGGAATCTTTGACATTCTCTAGGATTGTCTGTACATTGAGCAAAGCATTTGATTTTTTCTCTATCCTCTTCTCTAGTTCATGCTTCTTCCTCAATAGATTTTTAGCCTATAAAAAATAAGGATCAAATAATTAGTGCACATGTAAGTCTTCAGACGAATCTAAAGCTTTATATCTGGGCAGCTAGGTAAAACGGAAGGCAGGGAAACTTACCATTTGCCTATGCTTTTTGGTTAGTTGTACTTTGGCCTCCTTGACTATATCTTCTATTTCATCTTCCAATGCTTCCAACTGTTTAGTCAATATTGTTTCATTCTTTTCCAATGTATGTATTCCCATATCAGCCTCAGATATCGGTGATACCTTATGGCCATCTCCAAATTTTATGAGCAAAGATTCTAACTGGTCCTTTCCATTATCGATGGCAACTGATATTTGTTGCGTATTTTCTAAATAATGTAATAGTAACTTGATGTTTTCAACTCTTTGATTTTCTAAAAGATTCACCAATTCTTTTAGAGTAACAACTCTATTCTTCATCTTCTCTGGTATCCTCTTTAGCAGTTCCTCTGACTGAGACTTGACTAGTTCTAAATGTACATACGTTTCTTCTGTCTTATTCAAGGTAATTGATCCTTTGAGCTTATTATATGACCACAGCAATGGTCTTTTTATCAGGACATCAGTGGCCCAGCCGCTCCAAGTACTTTTATTTCTCCTAAGGAAAATTTCTAACAACTGAATTTCACCATTATTTTTCATATCCTCTAGCACTTCCTTTAAACAGCTCGGAGGTCTACCATTTCTTACAAACACACTGGTGAAGGATGATAATGTGAAAGAGTAAACTTTGTTCGCTTCACAATAAGCTCTAATGCAAATTTTCCAATGTGATATTTTTGTTTCCCAATCTTTGGGATTTGCTTGGCGACTTCTTAAAGGAGCGAATAAAACGTTAACCCTTTGTTCATCTCTACAGAAGTCTGGCAGTTTTTCATCCGGTACTCCAAACATTTCGAAAAAATAAACATTTAACAGAGCAATGGAATATTACAATTTCTATTTTTGTCAAAACTGGGACAAAACAAAGTTAATTTGCAATCACAAAACAAGAAATGAAAGGAGGCATTAAGTACGGTTAGTACGGATGTATAAGATAAAACAACCTCGCATTACGTATGATTATCCGCCATTTTGAACGTAACCATAATCAAATTCAAGGAAATAAGCAAATGAAAATGGTATTTACCATTTTGGATTGATATTTACCGATCCGTTCAAGCGAGTTTGGTTATCAGAAAAAGCACCAATTATTAAGTGATAATAAAAATAAAAAATATACGCGCTTTTCTAAAATAAACAATTCGCAACAAAACCGCGGTTAAAACCAACGTGTTTAAGGGATTCGAGTAACTGGCGTTATTAGCCAGTGCGTCATCCTGAACCTGTGTCCTGAACCATATTATAACATTCGCTCGGATTTGATTTATGTTAGTCTTGAGACATACGACGAGTCGTTCGTTCATTTGAACGATACGATTACCGACCGACCTCGGAGCTGGCGAGAGTATTGTGTTGCCTGTAGCAACGACTGAGTCAGAGAATATACTCAATGTATATATTTTGTGAATATACATTACATATAAAAATGCAATGAAGTGTTAGGGTTGCCGATGTTATCGTTATTTATTAATATTTTTGGTTGAAATTGAATGTAACGAATGTATACTGTCTTCCGAAAAAAGAAGGCATATGTGGTCCGGTTTTGAGGAATTACCGAATTCCAAATCAAAATGCAATTTTTGCTCTCAAATCCCATCATTTCAACGTATAATTTAATAACCGGGTTCCCTAGATAGTGTCTGCATACTGCAGACACGCTTTGCTCAATTCAACGAGACATATGTAATAAAAGAGTCGTTCATTTTGAACCAGTGGGATGAAACGATGAAACTCATATGAGCGAATGGGAAACAGCAGTGTTGTGGATGCGCAATATGACAACCATGTCGCACCCCAAAAAATGGCGGCTTGTTCATAACTGACGTTGTCTGATTGGTCAGATTTAAATTTCCGGCGGGTTTCTGTCTGTGGCTTCGCAAGCCATCTTCGTTGTGCGTAACATAAACATTTCATTTTCAAGGTGATCCCAGTCATTAGCCAGGCTTCTGCAGATGCTGCTCATCAAAGAATTTTGGAGGTAGGTACAATTTCACAAAAAGTTGTCTTGATGATGATCAGCACCCCTGAGAAAAATTCCTGTCGGTATCCATGGACATTATTGTTCTAATAAAAAAAGAAATCTGAATTATGGGTAAGACGTCAATGTATATAACATATCAACACAGTTCAATTTTTTTCTAATTTTTGATGTATGCAGGTGCCAACAAAGGCTGGAGAATGAAAACATATGAACCATAATAATGTTAATACTGATTTGTTTGTAGAAAAATGTATGAGATTTATATAATGAATATATATTTAGGTATTTGCAGTATATGTTTTTCTTCTGAACCTTATTCGTCAAGATGGCGCAAAATGTTAATAACACATGCTGTTATAAGATCTCCCATATCCCAATCCCAATAAATTTCTATATATAAAAGTATAGCAATCTCAGATTTATTTGGCAACGTTCCGGGGTATTGATGCACAATCCACAATCTGGAAACCAAACTGCTGTCTTGATTCGGCGCTAATACCCTCTCCAGACTCCCGCGCGCGAACTACCTGCGACCCACGAGTGTGGAACCCATTCGCGTATTCTTCGCGGCTTCACGTCGCGTTCGCGCATCGTTCCCGTTTGCTGTCTGTTTTTCGTCCCGCGACAAAGGGTTCGCAAGGCGCGAATATATTGCGATCATGACTAGGCTCCTCATTCGCTGGTGGCTCAGTTGCCTCATAGCGAGTGACGGCAGTGGTTGTGTTTTTCTTTACGGATTCGAATTTTCGATTTGTCGTGAAAAATGAGTTTTAACTGGAGTAACCAATTGGAACTATCATTTTTGGAATATGTTCGTGCTGAGCCGGTACTGTGGGACACTAAGATAAAAGACTATAGGAATAAATTTAAAACTCATGATGCATGGATGCGGATAAGCTCAGTGATGGAAATCTCAGTGGATGAATTGAGAAAGAAAAAAGATTCTTTAATGTCAAGTTATAGGAGTTATAAGAACAAAGTCAAAAAGTCTATTCAATCGGGAGCTGGTGCCGATGATATACAGGGTTATCCAAATTAAGTGTCCACCATTAGTAACTTTGTTATTAGTGAAAATACAAAGTTGTCTGAATTAGCAAACTAGTAGCATTTTTAACGCTGGTAAAAATGAGAAATAAAAAAAACAATTGAGAGTCGTTATTTTGATTTTTTTCAGTAAAATAACATTTTTTTAAATGGAAACCCCTGTATATTATATTTTTTTCTGTTAAAGCATCAAATTTTAAACAAAAAAGTTCATAATGACTTTTCCGCTAAAGTCAAAAATAAAGTCAAAATAACGATTAATATTTTTAATTATTTGCAGTATTATAATATTAAGACGGCTATGAAAACAACATGGCGTTCGCGATTTGACAGCATTAAGATAAGCGACAAATTGTTAAACTGGACATACTCGCAACTAGAAGGCTTTGGAAAACAATGATAAAATCAAATAATGTCAAACATTAGTGTAAATACTTGTTTATAAGCTTTATTGTGTCATTAATTTAAAGAAAAATGTTCTCCCATGAAGAAAAGTGTGATATGTTAGAATGCTATTTAGTGTGCAGAAAATCCTCCTTGAGAGCAAGAGAATACTACAGTGAATTGTATCCCGCTCGCATTCAACCGTATGAAAGATATTTTCTGAGACTTTATCGAAAATTTAGGGGCAACGAAAAAGTTTTTGCTAAAACAAGGGCAAAAAAAGAATTCATAATAAGCGAGGCCACGGAAATTGCAGTTATTGGATATTTTGAAGCTTATCGTGAGAATTCAATAGTAGATATTCTCAAGGACTCTAATTTCAGTTATGGTACTGTTCAAAGGATTTTAAAAAAATACAAATTTATTCCGTATAGGTACCGACCAGTTCAAACGCTTTTGGCAGGGGATCCAGAGAGAAGACTTGTTTTTTGCCATTGGTATCTTAGCTTCTGTCGCCAAAATGTAAATAACTTTCGTTACCTTTTATGGACAGATGAATCAAATTTTTCAAATTCTGGAATGTTTAATAGAAAAAACCACCATTATTGGTCAGGAGAAAATCTTTTGTAGTACATCCAAGAGGCCCACAAGTCCGTTTCAGTTTCAACGTTTGGTGCGGTATAATTGGTTCAAAAATTGTTGGCCCGTTCTTTTATGAGGGAACCCTAACTGGTAAAAGATATGTGGAATTTATGTCAGAAATTCTGACTAATTTCTTAGACGAATTGGATCTTATAAGTAGACATCATCTGCATTTTCAGCAAGATGGCGCACCTGCCCACAACTCCAGAGGTACTTATCATTTTCTAAGTACTACTTTTAATGATCAGTGGATAGGAACAAATGGCCCAATACAGTGGCCTCCCAGATCACCAGATCTAAACCCACTTGATTACTTCTTGTGGGGTTACTTACAGAACCAAATTTACAAGCGAAGGTACGATAACCTTGACGCGTTAAAGACTGCAGTTAGGGAAAAGATAACCCAGATAGATGGTAGGACCATACTTAAGACAGTTCGAGCAGTTGAAAAACGTGCCCAAAAATGTATTGAAGAACGAGGTGGTGTTTTCGAGCATCTTCTTTAAAAAAAATTGTTATTGTATTTTGTAAGATTATAAGTTGATGTTGAAAATAAAGTTTGTCGATACAATTTAATTGTTTCAGATTGGAGGCCATAACTTCAACAATTTGTAACCTAGGAGAAAAGTTATTGTAAGCTTTTTTGTTTAAAATTTGATGCTTTAACAGAAAAAAATATAATATACAGGGGTTTCCATTTAAAAAAATGTTATTTTACTGAAAAAAATCAAAATAACGACTCTCAATTGTTTTTTTTTTATTTCTCATTTTTACCAGCGTTAAAAATGCTACTAGTTTGCTAATTCAAACAACTTTGTATTTTCACTAATAACAAAGTTACTAATGGTGGACACTTAATTTGGATAACCCTGTATATCAGCCTATTTGGTTCGCTTATGAAACTATGGATGAGTTTTTGGGAGGTACCCTCAAGTGTAAAAATAATGTTGACAAGTGAACTATATGTTTTATTAATAAAGTACTTAAACATTACTTAGATATTTGGTGAATTCGTTTCTTATTTCTGTGGCATCTTTTGGTGCCGAGCTACGTTCCTCAAGTTACGGATAGCACAAGTTTTTTCTTGTTCTTTCCTCCATGATCCAGGTTGTATAAGTACTGAATCATCATCATAAATGTCAATAAATCCGGGTGGTGTATAGATACACGAAGAAGTGGAGCTTCGTCTCAAGAAATTATGTAGTAATATACAAGTCATTGTTATAAGGGTAGCTTTTTCTGGTTGTAATGGAATCGGCTTTCTAAACACTCTAAATCGGGCAGTCATCATACCAAAAGTATTTTCCAGCACCACTCGAGCTGAAGATAATCTCTTGTTAAATTCACGTTTTTCTGATCCTATGTTGTGTTGAGACCAGGATAGGGCTTCATTAAGTGTTCTGAAAGTGCAAAGGCTCCATCTCCCAAAAAAATGTAGGGAACATCAATATTTGAACCGGGCAAAGGATGCGGCGGTGGTAAATTTAAGCTATTCGTGCATATCTTGTTCCATAACAAAGTATTGGTGAAAACTCCACCGTCACTTATTCTGCCTTGGCAGCCAATGTCAGCAAATATGAAGTTGTACTGACTATCAACTAATGCCAGTAATACTATACTGTAGGTTCTTTTATAATTATAGTATTCAGAGCCAGAATTGAACGCACAGTCGAGAACAATATGTTTGCCATCTATTGATCCTATTGCTCGAGGAAACTTCCTTGCAAATCCTTTCTCAATACAAAGCCATTCTTCCGGACAAGACGGTATCTGCAAAAAAGAAAACATAAAACCTTCGTCTGACACCACAAAGTGATAGAAACTCTTCAATATATATATATATATATATATATATATATATATATATATATATTTTATTCTTCAGAGGTCTACATCCAGCATCGAAGATGGAAGGACCTCTGAAGAAGCTTGCCACTCGTGTTAGCGAAACGTTAGGAAGAAATTCCAACCGACGACGGCCTTTAGACCCGAATTAAGACAGCAGTTTATCAACTGGCCGCGAAAGCCTTAACCAATTTGTCAATCTGGAAACCGTGTCGCACCCTCAAAAAATGGCCGCTGACAACCAAACAAGTCACCGTGTTGCCATTGAATAGCATGGAATTAAACGTTAACCTTCTTCAGAGTATAATCAAATTAAGCTGATACAAAATGAAAATGGTATTTACCATTTTGGATTGGTATTTACCGATCCGTTCAAGCGAGTGTGGTTATCAGTTTGGTTATAAGATCCGTGACGTCATGAATCAGCTGTTATATGTCACAGTTATCACCGCAAAATTGTGGTATTTACC